TAACGGGGGTGGGAGTTTAATATTCCCTAATACGCTCGTTGATCTTCCCAATTCAATGTAAAGTTTAACCGGGGTGGGAGTTTAATATACCCTAATACATTTGTTGATCTTCCCAATTGAATGCAAAGTTTAACGGGGGTGGGAGTTTAATATTCCCTAATACGCTCGTTGATCTTCCCAATTCAATGTAAAGTTTAACCGGGGAGGGAGTTTAATATTCCCTAATACCCTTGTTAGTGGGAGAACCTCCACAGAGTCAACCCCTAACTTGGTTGACCCTCTGGAGGCCCCTCCACCGGGTCCAAGTATTCGGAGTTCGGAACGTACTTGTACAGAACAAAAAACGATACTTTATGTATACTTAGTAGAAATCACAAGGTCAACAACTAACCAAAAACATTAGTTTCTGTGGACCCGGTTGGACTTTATGTAAACTTGCTAGAAATCACAAAGTCAACAACTAACCAAAAACAATAGTTTCTGTGGACACGGTGGGAGAGCCTCCACAGAGTCAACCCCTCACTTGGTTGACCCTCTGGAGGCCCCTCCACCGGGCCCACCTATTCGGAGTTCGGAACGTAATTGTACAGAACAAAAAACGATATTTTATGTATACTTGGTAGAAATCACAAGGTCAACAACTAACCAAAAACATTAGTTTCTGTGGACCCGGTTGGACTTTATGTAAACTTGCTAGAAATCACAAAGGCAACAACTAACCAAAAACAATAGTTTCTGTGGACCCGGTGGGAGAGCCTCCACAGAGTCAACCCCTCACTTGGTTGACCCTTTGGAGGCCCCTCCACCGGGTCCACGTATTCGGAGTTCGGAACATCATTGTACAGAACAAAAAACGATACTTTATGTAGACGTGGCGGAAGCGCCTCCACAGCGTCAACAACTAGCTCAGTCGACTCCCTGGAGGCCCGTCCAACGAGTCCGCGTGCTGACAACACGGTATACCTACAAGAATAACGATTCACCAACAACAAGCACACAAACATTCCAGCTGCTTGGGTGAGCTTTTCAAACTCCAAAAGTTTCTTCCCAACCGATTCTTGTCCAAAATGCCTACCTTATACATCTAACGTTAGAAATCGGCAAACTCTTCAACGCAATTTCCACGAAGTCATGAATCCGCTTGTTGATCTTCCCAATTGAATGTAAAGTTTTAACCGGGGTGGGAGTTTAATATTCCCTAATACCCTTGTTGATCTTCCCAATTGAATGCAAAGTTTAACGGGGGTGGGAGTTTAATATTCCCTAATACCCTTGTTGATCTTCCCAATTCAATGTAAAGTTTAACAGGGGTGGGAGTTTAATATTCCCTAATACCATTGTTGATCTTCTCAATTGAATGTAAAGTGTAACGGGCCTGGGCGTAGTAGTAGTAGTAGTAGTAGTAGTAGTAGTAGTGGTAGTGGTAGTGGTAGTGGTAGTGGTAGTGGTAGTGGTAGTGGTAGTGGTAGTGGTAGTGGTAGTGGTAGTGGTAGTGGTAGTGGTAGTGGTAATGGTAGTGGTAGTGGTAGTGGTAGTGGTAGTGGTAGTGGTAGTGGTAGTAGTAGTAGTAGTAGTCGTAGTCGTAGTCGTAGTCGTAGTAGTAGTAGTAGTAGTAGTAGTAGTAGTATAGTCCGTCGTCATAAGTAAGTAATGTATCGTAGTAGTAAGAAAGTAGTCGTCGTCGCAGTAGTAGTAGCCGTAGTAGTAGTAGTAGTCGTCGTCGTCGTCATAGTAGTAGTAGTAGTAGTCGTCGTAGTAGTAGAAGTAGTCGTCGTCGTAGTAGTAGTAGTAGTCGTCGTAGTAGTAGTAGTAGTAGTCCTCATAGTAGTAGTAGTAGTCCTCATAGTAGTAGTAGTAGTAGTAGTACTAGTACTAGTACTAGTAGTAGTAGTAGTAGTAGTAGTACTAGTAGTAGTAGTACTAGTAGTAGTAGTAGTAGTACTAGTAGTCGTCATAGTAGTAGTAGTAGTCGTAGTAGTAGTAGTAGTAGTCGTCGTCGTCGGCGTGCTTGCGTTACAAACAGTCGCACCTTCTCTTGCCTCTCCCTCCTGTCTTTTCCCCCCTACCTTTCGTCCCCCCCCTCTCAAGTATTTAATAATACATACGTTAACATGTTTGCCCATGTTTGCCGTGTTAGGTTCAAGGATCACCTTGGCCACACTGGTTGAGGGCGTTCACAACGGCCGTGTGCCGCAGGACATCCGCAGGACATCCGCTGTTTGCCTTGAGCTGTTGCAGGCTGTTGCTGTTGCAGGAAGTGTCCATAGTTTTCGAGAACATTCTGTGGCTTGGCATGGCTTGGCGGAGGATTTAATTTTTTGGTTTTTAAGGAGATGTTTTTCATGATAAAAAAGGGTTGCTCTGGGTACCTTTTTTCAGGAAAGGCGTAACGGCGTAACAAACGATGCCTCCAAGCGCTGTCAGGGCTTGCCTACTGCATCTGCGGGCAGAAGATCTTCGAGTTCCTTGGGAGCTGAAGGCCAGCATCAAACAGAAAAAGTACCAAGTTATGAAATAAATTTTGGTACATTAATACGATATAATATGTACATATATGATATAATATGTATAGTAGTATACCATATTATATAATGATGTAATATGATGTAATATGTCATAAATCATCAGCAAATCCCATCAGAATTTGCAACTGCAATTCATACCAGTGCTGAAGATTGATACTTAGAAGACATACAGAAAAAGTACAGAAAAGGTTTCAGCAACTTTTTGTGAGAGTATCTTGAAATCACTTGATGCCTATGTCATGTCTATGTGACCCGTTGTGCGATGTCTACTGGAGCAGGTTATCACGGCCCAGATGCTGGGTCTGGGCTTGTTGCAAACTCAGCAAAGTGTCACTCAAAAAACGGTCACACCGATTGTCACTCGTTGTCTGCATATGTATAACACATGCAAGTACATATGTATATATATATAGGGCGAAGGCTGGGGGTTCCCCGGAAGCCAATTGCAATTTATTTGTATGGATCCGCAAAATGTTGATTTTACACTGTATTTTACAGTGTTTTTTGCCTTTCCTTCAAAGTGTTCCATCAGTGAAAGTATCAATGTCGGCGCGGATAAACTCGGAGTTTGTCCGTGCAGAAAAATGATAAATTTACATCTTCCATGGATGGCCAAAAATGTGTGCAACATTTTTCCCATTGGAATTGCGGTTTCATGCATTTTTTAGTTTTCGTTGATAAGTACAAAATGTCATAATTCACTGGAAAACCATGGACGAAATGAACATCACATCTTTTTCATCTTCGCGTCCACAAACCTTTTTTTTGGCATGGTGATGGAACATGTTGTTTTCACACTGTGTTTTACAGTGTTTTATGTTTTTCTCTGAATTTGTTTGATCAATCGAAGTTCCATTTTCATCGCGGAAGAACTTGACGTTTGTCCGCGCCGAAACAGGATAAATTTAGATTTCCATGGATGACTAAAGAGGTGTGGAACATGCTAACCATTGGAAGTGCGGTTTCATGCGTTTTTGGTTGTTCTGTTGATAAGTAGAACATGTGATAATTCACTGGAGAACAATGGACGAAATGAACATCACATCTTTTTTATCTTCGCGTCCATGAAGTTTTTTTTGATGGCGATGGAAAATGTTGTTTTCACACTGTGTTTTACAGTGTTTTATGTTTTTCACATGACGTTATTACACCCCCCCCACCCCCCCTTCTGTAAACAACAACGAAACTTTCAACGTAACACCATCTTCCAACCAAGCAACATCTTCCAGGATTCAACATCATCCAACGCACTTCACATGAAGTTATTACACACCCCCCCACCCCCACCCCCCCACCCCCCATCTCTATACAAGAACGACCTTTATGGTATAGCATCAAGACTGAGGGTTCCTCGAAGCTCCGGGGAACCCCCAGCCTTGAGCCTATATATATGTACACACATATATATATATGTATATAATATATTTGTATATATATATATATTTCATATATATTTCATATATATTTCATATATATTTCATATATATTTCATATATTGATTTGTTTATTTCGGTATGCTGGTCTGGAACTTTGGACATTTGACGACACAAAAACTGACATTCTGAGGCTGTCTCCTCTGCCTGAAAGCGCTGGCGTGAGACCTGGATCTCAGCCTGAGTACTGGTAAGCCTTGGTATCATAGAATACCAGATCGGTAATGATTATAATGATTCCTCACTGATTATATATCTACCAGATCATGAATGATTAATAGATATCGTAGAATTGGATGATGGGACAATTTTAACCGGAACCCCCATCAATTTTGATGGCAAAAACCCATGGGTTTCTGGTTAAGATGTTCCCAACTGAACCAATCCATTGATGGTAGGCATTTTGCAGTTCTGCAGTGATGGTGAGACATTTTGAAACAGGGGGGTTGAGAAGCGCCAGCCCAGCTGCAAGGAAAGTCTGGTGATGCTGAAGTTCAGGGAGTCGCGAGCCCTTGGAACCTGCCGCGTTTCTTTTCATTGAGGTTTTGTTATTTTCTGTTTATTTTTCTGGTGATGATGGTGATGGTGTTTGAATGTGGCTGTGGTTGCTGGATCTCTAAACACGGAAAGTCGCATGGTTCAGCTTTCACATCAAGGTGCAGTGCTCGTTCAATGACAGGGTAATGCAGGTGGGAAACATGGGGAAACCACGGAAACCATCCTGACATTCCTTGAAGTGGTTGTGGATGGTTTTGGTGCTTTGCGCTGCCTAGTCTGTCTCTCGCAAAGAATGTATCTTGAATGGTTTGTTACTATGTTGTTCCTATGTTGTTCTGTTTTGTACAGACAAAGTCTTTCCAGAGCTGTGATAGGTGTAGCAGTGTAGCATGGGCTCGCGGTAGGTGCTCCTGGAAACTGGGCACCTTCGAAAGGTCTTGCAAGATGAAGACGCAGGCCATGGCAGCTATATTGCAGATTATTTTTCAGCATCAGTGCCGTTTCTGCAGCGTTTCAACGGACCTTCTGGGAAGGCAAAGATTGCATGAGCATGGAATATGCCCACCTCCTGGCGCCTGCCTTGCGTGAATTGTTGCGTGAATTCGCAGAATGTTCGCTTTTTTGTCGCTTTTTTCGGATTTTTTTCGGAGGTTTCAACATGTTTCAACAGGGGCGCGCCATGGCGCGCCAGTGGGCCAGGAACCTCTTGAGTTGCAGTGCCGCCTCCACCAATTTGAAGGCCTGCGTCTGTCGCCTGATCATTGCCGACGAGGCGATCTCCTGAGTGCAGATTTTTAACCGCTGTGAGCTGTGAGCTGTGCATAGCTGTGCATAGCTGTGCAGTGAAATAAGCATGTGAAATGCATGTGTGTCACATGGAGATGTGAAAATGCTTCCATCCTGAAATGCAGAGTTTTTTTACTTGTTTCAATATTGTTCAAAATTGTTCAACAGCATCATCAAAGTCCTGAGTCACGAGTGATTGAGTGATTGACTAGTGATAAACTAGTGATAAGTGGAGCTGCTCAGAGCGCTTCGCAGGCAGTGGGTGAGAAAGGCCAATCCATTGTGTTAGCAGATGGTCTTGCACGGCTGATGCAGAAAGGCCCACGGGGCACAGCATTGCGAGACGGGGCACAGCATTGCGAGTTGACCCGAAATGGGGGAATATTCGGAATACCAATACCACATAGCATAGCTTAGCATACTACAATATATTATACGTAGATTATTGTATCATAGCCATCAAACAAAGTGGGAGCACGATGAAGCGAGATGGCAGGTGTGTTTTTCTATGTGATATAACTATATAACTATATATATAACTGTTTTTTCCTCAATTTTCCTAAAATTTCAATATAGAAATTCACATATTTTTTTTTTTCCACATGACTCAATGTCGTGGTGACTTTCCAGGCTCCAGCTTCCTGGTGACCTATGCCTCAGCCGCCATGGTGAACCTTTCACAGAGCCACGAAGTTCCTGACCTTTACAGATCCGTTGAGGGATCCGTGTTGGGTTTTTTGAGGATTCTGTGGCGGAGAGATGTTGATATGTGAGTTGTTGATATGTGGAAATCTGTTGATATGTGGAAATCTGTGGGTGGAGATGTCAGGATTTTGTTGGATTTCTGTTGAAAAATGACAACCAAATGGATCGAACAGCTTCCGAAATCCACCACTTTTGAGATACTATCTCAGTCTGAAGACTCAACTCTAGCTGTTTTCCGCGGTGAAGCATTTGCAGAGTCCTGGGTCTTCGAGTTGACATGGCTTGACATGGCTTGACATTCCAGGGTCTTTGTTCAGCAGCCTGCCGTCTTAGCGCCGTCGCCACAGCCCCAAGGTTGTCCGAAGTCACTTCATTCATCAAGACCTTGTCCCGGTTTGCATGCACAACGTGAGGCACGGTCTCGGCGATGCATAGACATTTCGTAGAGCTACCCAGAAAAGTCTTAAATGTAAGGCTGAGCTAGGCTGAGTTGCCAACATTTGCCAACACTTGCCAACATGTGAAATATGAAAATATGTGCAATACATGTGCAAAAATGTGGGAAAAAAGAGCACCGATACAGAGATGTGCTATGTGCTCAGGTCGAATCTCATTCATGATACATTGAATCAAGGTGATACCGCAATGAAACGCGATGAAAAGCGGGTAGCCGGGGTGCCAACCCAAGAAACACAGAACAAACATGTGTATGCTGTTTTCACAAACTGCACAAGCTCCTTTTAGGACATGTTTTCACAAACATCGTTTTAGGCACTTAAGTCTTTCCCACTGCAGTTACTGCCGTGCTTTGTTCAGGATGAAGGACACAGATCTGATGTTGTACTCCGTGATGCTCTTTGTGACCTGGTTGCGACACTTGCGACGTAGCGATCCCATGATCCGATGATCCCATGATGATCTGATGATCTGGGCTGGGAGCTCCTGGGTAAACTCTGTGGTTATGACATGGACATTGCTGTGGAACTTTGAGCAACGGCCTGCATGCTTCACACCATTCACACCCGTCTCCCTTTTCATCGAAAACCAGACCGGATTTGCAGACGAAACGATCAATTTTGACAGGAATAGAGAATTTTTTGACAGGAATAACATTTTGAATAGAACCTAGCGCAATTCAGTACAAGAATCAACAAGGTCATCAACAATCATGCATTTTTCCATCAACTTCCATCAATTTCCTTAGAATCAGGACTTGGTCACTGGGTCTTCTCAGAGCCGCAATCGCCAGGTGCAGCTCACAAAGAGATCCAACCATAGAGCAGCCCTGGAAAAATACGGCAGCTGGGAATGTGCTATTAGCGAAATGCTGGTCACATCTGGTCACATCTGGTCACAACAGAATGCGACACAGCAGTTTTCAGCAGTTTTTGGTATGGACACATGATACACATATGATACACATATGATACACATATGATACACATATGATACACATATGATACACATATGATACACATATGATACACATGATAAACAATGGACAGCAGTGTGTTCCAGCAGGTTTAATCTTCTCTTGTATCTGTGTGTATCTGTGTGTTCCGAGGTGTTTTGCAGCTCTGCTTCGAGGTTTTAGATGCCATCCACGAGCAGCTGGATCACAGGTTGCACACGTCGAAATATGTCGTGTTTTGGGGCAGTGCATTGCTAGCGAGATGGCATGATTACAGCACCAGTGGCATGAACTCAACACAGGATCACAACAACGCCCCCAAAAAAGGGCACACATTTGCTGTCAGAGGTGGCGTGTTGTAGCAGAACTCTGCGTGGTCTTGGGGCAGCTTTTTTGCGTGTGGCACTTGGGCAGACAAAAAATATAGAACCGCTGCAGCCTGTTTTGAGAATTTTGAGATATGGAGCCAACACGTTTGCCCACGGAAATGCTGCTGCATGTCGTGTGCACTGTACGCCAATTTCTGCAAGTCATTCATATTTATGCACTTATGCACTGTCTCTGTTGCCAGGACGAGGGAGTTGCCAGAAACACAGTTTGATCATTGCCAGTTGAGGATCAGGAAGCTGTAGCGATCGCCGAGCGACCAGAACACAAGGCAGGAATCGGCAGGAAGGTCAAATTGTAGTAGTAAGGTATATCGGTATATCATGGTATATATCGTAAAGGTAGTAAGATTTGATAAGATTTGGATATTTTGGATAGGATTTGATTTTTTTCGATGTGTCTGGAAGCTGTTGTTTTACCGCAATCGGCTGTTCATGGCGAACTCCAGGTGACTACGAGCCTCCTGTCACTGTTGGATGCGGCACTGCCACCAGGCGGGCGGACGCGGAAGGCGAAAGGACGCCGTGGATTTCGCTGCGCTGAGCTGCCGAGGTGCCGGAGCCGGTCGAGCTCTGTCCGAGTCCAGCTCAAAGATCGTCACGAAGGCCGGTGTTTTGTTTTTTTCATTTTTCCATGGTTTTTCCGAGACGCCAGATGGCAACGATGGCAACCAGCCGTGGCCGTGTGACAGTGTGGCTATGTGTGGCTTTCTATGCTTTCCACGGCCCAGCGGCTTGTCAGCGGCTTGTCGTCTCCAGGCAATCTTCACGTTGCAGAAGATTTGCGGCGGGGAAGGCGTCAGAAGTGAGGCGATGGCCCATGATGGCCATGATGGCAATGATGGCAATGGGCGGTCTCTCCCCGGGCTTCTCTTTTTTCTGGACCAAAGGTAGAGTTGATATCAGTTGATAAATGTTCGTAACTTGGTACTGGCCAGTTGTGCATGTGGATTTTCTTGATCAGGTTTGTGACAGCAATATCTTGAAGAAGCTGGTGGAGCTTCTGGAAGATCAGGTGAGAAATTTGGCAGCAAGTTGGGTACCATCACCGTCATCATGTATTCTGGTAATTTAACGTAGCTAGGAAAATCACCATTTTTCATGGGTAAATCCATTAAAAATCACCATTTTCAATAGCTATTTTGACATAACCAGAGGGTAACTCACAACTGGTGGATGCCTTTTTGGATCACTGAATCAACATGAATCAACTGCCAAGTGTTCGACGAAGGGTTTTTTTTTCGACGAACGGCAGGAGAACTTGAGCAATGTGGAACTGATGAACAATGCTGGGCTTCCTGAATAACTCGCTGCCGTTGCCACGTTGCCACGTTGCCAGCATGATAAGACTCAGCAGTGATTTCGCCCACGCGCTTGGCCCCTTGATCCCCGGGGGCCCTGACTTGAACGTGGGAATGATATATGTCTTTATCATCTTTATCTTTCCGTTTCTCAGTGTCAAATTCAGAGCTTTAAATGCTGGTGATTGCAGGTACTGCACCTCTTCGCTCTCCTTTCTGTTGGCAGGAGCTGGTTGTTACATGTTGCTACGACTGCTAGATGTTTCAACCGCCATGCCAAGCAAGCTGGGAAGCAGACGTCTTTTTGCTTCTCGGAGTTTCCCAGGAACTGCAGTGCGAAGATTCAACAATTTGGCTGGGGAAGAGTCTACGATGTCCCTCACTCAGACGGCCGACCTGCGATGTCTCGCATTGAAGATCGCTTCATCGCTTCATCGCTTCCACGCTTGGTGTGTCAGAATTGGAGCTGCCCCATGGCTGCCCAACAGACATGACACACGATGTCCAGGTATCCAAAAGATCCAAAAGGTTTGTCCTGAAGTAGGAACATACATGCACGGTTCTCACAAAAACATGTCGAAACTCGTTGATGACATTGATGGAATGTTACGGAATGTTTGCTTTTTTCACTGGTCCCACTCTCCAACAATGATGGCCTAATGCTGCTTGGACGCTTCCGTGCCTTCCGGGAAAAGAGTCACAGTCAGACGAGTCAACGGGTCATGCAAAAGATCACACAGCAAAGTAGACAGCTCAGTAAGCTGTAGTTAGTATATGTTAATATGGGTATGGGTCAATACCTATAGATACATTTTTAATGGGTTATTCACATCCATTTTAACCCAGCTATTTTTAGGGGTTCACGGCACGGTACCAGGGTTTTGACTCATAGCCATATTAGTTAGTGATCCCTCGATCCAAGATTTTGATCACTAAATTTTGTGATCAATAAATTGTGATACCAATTCATCTAGTTAGCTATTGAAAATGGCCATAGAAATAGTGGATTTTCCCATTGAAAATGGTGATTTTCCATAGTTATTCATCTAGTTAGCTGGTTGCTGGTGACTGGAACCATGGCTTTTATGGCTGGATTATGACTTTCCAGAAACAGTTGGGAATGGAAAATCGGGCCCCAACTGACGAACTCACTCACTCCATCATGAATTTCAGAGGGGTGGCGAAAAACCACCAACCAGACAGAATATCACATCATATCATGTAATCTTTTTGTCACTGGCAATCATCCGATTATGTCATAATCATTTGGGATATCCTATTATAGTATATCAACCACCAACCAGTTAGTGATATCGTTTATTTTCATGATTATTAATGATTATTAATGGTTATTAATGGTTAATAGTTAGTGATATCGGTTATTAATGGTGATTATTAATGGTTAACTATAACCACCAACCACTTCGTGATCCGATGAATTTTCCCCCGGCTGCCCCCCGGCGTTTTTCCAAGACGTTGATGGCTTCACCGCTGGCTTTGAGTCAAGACGCTGTCAGAGAAAGGACGATGTTTGAACTCGAGCCGAGACCAGCTCCGTTGTTGTTGACATGTGGGATTCCTAAGTCATGGGGGATCCTGCAGATTCCCAAAATGATGGGTTAATTGATGTTAATTGATGTTAATTGATGTTATAAAAGAAAATCCATCTATAAATGGTGGATGTTAAGGGGTACCCGGGGTAGCCCTATGACTTAGGAATCCCCCATTGTTTTTTTTTTGTTAAGATGTCCAGTTGGACTGTCCAATATCCAATGAGGTGCCGAATCACTTTACCAGACGTGCAGGATCCAGGCGATCCAGAACAACATCAAGAGCTTTGCCAAGTGAGCCCCACAGAGTCACCCAAGAGAGTCACCCAAGAGTTCGCCAGAAAAACCACCAAAACCATGGCCAAAACTGTGCCTCTGTGGCCTCCATGTGGTCAGCACAGGACCAGAGATGTTTCACCGATCCAAAGATGTCCAAAGTGATGGTCTGTCTTTGCACCTTGCGCGGCAATTTAGATCTGCTTGGCAACAACCAAGCATAGTGCATCATAGTGCATCATAGTGCGCAAGAGAACCTCTTGCAAAGCTCAAGAGAAGATGAAACCGTCTCAAAGCAGCATTTCTGATTCCTGGCATCTAAGAGATTCAAAGATGATACGACAGTTCACGACAATTCACGACAGTTCACGACAGTTCACGACAGTTCAGGGCAGTTCAGACTGATCTTCCTCAGCGTGTGCTTCAAGATATCAAGACATCAAGCAACCTAAGCCTCCCATTTCTATCCATTTCTTTCCATTTCTTTGGATCATTTTGGATCTACCTGCTTTGCACCTGGCCCCCCATCCTGCTTTCCACGAGACATTTTCCTCTTGGTGTTCCTGTTGCAGGTCAGGGGGATAGGACCAGGGCCAGTGGACCAGTGGACCACTATCTCGGCACGGCTTTTCCTCTCTTTTTAGCCTTGAACAAGACATCGCCAAACCACTTCACTTCGAGTTTAAACATCACAACCCCCGAAAACTCTTACAGAAACCATCAGAAACTCAGTCAGAAACCCAGAAATTTTCGCTTTGGCCCATTGAGCCTTGCAATGGCGTTCTGCACGGCATGCTGCTCCAGTGCTAGTGTGGAAATTCCTGTGGATGATATGGTCGAGACAAAGATGCCAGTTGTGAACCGGCGGAACCGGGAGGAGCTCACAGCCGCCACCTAGAAAGTGGCTGCGCCCCGAAAGTTCGACAAGAAGCGCAATGGGGTGCTAACTGCACAGCACCTTTTGACAACTTTCAATGACAAGCAAATCCGCGTGAGTGCAGTAAATGTGGCACTCATGCTTGAGAGAGCCGACAAAAATGCAGATGGCGTTCTGGATTTCACGGAATTTGTAGAGTGGTTGTGTGAATGCCGCGTTGAAGAGAGATGGGAGGAGTTTGCTAGACAGAGCTTTGCGGTGGAAAGCATGTTGTTGCTCTTCTACAAAGCTCGAGGTTTCACCGTTCAAGTTGAGAGCCTTCTTGGCACAGTGCCAGAGTTGCCTGTGCCAGATGCTCTACAAAGCTTGGACTTAGTTGAACTGATGGAAGCAACCGAACTTTCTCCAGATCCCATTCAACAAGCCTTGAAATTTCGTGAGATTGCAGCATTTGCAAAGAGAACGGCTGGAAATTGCTTGGGCCTCATTGATTCTGTGGTCAGATATCGAGAGAAGCTGTGGAAATCAACCGAAGGGCATCGTCAGATTTTGGGCCTTGAAACCAATGAAACCCATTCGGAGAGTCTTGTGCTTGCTGGTGCCGGGCAGGTTTTCGGGATTCGTTTAAGCCTGGAAGGCGCCCTAAATTTAGTGAACATCCACCGGAAAGTTGTCTATGCCCTGCATGGAATCAATCATTTATTCAAGAAGCTGAGGCATTGCAGTGTCGCCTTCATTGGATCCCTGCAGAAGGCAAAAATAGTAGATACTTTCATACTTTCTTGGCAAGTACCGATGCCTGTCAGAAACTTGCATATTTCGAGGAACTCATGAGTTACCACAGCGGGTAAGGCTCTCGCTTCGGGATACGTCGAGTGCATCGCTTCGGGCTACGCCTGATGCATCGCTTCGGGATACCTCCTCATCATCATCATCATCATCATCATCAGCATCATCATCATCACCATCATCATCATCATTCCCCTCACAAACCCTAAATGTCTGAGTCAAGTAATTAGACAAGAAGAATGATGTTTTCCGTGTTGCCCATTGTGATGTTTTCCGTGTTGCCCAAAGTGAGCGTCCAAAGTGTGAGGAGTGTGTGATCTCTGGATGTTGCCTGAAGTGATGCGTTTGGTGTTGCCTTAAGTGATGCGGGCACCGCTTTGCAACTCAAGATCTGGAACGTCTCTTGCAAGCAGCTGAAGCATTTGAAGCATCTGAAGCTGAAGCTGTAGGGAAAGTTTCGGAAACATTTCAGAGGTTCAAAATCCCATGGAAGGAGATCAAAATCAGTACGAGAAGGCGCGACGTTTAGCAGAAGGCTACGATGATTGGAGCATCAAACTCTGGAATGCCACGAATGTGGCTTTGTACCACGTCTGCAAACAGTACGGTATCGAAGTGCCCGAAGTGCCTGGCGGCTCCAAGGACCAAACCAAATCCAGCATTCCATTACTTAAAGGTTTTCGAGATGTGACAAGCACAGAATGTCACATCATGGATGATATTCGCTAATATCATCAAATTTGCAAAACACAAAGATTTTTCCAAGGCAAGGCCCCCAGTCTGTGCGTCCAGCACTGTCCAGCTTGAAGACCTCTCACCTGATGCGGGTCATGCTGGCCATGGCGTCCAGGTTACCTGGACGCTACGCTGACACCTGCGCAAGGGCGCAAAAAATGACTTATGGGTGAAGATGACAGGATATTGCGGGATATTGCAGGATATTGCAGGACGGCATTGATTTTTGGCATTGAATTCTTCGGCTTCTTTGGAAATCTTGAAAATTGACATAGATTCGAAGCACTCGAGACGTCTTTTTTTTGACTGGAAAGTGCTGAATTGTGATTTTCATGGTATCCAAATGTATCCAAACTCGCAGCCTTTGAGGCCCTGAGAGTTGCAATTGAAATTGCCCTCGATTTCCCTAGTTTTGACAAGTTGCAACTTGTTGGTGTATGGTGACTATATTGGATTGTACTTGATCATCTTGAGATCATCTAGAGATCATCCAGAGATCATCTTGACCCAAGTTGCGAAGAGTTCCTGCACAGTTCCAGAGTTCTTCGGGTTGCTCTACCTGGCATTTCTATAGCTCGGTCGTCATCTCGGGCCCTGTACACAGTTCGGATCTCAGCTACGATGCCACGATGCGTTGCGGTCTCGGATGTCTCGGTCAAATCAGGTGCTGTTTGGCCGTGCCAGACTTGCGAATCGTCGTCCCGCCCTGATGCCGCTGTATGAGGAGAGCGGGACAGAGGAAACCAACAGAGACCTTCGTAATACGTTCGTAATACGTACTACGTCCGTATGGTCAACAGATGTCAACAGATGTCAACAGATGTCAACAGATGTCAACAGATGTCAACAGATGTCAACAGTACTCCATGCGTGGCAGTGCGTTGTGGCAAGTGAGCAGGCACTGAGCAGATCCAGCCTTTCAAAGTCTCCGATTGCCAGGAGAAATTCATTTGTCCTTTCTCCATCCGATTCTCACAAGCTCGGATACGTCCAACCTTTCAGGCCTGGATCAGTTCCAAATTGCAGAGCTGGATGCAGTGGGAATTTCCAAACTTTGGTCATTGGTCATTGTTCTCGAAGGATGGTCGAGATGTAGAAGCTTCCATGGAAGAAGTGGAGGCATGGCATGGCCTGATTACCACAAGATTTGAAAGGTAATAATATGACAACATTATATATATAGACATAATTTGCACATATGCAAAACTTATGCATATATATATATATATGTATCTATATCTATCTATCACCTTAGCACATATATATGCGTAACTATATATTATTATATATATAACTACGCACATATATATATATATACATATATATATAACTATACATATATATATATATAACTATACAAATATATATACATTCATTCATTCCATTCATTCATTCCATTCCATTCCACTCCATTCCATTCCACTCCATTCCATTCCATTTCATTCCATTTCATCCCATTTCATTCATTCATTCATTCATTCATACATAAATACATACATACATACATACATACATACATACATACATACATACATACATACATACATACATAACTATATATATATATGTAACTATGTATATATATATATGTATATATTTATACACATACATATATACTTGTATGCCTATATGCCTATATGCATATAAACATATGTAAATATATAAATAAATAAATAAATAACTATATATATATATATTATACCAACAGATTTACATATTTACATGTATACATATATGTAGTTTAACATCTCACCAGGCTGTGGAAGCCCCAGAGGGCCCTCTGAAAGATCGCTACGACCTGCTGCTCAGGCAGATCCCACAGATCCGGCTGGACTTGAACGGCCAAAAAAATGGCAACTTTGATATGGTTTTAATAATGGCAACCATAAAATGGCAACCATATTTACTATGGTTCATTTCTGTGGTTCATATGGTTTTACCAAAGTCCATTAATGTGGTTTTACCTTAAATGGTTCATTTTTTGGCCAAAGTTGCGAAGAAAAAGTTGCCATGATTCTCCACTTTCTAGTCGATCTCAATGCCGGTGTTTCTTTGTTTCGTGAAACACTCGTGGAATTTCCCGTGCAGGGCGCCATTTCCTCCCATTGAAATCATTCGGTGGTGGCCGAAGCTCCGGGAAGAGGCACGGTTGGTTTTTTTCAAATAAAAAACGGACAAAGCAGGACGGCATTTTAAACATGACTTAACAGTGTTATCATCAATGATCATTAGTTATCATTGTTTCTTTCTTTACACGCAAAGAGAAAAGAATAGAAAAGACACTCCCTTGAGATCCAAATCAAAAACGATCAATTCGTGAATATTTGGGTCTCAGTTTGGATCAACCAGGTTTGCACTCATCTCGAACTCGATATCTCTTTCGATATCGAGTTCGAAAGGTGTTGTTTTTTTCCGTTTAGAGGATGGAATGGCTATGAATGGCTGACCTGTGGACACTGTGGACATAGCTTCACTGTTGACCTGATACCTGGTCAGGATGGTGAAACACTCCTGGACGAGAATGGCAAGACAATCTTAGGATTTTCGACAGTTTCGCAAAGCACCCTTCGCTAAAAACCATTTGGCAATATGAAACTAGCGATTTTGAAGGTGGTATTCATAGCAACTGCATTTGCTGCATTTGCTGCAGTTGCATTTTTCCCCCTTTTTCATAAGTTAAGTTTTCAACGCCACGTAGACTCCGTAGACCCTTCAACTTATGTGCAACGCCATTTTCCAGGAGAACCATGCTGGTTCACCTTTGACAACAGAAGGCTCTACTGTTTGCAGGCCTGCGCCATTCTGTGATTAAACTATTCCGAGTTCCGAAAAATGCTGAGGGATACGTTATGAATCAGAAAAAAACAGAAAAATCATCTCATATCCTCATCAATAAATCCATGTCCTGGCAGTATTGCAGTCCTTAAAGTCTCATTCTGTCTCATTCTGTCTATTCTGTCAGGCTGCAGCTATCAAGAATTGGCCTTGCCGAGCAGCAGCAGTGGTGTGCGGCTTAATGACTGTCACTAATGGCATCGTGCACGAATCGTGCACCTCGACGTTTTTTTTTCAGGTCCACGTCATGCACGATCTGCCGGCGATTTCCTCAGAGATGGCGCCGCCATTTTTTCGTCATCCATGCCATTGGCCTTGGGCCGAGGTCTCCAAGTGCGCGCCCAAAAAGTTTCGAACAACGGATCTAGGCGGGTGAAAGGAAGGAAACACACTGGCAGGTTCAAACGAATCTTGAGAATCAAACGAAATCAAACGAAATCAAACGAAATCAAACGGATCAAACATCTGAGGATGTCTTGGGCGCGTTCCTGGGTTTCACAAATTTTGATCAAAATCACCAGATGAAAGTTTGAGACCTACTTGAAGCATCTTGAAGTCGAACTTGGGATCTTTGGAGATTCTGGAGATTCTGGCGAAAACCCCTGGCGAAAACCCCTGGCGAAAACCCCTGGCTAAAAACGGGTTTTCCAGGCTGTTCAGTGCGAATTTCCCGACGGGATGATGTTGTCCCCAAAGCGACCTGGACTTGGATGGAGGCAGCGGGCACTGAGTCGAGCCGCATGGAACGGATGACAGGGTGATGTGATACAATGAACTGCAGCCATACCATGCCATACCTATCATGTCAATTCAAGTCAGTTCAGTTGATATCATACATGAGGTGTTGTAGCTAACCGCATCGACAAACAAGATTCAGATACCAGAAACATATCACTACTGATTGTCCGCTCCGTTGAGCAGACAAGACAGAGATATCATAGATATCCAGTTGGTCAGAGCATCACAAAGCTGTTTGTTTTGAATCATTTGAATCGGAAAAATTGGATCGGAAACATCAGAAGCTGGATCTGGAGAATCTGGAGAATCTAGGGGATCTGAAGGATCTGGAAGCTAAGGCTTGGTTCACCTTGGTAAAAAAGTTGGTTTAACTTGGTTGGCACCTGCTTCGCAAATGGACCATGCCATGGAGCCGTGGCCACGGTGGCCGCGGTTTGCGCGGTGCGCGTGGTTTGCGCGGTGCGAAAGCTGGAAGATTCCCAGCAGCGCGCACAGCCGAGGTCACCTCAGTCGCTGCAGTGGTGCTTTGGAGTTTAACTCGCTGTTGACAGATCTGACAGATCTGACAGCTGCCACTGAGGTTTTTGCGTTTCGAAGCCAGCTGGGCGGCAGTGGTTCCACCAGTGGCCCACACTTGGCGCTTCCCTTGGAGCCGGTCAGATCCGGAGATTGGTCAGAAGGGTTGGGGCCCCAGTGGATAGCTGCCATGGGGTTCCTTTGTTAAACGTTTAGGGCATTTAGGGCGTTTAGGGCGTTTAGGGTTCAGGGTTGGTCTTTGAAATGAGTCAGAATTTATGCCAAAACGAGCTGGAAGAATTCATGCAGCTAAACATATGCCAAAACATCAACATTCAGGACATTCAGGAATTCATGCAAGCAAAAGCAGCTAGGTGCCAAATTTCTGGCAGACTTTAGGCACCCTGTGAACCAAGCCTACAGGCAAGCCTACAGGGGATATGGACATAAGCATCGTCAACTCTTGTACAGTTGAGAAAACTCCATGCCCAGTCTCTCTTGATGGTTGTGTTTTTGAATGTTTTTGATCAGCTGACATCCACTTCTCCCGACTTCTCCCTTGTTTTTTGATGTTTTTTGATGCTCCGAGCGCTTGACTTCCTAACGGAACCTGCTCGCTTTGCCACAAGCAAAACGGCAACAAGCACCGCTTTTGTCTGGATCTCTGCAATGCGCAACCCTGAAGTGGAGACTGCCATTTTTACAGCCCATCAATATGCATGTTGCGCATGTTGCCTATCTTCCTGGCCTTCCTACAGTGTCCCAACTGCTTCCTCCGCATTCGTTTCTGTGGTTTCCTTGGCCAAGTACAAAGGGATGTGATAGAGCAGCAACTGATACTTGTTTTTTTTTTCCCCTCTCTCTCTCCCTCCCTCTCTCTTTCTCTCACTTTCTTTCGCTCTATAGTGCAGAATGTGTGTGTGTGTACAAATATATCAAACATAAGACTATATGTCTAAATAGTAATGCTCACCTTCTGTGGCCAAGGCCAAAGCGCCCAAAGCGCCCAAAGCGTCCAAGGCGTCCAAGGCGTCCAAGGCAAAGTCGCAGCCGCGGCTGACCATGGCGCAGATCGCCGCCCAGCCGCAGCCTCAAGGTTCACATGGGGTGTGAAAATTGGGTACCACAATAGTTATATACTAAACATAGACTACAAACTGTGGTCCCATAGGGCTTAAATTTCGATTCATCGCCACATAATCCCGTATTAAAAAAAATATAGATAGAGTGAGCTGTTGACTCTCTTCAGTCTCTTCACTCTGTTACACAATGGCGACTGGTCGGTGAAGGCAGTCTGTTTTTGACGTTGAACGAGTTGAGCTGTGGGTGAACTCCGACCGGTCGGAGGGTCGGAGTTCGCGGAGTTTGGGGCGACGGCGTTGGGTTTCGGCCGTAAGGCTCCGAGCTCGGAAGGAGCGTCTGGGACTCATGGGATTTGGCGGATCTGGCTGTTTCGGATGAAAATGGCAAGACATTTGAAATTTGATGAAATGATTTGAAATGATTTGAACTGATTTGAAATGATCCAAAAGTTTGATGGCTGAACGTTTCGTGTGCAGATGCAGATCCGAGGCAAGCGGCAAAAGAAAGATCGAGACAAGATCGAAGAGTTGGAGAGTGACGCGAATGACACGAGTGACGCTGAGTTCGAGGTGCGCCGCCGCCGTGGAAGTTGCCAATCGGCACACCTTCACACCTTTGAAATCGGGACGACAGGATTGGGACGACTTTGGCCGTGCCACTGGTTGTGTGGTTGGTGGTGCTGAGCGTCATGGGTTGCTCAGTAGCGAAAAATGGTAGAGCAGCAGCAGCGGTTGGAAAAACCTCAGCTGCGTCCAATCCAAGGCAAGTGTTGGTCTCTGTGGATGACTCAACCGTCATTTGCCAAATTCCCAGAGGCCGGCGAGCGTCCGGTGCTCAGGTGACTCAGGGCTGCGGCAAGAATGAAGCAATGGAAGAGATCAGAGATCCACATCCAACGCATCCATGGCTTCAGTATCTTCAGTTGGGTTCGGAAACCTTTCAACGGCAAATTTCGGACCAGCCTTGAGGCCAAATCTGGAGCCCATTGTTGGCGACATGGTCAACATTCTTTGGACATCTGCAGCTGCAGATGCTGAAGTGGAAGCCTTTGTGAGCCATTTCTTTAACACGGGGGCCACAGGGGACCCTACAAGATTGGTAACGAAGCTTGCTAGAGAGATGGCTGGAGATAGCTAGAGATTGTTGGTGATGTGAGGCAGTTGTCGAGGAGGTGGGATGCCGAAACATGCCAAAACCATCCAAAAGCAGGTGATTTTGCGTTGGATTTCTTCAGATTTCTTCAGCTTGTTCCGGTGTCTATGGGTTCGGTCTCAGTGGCTTGGCAGTCAGGTGCTTCCTCGCAAGAGCACCTTGATCCGCAGGCGCGACACGTCGTCCCACAGAAAAAGGTACAGCTACGATAGCTACGATAGCTACGGGGGTCCAATGATTCAATGGGTGGTGCAACGGCGCAGGCATGGCACAGCGGCAAAGCCGCAGGTGCTTTGTGCCAACCTCGACCTGGCGATTTTGGTTCTCAGCATCGAGCCCAACTTTTCAGAGGCCATCTTTATGGATCGATGTTTGATGACCCTGAAAGCAACAGTTTTTTCGATATCTAGCTGATATTTGTACAATATAGCATAATAATATATGTATATATATATATAATATATATATATATAATTGTATATATACATATATACATATGTACAATACAGACTCAGACAAAGAGTTAGACATAATTAGACGGTTTCATCGTGGTGGTTTTTATTTTTGGAACTGCAGGGAATGGTGGATCGGGTTCTGATCAGCGCCCATGCTCAAGAGCTGGATGTGGTGCTGGTGCTGAACAAGGTGGGCACATCCAATGTCCGCTCCCGTTGGGGCCTCGAAAGATGGCTTCGTCATCTATATTTGTGACAATACGTGATAGTTATATGATAGTTATGTGATAGTTATCTGGATATATACATATACATATATATGTATATATAATCATGGATTAGCTATAGATGATACATAAATTATGCATATAGCCATCCCGGCCAGCCCATTTTCGGGTTCCAACTTTTGACCCCCATTTGACGAGGAACCCAGCATCCAATGGTCTAGGCAGATTTGGTTCCAAAGGGGAGCCCAGCACGACGTGATGTGGCCAGCTCAAAGTATGCTCATTCTTTAGCAGTTTAGCATAGTTTAGCAATGCGAGTCTGTAGGTGTAGAGGTCAGTGAACATGTTTGGCTCAAGATATGTCCCAGGTTGAACGTCGCTTGTCAGTCTATGAGCGGATCGGTTACAAGGCGCTTTTTCAGAGGTGACTTCAGTTTGTGCAGTTCATGTGCAGTTCATGTGCAGTTCATGTGCAGGTGCTCTTTGTGAGTGCGTTGGAGGGTCAGGGTGTGGAGGACTTGAGAGCGCTCCTCTGTGGTCGTCAGATGCTCATCTCTTGTACTCAAATAGTGAAAGTGGATGAAGGTGGATGAAAGTGGCGGTGTAGAATTTGATCCAAATTGATCCACGTCGCTGCGAAGGCACAAGCATTTTGGTGGGAAATAGTGGCGTGGGCAAGTCGCACTTGCTGAACAGACTGGGCCAGGCAGGTGAACGACATGACAATCTGTGATCCCATCACCAGACTCGCCAGACTCACCAGATTCACGAGACTTGCGGCATCCCCCTGTCCCTTCGAAGCCGTGGTCAGGGTGAAATTGCAGTGACAGTTGGCAACATCAGCGAGAAGCGGGGAATCTGAGATGATTCTGACAGATGCTGAGGCAGATGGAGAGACTGCTGACGCCGCTGAGGCTGAAGTTAGGAAGACATGTGACAACCACCACGACATTGCCAGTGACTTAGGGCTGGGAGACAGACTGAGTGCGTGTTCGACTGCGTGTTCGACTGGGCGAGGCATCGTCTACCCGGTGGGGGCGACCCTGCCTATCTCATTGATTCTCCAGGCAGGGCTCCATGGGCAAACGGCAAACGGCAAACCCGGGCTGAGCGCGGATTTTTTTTTGATTTTCGTCAGGAGCACGACGCTTCAGCATTTGGGATGTGAGGCCCGAAGAACTCAAGGACCACGACAAAATGCGACAAACTAGGACAAACTACGACAAAGATGATAAGAAAATGCAAGAAGTTTCTCCGAAGTTGCAAGAATCTTCACAAAGCCCCAGGAGCACTTTGTTGAGTTCATCCCCTACGCTTCTGGTTGCAAATTTTCGGATTGCCGCCATTTGGAGGCTGGATGAAGGTAAGATATGGCAAGTTATGGCAAGTTATGGTGAGATTGGGATGAAAGTGATGATGAAAGTGTAGCAGAAAGATCCAGTGATTGGGATTGCTGATTAAAGACAAAAAAGACGGGTGCCTTTTTGCGCCGGCGCCAGGAGCCGAAGTGCAAGGTGAAAGAAGCTGTGGAGGCGCCTTCTGGACATTTCTGGACGACTGCCGCGACTGCCGACTTTTGGGAGCCCAGACTGGGCCTTTGATAATCTCATGGGACGATGAAAGGATTGTACAAGATATGACAAGAGATTACAGCCTTCCTTCAAGGTCTTCCCGTCTTCCTTCCCGTTTTCCTCGGAAATTCTGCTGATTTGTCCAACGGCATGATAACTTGTTTTCCAGTTCATCTCTCTTGTTTTATGTTGGCCTGTGGCAACCTCCAGGAGGGCTACATACCTCGAGAGCGATACGTATCGTACAAGCGCATCCACCACTTGCTTCTGGAAGGCATGGCCTGCATGGCTTTTCTCTGCATTTCTCTCCAGGGCGGTGCATTTATTTTGAGACGAGAGAGTTGCAAAGGAGAATTCATCAAATTTATCTCCAAAAGTGCTTCTACTAAAGGGGCAAATTTCTCTTCAAAATCAGAGATGATGAGGCAACCACTTTCAGAGTCCAATACTGATCAATACTGCCAATACTTCACTTTTGTCTTTGGTTTCTGACAGTGAATGAATGAATGAATGAAATGAAATGAAATGAAATGAAATGAAATGAAATGAAATGAATGAAATGAATGAAATGACATGACATGACATGAAATGAAATGAATTGAAATGAAATGAAATGGAATGAATGAATGAATAAATGAATGAATGAATGAATGAATGAAGGAATGAATGAATGAATGAAATGAATGAATGACATGATGACATGAATGGCATTAATGACATGAATGACATGGAATGAAACGAATGTATCAATGAAAGAATGAATGCATGAATTACTGAATGAATGAATGAATGACTGACTGGCATAATTAATCTATTTTTTCAGGTCTTGATAAAGTTTAAATCTGTAAGTTCATAAAATCATGAATTCCCAGACTTCCAAACCGCCAACCCAAACCGCCGGATAAGCTCTAGTTGAGTGAAGTTGTTTTGCCCATGTGCCCATGTTTCACTCGATCCTTGGCAAGGCTCTGAAGGTGCCCGGGTCACAGAGTGCCTTGGAGTCCTGGAGACATTTGGACATCTGGAGACGGGTCACAGTTCAGAAACGCATTTATAGGCACTATATAGATCTTCATAGTAATAGTACGTATGCAATAGATTGTAATAGATTGTAATAATACAATAATGTATAATTAATGTACAGCAATGATTTTCAAGCATGCTGCACTTGCTTGTCACAATCGCAGTTCGCGAGGTATCTTCCCAGAAACTCAGTGGCCTCCCCTTTCCCCGTTCTGTGCCACCAAGGCTTCGAACAGCGGCAGAAACGAGAAAAAAAATGCGCGGCTGCGATACCATGCAGTGTTGCTGCATTTGTATCACATATTCAATACATATTATGTATATATTATGTATATATATATACATGTATCTATTCATTTTCAATACATATTTAGCTGCACGCATTTGACGTATCTATCATTTTACTGTTGGTATTACAGTTGCTTTGGCTTCAGTTGCTGAGTTCGCATTGCCAGTTGCTTCCCGAAAAGCAGGCTGCTGGGCAAATTGACCGAGATTCCGCCGAATCTTGGCTGATTGCTGCAGTTGATTCATGTTGATCCTGTGAAGTGGTAGCGCTGTGACAAGGACTACAGGCGATCAATGGAGGGTATCATGCTTGATGAGAATAAGGAGCCGTGGCAAGTTCTACACATTGACAGTTTCAAGTACAAAGATGTATGACATATGATCATCATTGTTACAAGAATCCTTGAGTGCTGGCATCAGCCGAGAAACCGCGTGACTGATCATCTCATTTGTTGCCTCCAGGATAACGACATTCACCATTTCATGCAACTTCATGCATCTTTGTCTAGATAATCAGGGAGAGAAGGTATGATGCGGCAGTGCAGCCAAAGCCCAACAATCCATTTTGGGTGGCGGTTCGAGCCAAACGATGGACTTGGCGGCTTTAGAACAGACATAGTTGAAAGGCAGCACCACCATCAAAAGTTGCAGGGTGCGAGGGCTGGCATATAGTTTAAGTTGACGCCTAAACGTGTTTTTTCATCTTGGCGAGACTTCGAGAAGATTCCATCAAAAGTGCAAAGGACAGAGACACAGATGACATTGGGCGATGTGAGACAATGCTGCAGCAGCTGCGATGCAGAACTTGTGCAGGAGCATTGGTCCGAGCTCCTTGATGTCCCTGTAGACTTCATGGGAGGGTCCAAAGCGCTTGTTTTCTCTCCAGTTTTTTGTTTCGTTGGTTGTTGGCTGAAGTCATTTGAAACGGCCAGGGGAGGTGGTGAGGTTGGGCACTTAGAGATAACCACGGATTTTTTTTTGTGTCCAGATCGCTTGAAAAGTGAGGTGAACAGCAAACTGAACCGCTTGTGCAAGATGTTGTAACAGCGTGAATTCAGGACTATCAGCTCTATCGCCCCAAATGGGATGAGGACTGGAACATTTGGAACTCACACATTTTTTTGCGAAAATTTAAAGTGGAAAGGGTCGATTTGGGACATCGGATCAAATTGAGCGTATTTCGAGAAAGAGAAAGAGTCGTTCATGTTTGATTCAGGACCGAGAAGAGTCGACTGTGAATACAAGGAGCTTGTGTGAAGAAAACCATGTAGCTAGCACTGAGGTCGCAAAACTATTTGTTATTTGTCATTTGCAGCTTGTTGTTCTTTCTCTCATCATGTTTTTTTACTTGCATCTTTCAGTTTCGTGTATTCAGTTATACACATAATATATATAATGTATAATATATAATATATAATATATAATAAATAATATATAATATATAATATATAATAAATAATATGTAATATATAATCTATAATATATCATATATAATATATAATGTAGTATATAATATATAGTATATAATATATAATATATAATATATCATATATATAATATAATATATAATATAGTATATAATATATAGTATATAATATATAATATATATAATATATATAATATATATAATATATATATAATATACAATATATAATATATAATCTATAATATATAATCTATAATAAATATATATTATATATTATATACATAATATAATATATATATACACCTAGATATATACATATCCCCATTGGTATCACCACTGTATCGCCATTGAAACGTTTCTGCAGGACAGCACGCCGCATCTTAAAAGCAGGAGGCTGCCGAGTCAGCAGAGCAGGCGATGCTGTTGCGATGTGTTAAGGATACAGCTGCCGAAGATCATGCATGGATAGGAATAATGACTGGATGAAAGTAACAGTCGAAAATCATAATATTACTGATTATGATGATGATGATGATGACGATGATGATGATGATGTCATGTGCGTGAAATTATATGATATAATGCACTTTTTATAGTGCTGTACGTTGCTGTACCACATCTATTTGGACAGATTGGAGGTCAGCACTGCCAGGTACAGAGGCTCAAGCAGCTGCTGCAACAGTTGCTGCAGCAGCAGCAGCAGTTCCTTGGTCGATGGTCAATGGTTGGTCCATGGGTTGGTCGATGGTTGGCACTGAGGCGGCCAAAGCATCTTCTTCGCTTGCCCGGAAAGGCAGCAAGGATGCCGCCAAGTTGGATTCTCAGAAAATCGATCGAAAATATCGAAAATATCGAAACTTGGAACTTGCGACCGTAAGACTCCGTAAGACTCCGTAAGACCATGAAAAGACCCTTTGTGTTTCAAGTTCCACTCCTTGTGAAGAGAAGCAGATTACGATGCCACAGTGAGATCATTGTGAATCTTGAAAACGTTCCGACTCGTTTTGTTTCACTCTATTCAGGCCAGCTGAGGAAACCATGAAGGACCGAGACAGTGAGAACGGAGCAAAGCGGGGCATATGATCAAACTTTGAACAGACCCAGAATGTCACTGTCCAAACTCTTTGCCACACAATGCGTACCGTGTGGCTTACGTCGGAAGACTCACGTCAGCTGTACTCACAGTGCGACAGTGACTCAGACGCTTAGATGGACCAGCAAAGCCCACATGTCTGAAATGGGTGCAATGACACTGGCTTCATTTGTCGAGGAGACGGAAGCAGATGCCTCTGACCCATGGACACCATCTCAGAATGATCAAGATGCTGCAACTGAGAAGGTTTGAACCTTCGGTTTTCACCATTTGGATTAACATATTAGCATATTAGCATGGCATTTTCCGAACTCACAAGCGTGAAGCATAGAGATTTGTTCCTAAAGTCCAGTGATTCTGGTCTGCACTGAGGGCTCTCGGTCTGCTGCCCAGTCAAGACTGAAGGGAGATGGGTTTAGGAACCGTAGTAACGTTTAGATGTGTGCGAACATGTCCAAACCACGCCTATCAATGAACACTACTTGGAAAGGAGGCAGCACTGGGAGTGTTTGCCGCAATCTTAAAGAATAGCCAGGAAACAATGTTTGAGGTTTTCGTGTTTCTTTGGTCAAGTCGCGTTGCGTCACTCTAGTCTTCGGTGCTTTGGTCGGCTAGTGCTCTGGTCTCTTTAGCGTTTGCTGCTGGTTTCCCTGTCTTTGTGCCAAGATGTTTTGGTGCCCTCGTTTGAAAGCCAGTGGGAACAGGAACTGAAACACAAGCAGAGCAAACACTGGCAAACATCAACAATCACAGAAGCGACCGTGACAAATTGAAGATGAACATGAAACACGGCACATTTCAACTACTGACATGCTTGGATGATTTTTCAACCACAAATACATCCTTTATCGCCACCGCAGAAGAACCATTGTAACAACAACACAACAACAAGCAGACACCACCAGCAGCACAGAGAAGAACAAGGAACGACTGCAAGATCAATTTGCTTCCAGCAGCAAGGGAAGAATCATGAAAACATTTATATATACATTGCAGATTTCCTTCCCAGAAGATCGTTGCAGCTTTGCAGATTCATTTCGGATTGGCGCGGTTGTAGTATGGAAGAGTCCAACCTCTAGACGTCTTGTGGATCCCATCTGCCCTCAAGTGGATCTATATGAGTCATATATGTATATGTATATATATATATATACATACATACATACATACATACATATATATATGTATATATATACATATATATATATATGTATGTATAGGTATATATGAGTCATACGAGCATATTACTTTGAGTGGCTTAATATATCTATATTACTTGTCGTGCACCGTTCTGGTGCACAAAGTACTGTGTTTTTTGAGGCAAAACAATGCAAGCGTCTGCGACCGAGTGGGATGGCATGGGCAACTTGGATCCAATTTGAAGCTTAGAGGAGCCGGCCAGAGGAGCCTTTCCCCTGGAACCCCTTTTTCCAAGGGGTTCCGGGGGTTCAGTGCCTCATTTTGATGCAAATATCTCATCTTCAAACAGTTTGAAGAAAGACAGAGACACACTCTTTCTGATTTGTTTTTCTTCGAGCAGTGCTTCAAAGTTTCCACACAGTGACAGCAGAGTGCTCGGACATGCTGTGACCATGCTGTGACCATGCTGTGACCTCAGGTAGCGGATACTATGACGAGTCTGAGGGGTACGGTCAAGATCTGAACTCGATGTACCTGGCGGCATACAATGGAGCGCAAGCATCGATGGCCTGGCAGTTCCAGCAGCAAATGATGGGCGGCATGCTGATGCAGATGCAACAGATGCAGATGCAGCAGAGGCTCCAACAGGCGAAAGCCCAGCGGGCCCGGGAAGCTGCGCTGAAGCAGAAAGCGGAGAAAGAGGCCAAAGCAAAAGCAGCTAAGGAGGCGGAACGTGCAGAACGTGAAAGGGTGAGGGTAGCAGAAGCTGTGATGCGTCTCAAGAACCAACAGATGGGATCCATGGGATCCATGAGCTCTATGGGCTCGGGCTCAAGAGCCAATGAACTGCCAAAGCAGTTTGGCTCTCTTGGCTCTCTTGGCTCTTTGGGGTCCTCTCTGGGCTCCAATGAATTGCCCAATATCGGTTCCATTCTCTTGAAAGAACTCAATGGTTTCAATTCGGCCGGTGCTCCCGGTCCTAGTGCTAGCACTGGTAGCACAGGTAGCACTTCCGGAGTTCCGAGTGCAAGCGCTAGCGGTCCCAGCGCCTTTGGCGCTTCCCTTGGGAACATTGGGAACGGAGCGCTCGGAACTCCAACCCTCAGCAGTGCCCTGGGCACTTTGGGCAGCGTTGGCAGTGTTCTAAGCAGTGCATCCAATGCGAAGCCCTCCGCGGCGTCGACGTCAGCGAAGGGCGGTGATGCGTCAAGCCAAAGCACAAAGGCAGGACCACTTGACGACGTGACGACTCGTGACGTCATTCGGGAAATCACCGACACGACATGGTTGACCAATGTGTCAGTGATGTCAGAGATGTGGGGAGTAGGCCAATGTTTAGGGAATGGGGAAATGAATGATAATGATGGCCTACCACCAGGGCTTTTGAATGCTTTTGATGTTGGGTTAGATCAAAGGCTGCAAGGCGATGTCAGTGGCGGCAAGAAACTCTACATGTGTAGAACTTTACAGTGCCGCATCATACCGTATTTACATGTATTTACCGTATTTCCAACGTCAGAAACTTTCTGAAACACGTCAGAAGCTTCGAGGTAAGTCGATGATTTCTTTGGGGATTCTTTGGGGGTCACAGATGTCGATTTCACGGATTGCTGCTGCTGATTTGCAGTTGGGAAATAGCCCTTCTTCTCCAGTAAGTTCGAGCTGCTGGCATGTCTTATGTCTTCTTACAGTCTTACAGCTTATCAGAGTCATGTCATATCATTTCATATCATTCATATTTTTGTCATATCATATCATATCATTCATATCATATCATATCATTCATATCATATCATATCATTCATATCATTTCATATCATTCATATCATATCATATCATTCATATCTTTGTCATATCATTTATATCATGTCATATGATTTCATGTCTTATCCGAGTTTCTTACACTTCACATCTTGATCTGTGGAGTGTGCCAGGTCTTCGCTGTCACAGGGACCCGTGGGACCCGTGGGACCTGTGGGACCCGTTGAGAAAGCGCCCAGTGGACCCAGTGGACCCAGTGGGCCCAGTGGGCCTGTGCCGAGTGGACCAAGTGCCAGGCCCCGAAGTCACCCGGGACCCGGGGGGTCACCCGGGGGGTCACCCGGGGGGTCACCCGGGGGGTCACCCGGGGTGATGTGTTCGACAGCGGTTAGCGGTTTCATCATGTGTTCGATCAGGTGGTTGTTTTGGTGTTTTCGTGGTTTTCCAACTTTCCAGCTCATTCCATCTGTGGTTTCTGAAATGACTAGGTAGATTGGGGTAGATTATGTAGAGAATGTAGAGACATTGGATGACATTGGATGACATTGGATGATATTGGATTGGTGGTGAATCTTGATGTTTTTCCCCAGATAGCTGGCAAGCTATAGGGGTTCTTACTTCTCAAAGGTGGGATCTTCGGTGGCGAACTTTTGAGCAGGGTGCTGTGCAGGGTGCTGTGCAGGGTGCTGTGCAGGGTGCTGTGCAGGGTGCTGTACAGTGCGGTGGCGAAGTCTGGCAAAGGTGCTGTGCAGGGTGCTGTGCAGGGTGCTGTCCAGACTGCGGTGGCGAAGTCTGGCAAAGGTGCTGTGCAGGGTGCTGTGCAGGGTGCTGTGCAGGGTGCTGTCCAGACTGCGGTGGCGAAGTCTGGCAAAGGTGCTGTGCAGGGTGCTGTGCAGGGTGCTGTGCAGGGTGCTGTGCAGGGTGCTGTGCAGGGTGCTGCTGTGCAGGGTGCTGTGCAGGGTGCTGCTGCGCAGGGTGCTGTGCAGGGTGCTGTCCAGACTGCGGTGGCGAAGTCTGGCAAAGGTGCTGTGCAGGGTGCTGTGCAGGGTGTTGTCCAGACTGCGGTGGCGAAGTCTGGCAAAGGTGCTGTGCAGGGTGCTGTGCAGGGTGCTGTCCAGATGCGGTGGCGAAGTCTGGCAAAGGTGCTGTGCAGGGTGCTGTGCAGGGTGTGCAGGGTGCTGTCTGGCAGGTGCTGTGCTGTGCAGGGTGCTGTGCAGGGCGCTGTGCAGGGTGCTGACAAAGGTGCTGTGCAGGGGGCTGTGCAGGGTGCTGTGCAGGGTGCTGTGCAGGGTGCTGTAGTAGTGCGGTGGCGAAGTCTGGCAAAGGTGCTGTGCAGGGTGCTGTGCAGGGTGCTGTCCAGACTGTGGTGGCGAAGTCTGGCAAAGGTGCTGTGCAGGGAGCTGTGAAGGGTGGTGTGAAAGGTGCTGTGCAGGGTGCTGTGCTTTGGTTCCCACGTTGGGAACCATCAGTTCCAACCTTTAGGAATTGGAAGTTCTTTGCAATGGTAACCTCTAGTTCCCAGGTTGGGAACCATGAGTTCCAACCTCTGGGAACCGGCAGTTCCTTGCAATGGTAACCCATGGTTCCCAGGTTGGGAACCAGGAGTTCCAACCTCTGGGAACCGGCAGTTCCTTGCAATGGTAACCTGTGGTTCCCACGTTGGCAACCGTGAGTTCCAACCTTTGGGAACCGGCAGTTCCTTACCATGAACCAAACGCAAACATTCCGGTAGCGGTCCATTGAGCAAAACAAAGCGTTCTTTACCGGTCCATTAAGCAAAATCATAAAATTGTAAAGAAACTGTTTTCATATCATTTTAACATGCACCTTTTTCGTGCAAAACATTTTTATGCCGGCCCAACAGCCAAACGCAAACATTCCGCTACCGGTCCATTAAGCAAAACAAAAGGTTCTGTTACCGGCTCAGTAAACAAAACAAAACAACATTAAGAACCATGAGTTCTAACTTTTTGCAATCAACAGATCCTTCCACTGGTAACGTTACTTTTTCAGGCTTGGAACCATGAGTTTCAAACTTTGGAAACCCGCAGTTCCTTACAATGAAAGCCGCTTAGCTCGAAAACATAAATTCTAACTTCTGGGAACCGGCAATTCCTTGCAATGGTAACCTCTGGTTCCCAGATTGGGAACCGTAAGTTTCAAGGTCTGGGAACCGGCAGTTCCTTGCCATGGTAACCTTTGGTTCCCACGTTGGGAACCATCAGTTCCAACCTTTAGGAACTGGAAGTTCTTTGCAATGGTAGCCTATGGTTCCCAGGTTGGGAAGCATGAGTTCCAAGCTCTGGGAACCGGCAGTTGCTTGCAATGGTAACCTCTGGTTCCCCATGACTTCTAACCTGTGGGAACCGGCAGTTCTTTGCAATGGTAACCTGTGGTTCCCACGTTGGCAAGCGTGAGTTCCAACCTTTGGGACCCGGCAGTTCCTTGCCATGAACCAAACGCAAACATTCTGGTACCGGTCCATTAAGCAAAACAAAGCGTTCTTTACCGGTCCATTAAGCAAAACAAAAGGTTCTGTTACCGGCTCAGTAAACAAAACAAAACAACATTAAGAACCATGAAATTCCAACTTTTTGGAATCAACAGATCCTTCCACTGGTAACGTATGCTTTTTCAGCTTTGGAACCATGAGTTTCAAGCTTTCGCAACCGGCAATTCCTTACAATGATAGTTGCTTATCTTCGAAAACATAAATTCTAACTTCTGGGAACCGGCAATTCCTTGCAATGGCAACCTCTGGTTCCCAGGTTGGGAACCCTAAGTTTCAAGGTCTGGGAACCGGCAGTTCTTTGCCATGGTAACCTTTGGTTCCCACGTTGGGAACCATCAGTTCCAACCTTTAGGAAACGGAAGTTCTTTGCAATGGTAACCTATGGTTCCCAGGTTGGGAAGCATGAGTTCCAACCTCTGGGAACCGGCATTTCCTTGCAATGGTAACCCATGGTTCCCAAGTTGGGAACCAGGAGTTCCAACCTCTGGGAACCGGCAGTTCCTTGCAATAGTAACCTGTAACCTGTGGTTCCCACGTTGGCAACCGTGAGTTCCAACCTTTGGAAACCGGCAGTTCCTTGCCATGAACCAAACGCAAACATTCCGGTACCGGCCCATTAAGCAAAACAAAGCGTTCTGCACCGGTCCATTAAGCAAAAATCATAAAATTGTAAAAAAAATGTTTTCATATCATTTTAACATGCACCTTTTCGTGCAAAAACATTTTTTTTTGCCAGCCCAACAGCCAAACGCAAACATTCCGCTACCGGTCCATTAAGCAAAACTAAAGGTTCTGTTACCGGCTCAGTAAACAAAACAAAACAACATTAAGAACCATGAGTTCTAACTTTTTGCAATCAAGAGATCCCTCCAGTGGTAACGTTACTTTTTCAGGCTTGGAACATCTTGGAACCATGAGTTTCAAGCTTTGGGAACCTGCAGTTCCTTACAATGATAGCCGCTTAGCTTCGAAAACATAAATTCTAACTTCTGGGAACCGGCAATTCCTTGCAATGGTAACCTCTGGTTCCCAGGTGGGAACCGTAAGTTTCAAGGTCTGGGAACCGGCAGTTCCTTGCCATGGTAACCTTTGGTTCCCACGTTGGGAACCATCAGTTCCAACCTTTAGGAATTGCAAGTTCTTTGCAATGGTAACCTATGGTTCCCAGGTTGGGAAGCATGAGTTCCAACCTCTGGTAACCGGCAGTTGCTTGCAATGGTAACCTCTGGTTCCCAGGTTGGGAACCAGGAGTTCCAACCTGTGGGAACCGGCAGTTCCTTGCAATGGTAACCTGTGGTTCCCACGTTGGCAACCGTGAGTTCCAACCTTTGGGAACCGGCAGTTCCTTGCCATGAACCAAACGCAAACATTCCGGTACCGGTCCATTAAGCAAAACCGAGCGTTCTTTACCGGTCCATTAAGCAAAACCATAAAGTTGTAAAAAAAATGTTTTCATATCATTTTAACATGCACCTTTTTCGTGCAAAAACATTTTTATGCCGGCCCAGCAGCCGAACGCAAACATTCCGCTACCGGTCCATTAAGAAAAACAAAAGGTTCTGTTACCGGCTCAGTAAACAAAACAAAACAACATTAAGAACCATGACGTCTAACTTTTTGCAGTCAACAGATCCTTCCACTGGTAACGTTACTTTTTCAGGCTTGGAACATCTTGGAACCATGAGTTTCAAGCTTTGGGAACCCGCAGTTCCTTACAATGATAGCCACTTAGCTTCGAAAACATAAATTCTAATTTCTGGGAACCGGCAATTCCTTGCAACAGTAACCTCGAGCAGATCTGGTTCCCAGTTTGGGAACCGTAAGTTTCAAGGTCTGGGAACCGGCAGTTCCTTGCCATGGTAACCTTTGGTTCCCACGTTGGGAACCATCAGTTCCAACCTTTAGGAATTGGAAGTTCTTTGCAATGGTAACCTATGGTTCCCAGGTTGGGAAGCATGAGTTCCAACCTCTGGGAACCAGCAGTTGCTTGCAATGGTTACCTCTGGTTCCCAGGTTGGGAACCATGAGTTCCAACCTGTGGGAACCGGCAGTTCCTTGCAATGGTAACCTGTGGTTCCCATGTTGGCAACCGTGAGTTCCAACCTTTGGGAACCGGCAGTTCCTTGCCATGAACCAAACGCAAACATTCCGGTACCGGTCCATTAAGCAAAACCGAGCGTTCTTTACCGGTCCATTAAGCAAAACCATAAAGTTGTAAAGAAACTGTTTTCATATCATTTTAACATGCACCTTTTTCGTGCAAAAACATTTTTATGCCGGCCCAGCAGCCGAACGCAAACATTCCGCTACCGGTCCATTAAGCAAAACAAAAGGTTCTGTTACCGGCTCAGTAAACAAAACAAAACAACATTAAGAACCATGAGTTCCAACTTTTTGGAATCAACAGATCCTTCCACTGGTAACGTATGCTTTTTCAGCTTTGGAACCATGAGTTTCAAGCTTTCGCAACCGGCAATTCCTTACAATAATAGTTGCTTATCTTCGAAAACATAAATTCTAACTTCTGGGAACCAGCAATTCCTTGCAATGGCAACCTCTGGTTCCCAGGTTGGGAACCCTAAGTTTCAAGGTCTGGGAACCGGCAGTTCCTTGCCATGGTAACCTTTGGTTCCCACGTTGGGAACCATCAGTTCCAACCTTTTCTATCTGGGGTCTATGCCGGTGTAATTATTTTATTTTTATTTTTTTGATCGATATTAGGATCGATTAGATGTATGTAATCATTATTTGTAATCTACATCTTCCATCATTTTCCATGGATTTTTGTCCATCGACGTTGGTGAAGTTGTATGCCAGGCCGACAGATGACGACGACGATGACGTGAATTGCAACCAGCAGTGATGGCCTGGATCGGACCTGAGTGTGCCGTGGCTCACGTGGATCCGTGGCAGCAGCAGAGATCAGGGTGGCCTTTCCAAAAGCAACGTCAGAGGATCAAGAAAAACACGAATTTATGACATTTATGACATTTTATGACTTTTTATGACATTTAATGACTTTTTATGACATATATGACATTTTTTGAAATTTTATGACATTTATGACATTTTATGACATTTTATGACTTTTTATGACATATATGACATTTTTTGACAATTTATGACATTTTATGACATTTTATGACATTTTATGACATTTTATGACATTTTATGACATTTTATGACATTTTATGACATTTTTTGACATTTTATGACATTTTCTGACATGTTATGACATGTTATGACATGTTATGACATTTTATGACATGTTATGAAAGGTTATGACATGTTATGACATTTTATGACATTTTTTGACATTTTATGACATTTTATGACATGTTATGACATTTTCTGACATGTTATGACATGTTATGACATGTTATGACATTTTATGACATGTTATGAAAGGTTATGACATGTTATGACATTTTATGACATTTTATGACATTTTATGACAATTTATGACATTTTATGACATTTTATGACAATTTATGACATTTTATGACATTTTATGACATTTTATGACAATTTATGACATTTTATGACATTTTATGACAATTTATGACATTTTATGACATTTTATGACATTTTACATCTTAACAGTCTTAGCAGCATGACAGCTGCGACATCGCTACTCGACATCTAGTTTTTTTCACAGCACGATCTTTCACCATTGAGAACCTTGAAATCATGAGATATCATGAGATATCATGAGATATCATGAGATATCATGAGATATCATGAGATATCATGAGATATCAGGGATCTTAGAGTCTTAGAGATCAGCATTTTTCTGCGTTTTTTCACAGTGTCATGTGCTTCTACTCTTGCTGAAGCTGAGCTCGCAGAGTTCAGCTGTGAGTCACGGCTGTGGAATTGGCATTCTGTGGAGTTTTTGTCTGCACCTTCGTGATGCGAATCCTTGGCACAAATTTTCCAAATCGAAGCATATCCAAGCATAGCGCTATAGTGCGCCAAAACATCAAAACTGCACATATTTTTCCATAGTGCTGTCGCCTTTTTTCGTCAATTTATGTGCCAAGAGATACCAAGAGCGTGCAGTGGCTGGGGCACAGGCTGAGACGGATCGAATTGGACTCAGACCACTCAGACTGTGCCGCGTGGTTTGAAATGACGAAACTGGTCACTTCAAATGACGTGATCACGTTGTCTGACCGACTTTGTTCCTCCCCTAATTCAGATCGTCAAAAGGCACCTGAACAAACCTGAGCAGATTGCACCAGAATGGCACATATTTTACATATGTCATATGTTGTACATGACATAAGTATCATATGTTATGTATATATGTATTACATGTGTGTGTATATATATATATAGTACCCCACCAAAAAAAAACCAACCTTTTACTACTTTTACTCGTATTTACGGTATTTTCTGCAATATTTTTGGACATATTTTTTAGGCATATTTTGAGGAAATTTTGGCAGTGGTTTCAAGAGGGGGTACCTATTTATCTTTTTATTCACTCATTCATTCATTCAATCAATCAATCTACCTATCGATCTATCGATCTATCTATCTATCTATCTATCTATCTCCATATATATGTATATGTATATGTATATGTATATGTATACACATATAATTCGGGGTACCATAGGTATAGACAAACTTGTGAGACATGACGGTTCTGGGATCAAGAGGTCTCAAGAGGTCTTAGTTCCTCCTCCTTTCAGACTATGTCTTAAGTACAATATACATTGAGGAATTTTTGTTTGAGGAAACACCAACTTCTATCTGCAAAAAACAACACACTCCCAAAAAAACAAAAGGACTCAAAGAAAACCAAGAAACCAAAACTTTTGACTTCAGTCAGGGATTCTGTGTGTGTGTGTTTTTTTTTTTAAAATTCCTGATTCAAGATTCTGAGAAACAATTTTTAGATCCCAAGCCTTGTAGAACCCTTGGGTGTATGTACTATTGTTGAAAGAGACAGGTTATGGTTGTATGTGTGCAATGCCCTTCCATATGAATGAACCATCTGAACAAAACAGGCAACATTATTTTGAAGCAGTGAAGTCTTTCCGTAAAAACAAATGTCATACAGTCATACAGAAAAACTGAGAGGGAGGCTGAACTGCATTAAAGGAGGTAATGCATCTTTCCACATATTATATTTTTCTGCAAGAATACTACTTCTTACTTAAGGGAATACATTGTCTTCAGGGCAATTATTTTGAAGAAGTGGAATCTCTCAAAAAAAGAAACAAGAAAAATGAGAGGAAGGCTGAGCTATTAAAGGGTGTATTGCATCTTTCCACACAATCTAGTTTTCTTGCAAGAATATTGCTTCTTATTCAGGGGAATATCTTGTCTTCAAGGCAGATTGTAACCTGTAAGCAGCATTGAACAATCTTTTCTTTTTTCAAGGAATGCAGCGTGTTTCAAATGCAAGTTAGTGGCTGCAAGGTAGCAAAATATTTTTTTGAGGGGCTAGCATATATATATACTGTATATATATATATACATATGTATATATATATATATAGAGTATATGTTCAACATGTTCAAAAACATACGTCTGCCATTGTATATATGAATCGGTTATATCGGTTCTTTGGTGTTCTTCGCACCCTAATGGCATAATAGGTCTGGTAGGGCCTTCTCTTCAAGAGGCGGAATGCCAGTTGTTTCATGGAATCACAGATATATATATATATATCATATATATATATATATGATGATGATGATGATGATGATGATGATGATGATGATGATGATGATGATGATGATGATGATGATGATGATGATGATGATGATGATGATGATGGTGTTGTTGATGGTGTTGTTGATGATGTTGTTGATGATGATGATGATGACGATGACGATGATGATGATGATGTTGTTGATGATGATGATGACGATGACGATGATGATGATGATGATGATGATGATATGAATATACATGAGAGCATAGAGTGCTCTTCATAAGCAAGCAGCAGGGCCATCTCTAGGGCCGTATAAAATTTCCATGTAGTTAATCTTTTCATTACTGTAGATCTAGCGGCGCGACGTCTTTTGGGGATGCCGCTGTCGCCGAAATGATTTCGACGACTGTTCAGGCTGTCGGGGAGAAAGTCTGAGACAGCAAGCGAGCGGCGAAAAGTGCCAAAAAAGACGGCCGGACTTGAACAGGATCGCCCGTGCCCGGTTTCAGCCTGTATAGCTTGCAGATTTACTATGATAGAATGGCGATGAACTATGAATATACTTGGAAGACAGGTGGATCGAGAACAACTTTAAGGATTTTGGCAGGTCTTCACAGATGAGCTCTCGAACTCTCGAACTCTTTTGTTGCAACCTTGGGCTCATCTTGTTATACCCGTGACGGCCCGTGATATGCGCAGAATGTGGAGGCTTGGGCACAGTGAACTGAAAAAAAAGGAATATGGTTGGTTGATGTTGGTTGATGCTTTGTGATTGATCCTTGGTTTTTTCAAGCTTCATTGTTGGGTAGTCGCAACTGCTTTAGGAACAATATTTGCACAAGCAGTGTTGTGCTTGGAAGTTTTAGTTTTAGAGTTTTTGGACATCTAAGCGATCTAACCTTTTAGTGCGGAGGTGCGGTATGACTACGTATGACTCCGTTCTGATAGTGAACCTGGTAACCTGCAGCTCAGTCACCTATCTGAGCGAGGCCGGAGTTCATTTGCATCTCACAGATTCTCACAGATTCTCACAGATTCTCACAGATTCTCACAGATTCTCACAGATTCTCACTCTGAGATCTCTAAGCCATTTTGGAAACGTTTAGCATAATATAAACTTTATATACTTTATGTACATGTGTATATATATATATGATATACTTTATATATGTATGCATATACATATTATACACAGTACATAGTGACCATTTTTTCTCAAACTTCGCTCAGGAAACTTGCCATGGACTGCTTTCCGAAGCTTTTGGATCCCACTGAGAGCTTCCTGTGCTGCCTTAGTCTCACCGTTGGAGTGAAGGCGACGACCAGCGACCGGTGACGACCGGTGGATGACCGGTGACGGTGGCGCTTTCCGGTGAGTTTTTTGGGACTCCAAAAATAGCCATCCGATGCTTGGAAAGTTTATGATGGTTTTCATGGACAATTCCGAAGTTTTTTCTTTTGGAACCCATGGATCATAACTGGTGCCCCCATGACCTTGGAAATCGACGATTCTATCGAATCCTTATTTGCTAGAAAATGATCAAATTGATGTTTTGGAAGAATTCTGCGCCCGGCAGCTCTTGATGTGGCCGCACTTGGTTCTGGTGCTGTACACTGTAGCCACAGCTACTCGCTTAGAAACCAGGGAAACGTGTTGGGCGTCGGCTTGAATCATCTTGAATCACCCACAAATTGACGACGAATTGTGACCAGACTTGGTGGAACTTACGCGTTGATCTCTGAGGCCATCGAAAATCTCATTGGAGAGGACAATGGTCCAGGTGCATCTCAGCTGTTTGAAACCCTTTGGCCCGGATCTTGGGAGAAATCCTCCGAACTCAAAAAGGGTGGAGCTGTGTGGAAAGCCAATGGAAATCCAAAGGTCGTTGATTGGAGTTCCTGTTCTCTTCGCCGGGCTTTGGGGCGTATACCATCGTGCAGAACCGCACGTGAGCAGCCTGAACATCAGAGTGGAACACTGTGGAACCACTGTCTGGTTGGTGGTTTCAAACATGAATTTTATTTTCCATTTCATATATGGGATGTCATCCTTCCCATTGACGAACTCCATCATTTTTCAAGATGGTTATTGCACCACCAACCAGTTGTGGAACTATGCAGTAAGATGAGTAAGATGCAGAAGAGGCGCCTTGTGAGGTCTCTCTTCATCAAGCCATGTGAGGTACGCCTCTACTGGTACTACTTGGTGGCGAGTTTCATCATTGATTTGGTGGGGTCGTGGGGTCTGATTTTCTTGTGATCTGACTGCCTGAGATATCTGAGTATCATTATAAACTACTTATAAATGATGACGAATTATATATGATAAGGTATGATAATGTATGAGAATGTAAGTTTTTTTTTGGCTATTTGGCTGTTGTGTCGGCTGCAGTTCTACATCGTGAATCTCTTCATCCTTCAAGATGCATGTGTGCATTTGAAGCTCGAAGAGGCGGCCTCGAAGCTTAGTGAATCCGCAGACAGATCCATCGACTCCTTCGACTCCGAGTCGAAGGAGTCGAAGGAGTCGCTGCCGAGGCACATGGCGGTCAAGCCTTTGCATGTGGCGTGGCACGTAGCATCAGCACAACTGCCGCAGTTGCTGGGTGCTCAATCTCCTCAAAGAATTATCTCCCCGGATCCGAATGGATCCGCCAATAAGGTGTCCATCATCGTAGCTTTGTACCTGATCTACATCGTTTGGTCCTGGTGTGAGGAGACTGCGACCGGTTGTAGCCACCAGACTGCGGTTTGCCAAAATGCTGGTTAGCCACGACCTGGGAGGACGTTGACAGCAGCCAGGGATCTGACGTCCCTTGGCAGTTTCATGATGTTAAAAGACTCAACTGACTCATGGAGTTTAATGATGTTTAATGATGTTTAATGATGTTTAATGTTTATTATTAATGTTTATTAATGTTTTATACGACTTCGTTGAAACATGTTGAAACTCTTTGTATGTTAATTTTCTGTTCCAAAGTCGTGAAGTCTTCTGAGTCTTCTGTCAACGAGGCCATTGCCTCCTTGCTGGACCTTGCAGATGGCATTGCGCTAAAGAAGCCGTGGAGATGCCCAGATCGACTTGGGGGAACCGGGAATTGTCAGATCCACTGAACGTAGATCTTCGTAGATGTTCAGTGGATCTGGGAATTCTTCATTCTTACTGGGTCAAAAAACAATGTTTGAAGCATATCCGCATATCCATCCATATCCTGCACGAGATCAACTCAGAAACAAGTTTTTGCCGAGGTCATTCATGTTTGAGCGGAACATGATGCCGGATGTAGTCGGACCCAGCATGGATGCAACGGTCGGTTTCCCAGGTCCTTTTGGTTGTCCACTTTGGTCTTGCCATGGCCCAATCTTCTCCTTCACTGTGTCATTTTGCGGGTTCAGTCCGTTCAATCTGATTCCCTTCCGCCAGTCCTCAGCATGAATATTCCATATTTATCCTGGTCATTTCTCCATATTTCTCCATATTTCTCCTAAATTTCCTGGTCATTTCTGTCCTCAGCATGGTATATTTTGAAAAAAACATGGTGCAAGTTGAGGAATCCATCATTAGCGGAGCGTCCATTTTCTACGGCTCTGTGAGCAACGTGGTGATCGGAGAGGCCAAGGCGGTTCAGGACCTCAGAAGTCCTCAGAACTGAAACGGAAGGACGGGGATGACCTTAGCTACCCGGCCTGGTAAACAGTCACAAAAAACCATGGTTAAAATCATCATTTTTAATGGGTAAATCACAATTGTTGATGGCTAAATCAACTATTTCTATGGCCATTTTCAACTATAAATGATGATAAATGGCCATTTTTGATTGATAAATCACCATGCTATTAATGGGTAAATCAACTATTTCAATGGGCCATTTACCGTTGCGACCCTGCGCTGAGGTCACCGAATTTGTGGGTACTCAGATTGATGACATCGAAACCTATGCCATGGCTGCAGCCTTAGCCTTGTTTAGTGCGATGGTAGGAAAGGAACATATATGATTATGCAATCAATGAGTATATCTATATATACACAATTATATACACTTTATACACGTAATATGTAAATCATATGGTGTATATTATACATATGTATACATATGTATACATATGTATACATATGTATGTGTGTATATGTGTGTGTGTATATATATATATATTCAAGAGTAAAGGACTCCAAAAGCGTAGTGGGTGGCATGGCTGATGTGCCTCCTAAGGTCAGAACTGAAACGGATCTGAACATGCCGACCTCGACCGATGAATGCAGCTGATGGCATTGCCAAAAAGCCGAGCAGCGCCTGCTGTATGGTAGGGTTGTACCATGTTGTACCATTGCCAGCAAATCCTTGTTCACTTGTTCCTTGATGTTCCTTTTGCCATTGCAAAAACCACCGCACTATGAGTGATTCTCGAGACCGAGTGCCACAAAAAATATGGTGCTTCCAAAGATTGGAACATTGGAACATGGTGCTTCCACGAATTTTGCCAACATATATGAGTTCGTCAATGGGAAGGATGACATCCCATATATGGAAACATCATTTTCATGTTTTTGTTGGGCATTCAGCTGCCAGTCCCTTGGTCTCAGCGGCCAACCTTCGCCATGGATGTGGATGTGAGCTTCGATGGATCGCCCGGCTCGAGGGTCCGCATCAGTACTCCCAACCGGACCGCGTCAGACCGGGGGACCGGGCAGGGTGGGACAGATTTTCATATGGAGATAGGCTGAGATAGGGCAGATATGGGCAGATAGGGAACTTGGGACACCTTGGCACAGCATTTCTTGAAACATTTGAAACATCCAACACAACCGTTGTCGGCAACCGTTGGCAACCATTGGCGTTGGCAAATGTCCTGAGTCAACTGAGTCAACTGTCAGGAACTCGATGGTCTACTTGCCGCCAAGCGAGCCCATTTCGCCAGGGGTTTTAGAGCCCGTTTATGACAAGCTCAGCAAGTTTGCCACGACTCTCTCAGAGGCGCTTGATGGATTTTTCAACTCGTCCAACTCGTCCCGACTGATTCGTCAAGGCTTGCATTGGTTTGAGCCAGTTTAAGAGTCAGCTACAAGTCACCTGCTACCCCGGTGCAGTGTAATGCATTCCCAGTTTTCAAAGCTGTGTCTCCACCGCAGCCTTTTTTTTGCAGAGGACTTGGATGGCGTCCGCAGCAAAATCAAACGCATGGACGCCTGCGGCCTAATGTTGGGATCGGCTAACCCATTTTGGATGACATGAGTGTGAGCTGAAAAACTACAGTAACTTTGCCACATTATGATAAATTATGATAAATTATGATAAATTATGATGTTTTGTCGCACATGTCATGCTTGTCTTTCTGCTCTGAGGCTCCAAAGTCTGATGTTGGGTCGAGCCCCGGCAGAATTGTGGAAATCTGCTGGATAGTCATGACGGTGGACGACTCGCGAAAGTCCCCTCTTACTGGTGCGTTTTACGTAGGGTTGCTGGATGGGTTGCTGGGGGTTGCTGGGATGATTATTACCAGTGATTATGGGTCATTCCCGAAAATTCCCTGCTAAGCACAAGCAAGAAGAATCTGAGTGGACCAAAAGGGAAGCCTCTTTGCCATCCTTGTTGCCTGCTTGGTCATGGATCTGCGAGGTCTCAGTTGGTTTCAAGCACAAACCCAGCCCTCAGCACAATTGCAGCCTCGGTTCTCAATGATAAGGCAGGGATGACAATATTTCAAAGGTATTTCCGTATTTCCCAATATATTTCCATGATTTTCCATGATGAAACTGGGGCCTGTGACCTTTGTCAGGACCATTCTCATAGACCATCATAGACCTTGGTCAATTGGTCAAGTCATCCTGAGTCGATGTCAGGTGAACAGCATCAAGAATGTGCTGGCCACTGAGACCCGGGCCCGGATTTCTGGCGACGACGACAACAGTCGCAGGTTGCAGCATGTTGCCATGTTGCAACCGCTGCGCTCGCATCGTCAAGCGACTCATAGATTTCTTGACAGCGAGAATGGAAGACATGAAACTGAGTGTTGGTCGATGGGCAGGCTGCAAATTATGGAGCACAAGCAGACTGACCTGGAGCAGTTTTGCCGTGAGCTGATGTGCGTTTTTTTCCCGTAGCGACCGTAGCGAAGGGTTCTTGTTTAACTTTGTTGTCTGGGAATGGAGGTGTGTTTGCTGTCCGCAACCGTCATTAATGAGGACCACATGATACAGTACCGTTTGCGTTGCAAAGCTCGTCGAAAAGGCGTGTAACGTTGCGTGTAACGTTGTTTTGTGTGGCAGGCGACTTCGTGACAGTTTGATGAAGTGTCGCAAGTCGTTTTCTGTGACAGGTGCAATAACTTTTCCAAGGTTTTCAGAAGACTTGATTTTCGTGGCAGGCGGTACCGCACTTTAGACGTGCGGTATTGCGTGTTTTGCATTCTTAAGTGGTGACAACGTGCACACGAAGCATCGATTTTGAGGTAGCAAATTTTGGGCTTCGTAAGAAAACCTGCAGGAAAACTGCATATTGTAGCTACGAAAGACGAACATTTTGCATCAAGCCGTGACCATGTGCGAATTTCGTGGGCGCAGTACATCGTGAGAGGGGCATTCTTCGTGGCAAGCGCAGCATGTGGTGAAGTTTTATCGTGTGAAGTGGTGTGGATGGTGGAGTGTGGACTCTAGAGTCCACAAAGGCGTGGTATAGTGAGTATAGTGAAAGATTTATCACTGACTCTTTCAAGAATTTGTTTCGCAAACGTGACGTGTGCAGTGGATGTGGGCTTCGTGGCTTGGAGGTTTCAAGAATATCAAGAACCCAGAGATTTAATTTTGAGTGATTTTATAATGATTTGATCATCAAGATCCAGTGAATATCAGTGAATATCAGTGAATCCAGTGATCATCTCCCATAGGATCCATGGTGCTGGTATATATACTAACATAAAGGGGGTATTTCTTGATGGGATCCATGGAGCACCATATATAGCAGCACCAGCCGGATCCGTCATGGGTCTTGTTGATCAAACGCAGAACATCAGCGTTTTTTCAGGAGCTGCGGTTTCGTACATGGGATGCACGGCTCAATTTTTTTTCAGCGAAACGAAACGTGGACAGATGGACCGACTTTTTTTGTACTCCGAAAGTTGATGGAAGTTGATGGCTGATGGAGGATTTTTTTCGTATTTTTTCAAGGCTTTTGGGGTGATTATACATATATATCATATATATATATATATCATATATATCATATATATATATCCTCAACAGTTGGGTGATCTTTGTTAGGGTGGATATTTACACATTACCAAAGCCTGATTTTGTCTTTCTGAGATTTTCTGAGGAATTGGAGAGAAACACGATGACAAAGGCCGCGGCTGGACGCTTTTGTCACCTGTTGTCCCGGAAAGCCGTTGGAAAGCCGTTGTGACATGTCACATGCGAGGAGAATGCAGAGGCCTTGAGAATTGTGAGGCAAGAGCTTGCGCAAGTGAAGAAGGAGACCTGAAACAAAAAAACACGAAGAAAGCAGCTAAGAGGCTAAGAGCTACCATTCTATAGCCGTTCTATAGCCATTCTATAGTGGTCTCCGTTGAGACATGCTCCCCTGATCATTCCATCGTCACTGAGTCTTACTGTGCCTGTGCTGCTGTGAGGATATGGAAAGCATGACAAAGGCCTGAAGTGAACAGTGACAACAGATATTTTCTTTGCAATTCAGTTCATTCTGCCGGAAATTCTGCCTGTTGTGGATTCGTTTGGAGTTTGTCCCAGGATTCTGCAGATGCGCTGAACAGCAAGCTGCAAGAAGAGATCGAGAAGCTTCAGGAGGACATTATATACGTGGGGTCTGGGCCCGCCAACATCGTGAAATATTTTGATGTTGCCAGTAGTGCCCCGCCTACTTTATACCAGCACGGTGGAGGAAACAAATCCTGTGTATCCAATTGCGACATTGTAGGAGCAAGATGGCAAATCTAGGAAAGGGATGGAAAGGGTAGCTTTGACACTTAGTGGCACATCGGACTAAAACCCATTGGAGTCCAAAAGCTTGTCAACAACTAGCCAAAGACGTGCTTTCCCAAACTTTGCAAGGCGGCAGGCTGCAATCTGTATTTTGCCGGACCTTCCAAAATATTCCAACTGCATGGCTGTGAGGATGTGGAAAGGATGACAAAGGCCTGAAGTGAACAGTGACAACAGATATTTTCTTTGCAATTCAGTTCATTCTGCCGGAAATTCTGCCTGTTGTGGATTCGTTTGGAGTTTGTCCCAGGATTCTGCAGATGCGCTGAACAGCAAGCTGCAAGAAGAGATCGAGAAGCTTCAGGAGGAGATGGGAATGAAGATACAGCATGTTGTGGATCATAAAACTGCAAACGGGACAGGGCTTCAGATTTAAGCTTTTGCAGCCCCAGCCTTTGTCATAGAGTAGATTTAGAGCAGAAAAAGATTCCCAGCAACCAAGCCCCAAAAGCGCAAGACAAGGTTCCAAATCATGACACTTTCCACGAAGGTTTGCGAAGTAGATTAAACTTCATGGACCTGCCAAAACAAACGTGCACAAGCGCGTCAGTTTCTGCTTTGGTCTCACAATCTGTTGCATTTTTTTGGTGAAATTGGTGAAAGCGCGTTTGTCAGATGTTTTTGATGTTTTTGTTTTCGAAATTCGAGATTCAAGGGATCGGTTCTTGAATTTTATAGGGGGCAAAAGTGGACGAAAGCTGGAAGAGAAGCAAGATTCGAAGCTCACAAGAAGTCAAGAAGTTGGTAAAATTTGGCAAGCATTCGAGAATTAGAGAATCTTGATCAGATGCTGTGCAAGAAATCAGCAGGTTGCACTGTTTCCGATCCGGGTTCTGAAATATTCCAACTGCACGGCTGTGAGGATGTGGAAAGGATGACAAAGGCCTGAAGTGAACAGAGATAGCAGATATTTTCTTTGCGATTCAGTTCATTCTGCCGGAAATTCCGCCTGTTGTGGATTCGTGTGGAGCCTGCCCCAGGATTCTGCAGATGCGCTGAACAGCAAGCTGCAAGAAGAGATCGAGAAGCTTCAGGAGGACACAGCGCAGCGCTATGTTCTTGGCTCATCTTGGCTCAGGTTCTTTTGGTGATCGCTTTGATGTGCACCATCTCATACCACCTGAGGGCTTGCAAAATATGCCAAGCTACCAGAGAAACCAGTTGCTATCTGAGGGCTTCCAAGATGTGTGGTGCCAAGTTGTGTCATCTTGTGGCATCTTGATCCAATTCGCCACGTGAAGCCAGGATTTGCCACGTGAAAGGCAGCAGCAAACCCTCAACCAGGCAGTGGATTGCCTCGGTGTCGATGCGATCCATGACAAGATGATTGGATTGACGATTGGATGATATTGGATGATACTGTTGGATTATTGGATGATATTGGATGATATTGGATGATATTGGATGATATTGGATGATATTGGATGCTTACCAATCCCAACTTTCCGAAGCCAAGGTTGACTTGTAGAGCTTGTACTGTCCCTTTGTGTGTCCTGTATTTCTTGGCAGAGTCTGGCAGAGATCTGGAATTTTCGATCGAATTTTCCATCATTGGCTTCTGCCAAGGTAGACTCTGGTGACTTGACCAGGACATATTTGACATAGTACATGGATGTACATGGTGGGCTTCCCACATTGTAACAATGAACTGATCATATTGGTCTTGAAATTTTACAGTATATAAGTAACATATAAGATATATAAGCAAGTCTCTTTGTAGAACTCTTCCGAATTTTCTATGGGTGTCGAGGCTGTCAAAGTCTTAGTCGTACTCCTCACATGGTCATTAGTCAACGGATACAATGATACAACCACACTGTGGCAGTGTGGTCATCGTGTCAGAAAGCGTATTTTGAGAGTCATCACTCGCGATTCAAATGATTCTTGCACATATTCTTCATTCATATTCTTCATTCGTAGCACTTGGATAGGGACCTGAATTCAGCCCAGCAGAAACTTCATTTGAAAAAATCATTTTCCGAAGATTTTCTCATGTTTTCTCATATGTTTTCTTCCATCTAATTATGGAATTTGAATGGGGCGGCCCAGTTCCAGTTCGCACCATCGCCATCGCTTCGATTCCAGGTGGAGAATCTGGTGCTTGAGAAGGTCAAGGCAACAGCGGACAGCTTGGACGAAAGCATCGAAGAACTGCGGGCAGAGATGGACCCGGCGACATCGGGGCGAAATCGGGGGCGAAATCGGCTCTGGGGCTGGCGGATTTCGCCTGACTGATTTTCTGTGGCAAAAAGCCTGTGGCATTCTGTCGAGAATTTTGTGGATTTGCAGGAATCAGAGATGAAAAAGGAGTTCGAGACCTTCAATCTAAAAGCATCAAAGGACATAAAACTGCTTCATTTTTTTGAAATCTCTTGAAGAGGGAAAGCTCATGCTGCCCAAGCTGGGAAGTTTGGGAGGACTCCGAGGAAAAGAACCGAAAGATGGCTGAAAAGACCAGCGATTTGGACCGCTTGGTCAATAACTTTGCCAACGACTTTCAAGCTAAGCTGCAAAGCAAGGCGGAAGCCACCAGGCGTGAAACCTGTGTGAAAGGTATGTGAAACGTGTGCTGCGAAAGAACAAGTCAAATGGGAAAAACAATGGAGAACAGTATGATACAGTATGAACAAACGTTTTTTTTGAATTGCTGAAGATTTACCGGACCGCTAGGTTGACTCAAGAGATAAAAGATATCCAGACGGAGATTCAAGGAGAGCGGCAGAAGCGAGAGGTGCTGGAAAGTGAGACGCGAGATCAGAAGGCGCGAAGCTCAAAATTGAAAACCGTTTGCCCAGATCATCGAAGATGCTGATCGTTAAGATATGTTAAGATTATTGTTTTCAGTACGGCTCAACACCCACATTTTCCGACAGAAATCTGTTTCACAAATAGGCGTTTCCCTATTAATAGGGCTACCCGCTACCCCCAGTTGTCATCCATTTTTTTTGTTGGGATTTTCCCTTACCATCCAGCTATTGAGTATGAGTACCCCATTTATGGAACCCCCAAATCAGGCACGACTTGTCCCAATGGAGAACCGCGTGAGTGAAGTTGAGCAGCGGACAAAGGCCGGTGGCCGGTGGCCGGTGGCTGTTGGCCAAGGCATTGCCGAGTCGAAAATGTTTTGAGAACGGTGGAAGAACCGTGGAACAACCATGGAACCATATGAAGAAATTAATGGATTATAATATGCATTAATATTGACTAATATGGATTAATAATGATTAATAATGATTGATATGGAACTGACATCACAACAGTCTCAGACCAGAAACCAAAAAAAAGATCAAACAACTCCAAATTTTTGAAGATGAACAGAACCGGTCTCATTCCTTCCCATCGAGTTTCGCACAGACGTGGAATGCTGTGCTTCGTGTTTGCAGAATTGAATCCTTAGCCTTACTAGATCCTAGCTATTGCTTAGCTATTGCTTAGCTATTGCTTAGCTATTGCTTAGCTATTGCTTAGCTATTGCTTAGCTATTGCTTAGCTATTGATTAGCTATTGCTTAGCTATTGCTTAGCTATTGCTTGTGTGTCATTTCTTCCTTAGCATCATTGACAGATCATTGAATTCATCGCTTGTCTTTTTTTCCAAGGAGTTTATCCAGCGGAGCGGATACGACATGGAGGCGAATGCGCGCCCGTTGAGTCGCGGTTGTTCGTCGTTGGTGAGAGTGTTTTTTTTGTCAGGAAGAACGGCAAAAAGCGAGAGAAGAGAGAGCGAACCTCAAACGGGAGGCATTGGCACCATTCACCATTGGGACCATTGGGACGATTGGGACGATTGGGACGATTGGGACCATTCCTGACAGATTCTGACAGATTCTGACAGATTCCTACCTGAGTTCGAAAGTTGATCAAGCTGAGATCTGTGCCAGTCTCGTGAGCTTGAAGTGAAAATGGAAGAGGGTGTGAAAAGACAGGTCCAGGCCAGAGATTTCGAGATGTTTATGAAATGTTTATGAAATGTTTATGAAATGTCATGTCATGATTCGTAATTTATCATAATCATATATATATATATATATTATACATATCATTGTGTATCATTGTGTATCTCATATTGTGTATCTCATATGTTTTTTTTTGCATGTTTTTTGTATGTTTTTTTATGTCATGCAACGGTCATTCTCACGGTGCTGCGAGGGCCTCCAGGAGAAGCTTCAGCAGCTGTTGGAAGCGAAAGCCGACGATCTGAAGCTGCAAGAACTGGAGAAAGATTTGATCAGCAGGTGCGACCTGGTGCGGCCATGGTGCGGCCATGGCTGAACCAGAGCGAATGGTTGGTAGATGTAGCATGTTAGCCAATATGTTAACCAATTTGTTAACCATGCAACATAATTACATGAAACATGCATGAAACATGCAAAGCACTGCAAGGATAGACGCACTGACGATGTTTGAATCACATTTTGGGTGAAAGATTCCATTGGGATTTCCAGAGATGAGCCTTGAACTGCGAAAAGGTCCGACACCCGGGAACAACGACTGCGGCAGGACGACTGGGACGACTGCCGAAGCGGAAATTCTCATCAAATTCGAGGTATTCAGAATTTCTCATGTGTGATTCAGAATGATCATGAGGTATTTCTAGCGAAGACCTCTGAATTGTCAGGCTAGAATCGGCTAGAACAGCCCCACCTTCGAGATGAGAATCAGCTTCATATTTTGTGAAAGGAGCTGAAAGACTGTTCTGACGACGTCCGTGACAGAACAGAGAAGATCAAAAAGGACTTCAAGGCCGCACACCAAATTGCAGTCGCTTTGAGTCGCTCATCAAATTCATCTTACTCAAAAAGCAACTCCAAGCCCGTGCAAGTCATTTTGAGCGTAGCGGATTTTGATTCTTGAGGTTTTTTTTCATTGTTTTCGTTTGTCTTTTGGTTGCTTTTCAAGAAGATATCGAAGGATCGAGTCGGCGAAGTGGAAAGCTTCGTTCAAAGACTGAGGGAGCACTTGCGGCAAATTTAATTTACAGATTTTACATGATTTTACAGATTTTACAGTGTAAAGATCCCTCTGTGATTTTGATGTGATGCATCACGTTGCATCACCTGGGAATCGCTTCCTTGCCAGCCCAACTACAGAAACCATGTCTCCAAAGACGGAGCCTGTTCAGCGAGCAGAGTTGGACAGGCATCTGCAGAGCCAAAGTGCCTGGAACATGGGGCGCCAACGACTGCATAATGCAGAGCCAATGCTTTTGCGACTGCGAATGGACTGCGATGGACTGCGCTAAGCTGTGCGCAGCTCATTCTGCTGGAAAGGCGTGACTTGGTGTGAGTTGCTGTGGAGTGTTTCTGCGGGAGCAGATGGAGCAGTGAGAGCGACTGGCAGCGACTGGTGCATTTCGCATTTCGTTTCACTGCAGATTTCATGGAGCAGTTCTCACAAGCTCTTGCTCTGCAGGCTCTTACAAAAACACCTTGAGTTCAAGCCATGGCTAGGCAGTTTAGTCACAGTATGTCAACTTCCATCTCGGCCTAGAGCCACATTCCAAACAGTGTTTCTCTAAGATCCGTGGAGCGGTCCGTGCAGAAGCATTGAGTAAAGTTAGGAACATAAGTTATATAAGTTGCTGCTGAGACAAGGAAACTAAGGAAACTAAGGAAACCTGTTGTCAACTGGAAGGGAACGCGTTTCATGATGTTTCATGATCCCAAGCTGCACATCCTGGGCACATCCTGGGCACATCCTGGAAACCGCCCAGTGCTTCGCAATGCAAAAGAATCCGATTTTTGAGAAATGGAAAGAGAAGGCTCCGGTGTCTCAACATGTCGTGATTCGGTGATTCCACCCGTGATTCCAGCTGCTGATGCTGCTGAGAGAATCGATCTACAGAGAATCGATCCACAGCTCTACTCATGTCGATCAGAAATTTCTCCACCCACTGTCAGGGCGAAGCCAGAAAAGTCCTCGCAGAGCGAACTTTGAACTTTTTTTCGGCCGATTCAAAGGACAGCCATTCTCGAAATTTCTAGACAATGAGAAGAAGAAATACGCCTTTGTAGAAATATGTTTAAAAAAAACATCAAACATCTGTAAAAAACATCTTGAACGTCAGGTCTTTGCTGCCGTTTTTTTTGTTACTGAAGTTCTGTTGTTTTCTACCTGGTGAGCTTGCAGGACGCACTGGCTCGTGGCCTTGCTGTGAAGGAAAATCTCAAGTGCCACGGCCAAGTTTCGGTGCATCACACAGTTGGGATCCAGTGATGTTGATGAATTGTATTGAATTGTCATGATTCTTAATGAACATTCTGATGGGTTTTTCCTTAATCACGCAAAGAAGCCGCCATGGTTTCAGCCATGGTTTCATGATGTTTCATGGTTTCACATCCTTTTCATTCCTTTTCCACATCGAAGATTTTAACGACGGCGGTCGTCATATTTTGTCCCATTGACACAGCAAAGCTGGTGCATCCTGGTGCCGACTTGGGCGCCAAGGTTTGACAATGCACTGAACGGTCTCCTGAAGTCTGGTGGAGACGAGGTTTCCGATGGCTCCGATGGCGGGTCCGATCCGGGTCTGGGATGGCCGGGATGGCTGGGATGGCGCAGGTGACGCGGGAAAGCCTTCTACAGGCGATTCGGAAGGACGAGTGGATCCGACGATGTTGCCAGTTGAGCCCCAAGCATTTCACCGCCATCTTTCCCATCTTTCCCATCTTTCCCATCTTTCCCATCTTTCCCATCTTTCCCATCTTTCCCATCTTTCCCATCTTTCCTTTCCATATTTTTCCCTTTCACATCCTTCACCAGGGTCAAGCAGAGGAGCTTCCAGCACTTCCCCTACAGCAGGCGCAGCAGCATCTTCGCCGCAGCTTCCGGCACAAGGTCGCCCCTGAGCCGATGCCAAGATGCCAAGATGCCAAGATGCCAAGATGCCTGGGAAAAAAATATGGTAAAACAGGGGAACTGGGACAAGACAGGTTGGAGGTCAGGTGGGAGGCTGTTATGTTTTTATATGTTTTTGTTCAATGTTGTAAATCTAAATGTTTGACTGTTTCTTTTTGCTTAAAGACATAACCCCTTAAAATTGTAGAGGTATAATGACTGACAAAAAGCAGTGTTCTAAATGTAAAGTTTTTCAACCGTTAGACTACTACAAAAATGAATGTAAGCAGTGTAATAAACAAACGCAGATACAGGGAACAGCACAAAGAAACTTTAAAACAATATGCTCAACAATACTACGAAAGGAAAAAGGCAGAATTAAGTGATAAAAAGAAAGAAACGTTGGAATGTCCAATTTGTAAATGTGAAGTAAGAAAATATACAATGAAACGACACGAAGAAAGCATAAAGCATCAAATGAACATTAATGGACACTATCTCATACAGTAAAAACCACAACAACCTCAACATACCCTACCCTCATCCAAACCAAACATTAATCAAACAACTCCGACGAAACATTTAGCAAGATTAACAGAAAGAAACAGTCAAACATTTAGATTTACAACATTGAACAAAAACATAACAGCCTCCCACCTGACCTTTAACCTGTCTTGTCCCAGTTCCCCTGTTTTACCATTTTTTCTGGGATTTCTTTGATTTCGTTGGGCCCACATTTCTTGCGATTTTAAAGCTGAAACATCATGAAACATCATGAAACATCATGAAACATCATGAAACATCATGAAACGGCAAACAAGATGGTGATGTCTGTCCTCTCCAACAAGTCATTCAAACACCATGGGAATCTCGATTAATATCGGAATCCACAATTTGTCAAGCCACTCAAGAAATGGGCAAACCCAAATTTTGGGATATTCCAGTATTTCCATGTATTTCCCTAGTATTTCACAATATTAAAGCATCTTAAAGCAATATTCCCAATTGTCAAACCATATCCAATCATTATTACTATAGTAAGAATTCAATCCATTCGTCACCATTATCAACAATTTCGCAATATTCGTCACTATTTCTTCACTATTTACCATGATTCAACCCATTATTCACCTTTAAACCCTCCATTTCTTCGCAGGTGAATTCCCTTCGTTGCCTTGGACAGCGAGTGGTCATGGAAGTCCTCAAGGTGCTGAGCGATGACTCATAACACGTAATGAAAACCTTATATATACACATAATATGTGTATAATTATATATATGTTATAATATCATATGTGCCATATTATATGTATAATATATATATATATTTATATGAAGATTGCAAAGATCTGTATATCATACGCAGATGTATTTGAAGAAAGTGTGAACCACATTTTGAGGTCTGAAAGACAAGGAATTCCACGGTGTCGCAGGTGACTGATGGTGCTCCGGCTGAGAAGAAGTCCGCAAAACGTCGGAAGATCGATGTGTCTGATGCGGTTCCAAATGTTCAGAAAAACAACATCGTTGAGTTTAGTTGAGTTCAGCTGTTGCATGGAAGATCATGGAAGTGCTGAATTCTGCTTGCACTATTGGATGATAGACAACTTTGACACCTTCAAGACCTTACACGAGACATGTTCGTATCACATGAAAGCCTCATTCTTGCGTGCGTTCACATGACTCAAGCTGCGGAAGCTGAAATGCCCGAAATCGAACATGGTCTAAAGATGTGCAAAGTCAAAGGGCAGAGCATGCCAAAACTGCAGAAAAATCAGAAAGTAGGTCCTACCCAACTGGGCAAACCTCTCTCACCCGCTACAAGCCTAGATTCTATTAGATTCTATTAGATTCTATCATGCTAATAGTTTCCAGTCCCGGTTGTGGTGCACACAAAAGAGCAGCGCAGAACCACAGGGTCTACCAGCAGGAAACCCCAACTTCAACGATGGAAACCAAGTGCCGCCCCTGTTTTGGATTTGAGATGCTTCGTATGCTCTCGGGAGTTCGCAGGTCAGCGAAGCAGACTGTTGAAAGCTTGGATTTGTTCAAAACATCTGAAACCGTAAAATACTCAAAGAATTGTCCAAATATGCCCAAATCAATGAATTCTATGAGTTTTTGTATGTGTTTTTGCCTGCGAAGATCTGACATTAGCATCATTAGCTAGGCAGAACTAAGTCGACTAGTTCTGCCTCAATAAATTGGCGAATCCAACCAGGCTGGCTGTTTCGGTGCCAGGCTGGTGGCATTTCTGCCGGCTCTGCTACTGCTTGGAAGTTTTCAAAGGCTCGATGCTTTCAGATCTGCACCAGCTTCGCACCAGCTTGATTCATGATTTTCATGATTCATGGCCAGTCCATAAAATTGCTTTACGGATGTTTTCGCATGTTGAAAAGGGGGAAACAACAGGAAACAACAGGATACTGGTACCCCGTATACCATGGCTTCCCCTGCAAGTCTGGAAAGCAGCCTTTGTTTCTTGTCAGGAGGGCATTCTCTCAGCCGGAGCTCCCCAAAGAAGATGTTCAAAACCCAGCGATTTGCCAAAGTCGGTGGAAAATGGAGAAGAAGTTTTCAAAGGGAAAAACCGCGCAGTTTATACATTTGAAATAGGTACCTATACCTCACTGCAGCTGTTTACTTAGCTTCACCACGGGATCAATCAGGGCTTTTTGAATTCCTTTGATCAGGTTAGCGACACCATCAAGCTACACCGCACGTGACTCCACAACACCCCCAAACTGAATGGCATTTGAATGGTTTGAATCTCCGAAAACAGAGTTTCAAACAGTGAAGACCAGGAGTTTTATCTAGCCCCAATTGACTCCAAATCAATCTCCATCATGTCTGGCTATGGACCGGCACCACGAGCACCAGCAGTTGGAGACTCAGAACACTTGGACTCTGAGAGTTTGATCAGTTGATCAGTTGAATCCCCTGAAGGTGGGCGCTGTGGCTCCGTACCCAGGCAAGGAAGATGCTTGGAATATGCTGTAGAAAGCTGCAGCCATTTGTTGATGACGGAAAAATGATGAAAAATGAACCAGCTATGTCCAGCTATTTCTACGGAAAATTGATTTTCTTGTTTGGAGGTACTGTGCCACCTGGCTTCACAGCTCCTGGCACTATGCCTGCACCTGGTATGCCTTGTGGACTTCAAATGGGCTCGTGGCCACCAGCCATGCCTGGCGTGGCACAGATGCCGCCGGCCATGCCTGGTATGACACCAGCCATGCCCTCCATGGTGCCATCCGCGCCGATGGCCCCGGCCATGCCCATGGGAACGGCCATGCCTCCGGCCATGCCGGGAACGGCCATGCCGGGAACGGCCATGCCTGGTATGGCCATGGGAGCCATGCCGATGGCAAGCACGCTGCTTCCAGGACACCTTCCAGGACACCTTCCACTCCAACCTGCACCCGCTTTGCCAACGAACGACAGCCAAGGCCTAGCGCTCAAAATTCAGATCCATCTTTTAGTGTTTTTTGTATTTTTTTGTCAATGTTTTTTCCGTTTCTACCTTTTCTCTTAAACTTTCCACGGAAGCCGAGTGTCTTGCAGGTTGGGCTGCTGTGGCGGCAGCATTGGGCCAACTTGCACCTGCAGCACCTGCTCCAGCACCTGCAGCACCTGCAGCTCCAGCCGCGACGGATGCAGCATTGCAAGCAGCGTTGACCAGTTTAGGTCTGGGAAATATCAATCTGGGAGCTCTGAATCTGGGAAATTTGGATCTGAGCTCCTTAAGTTCCATTCCGGGCCTGGAGAGTCTGGCTGCGATTCCTGGTTTGGAGTCGTTGTTTGGGCCGGCTGGGGCTCCGGCCGGTGTGGCCGGTGTGGCCCCGGGCATTGTGCCGTCCAGATCAAGGGGCAAGGGCAAAGCCAAGGGCAAGTCTTTCGGGAAAGGCAAACCGCTGACACAGGACTCACCGGGACTCATGGAACTCAGGAAATTCATGGAGATTGGAATCAGTGTCTGACACATTGTTTTCAAATCTTTTAAACCAGGATTCTCTGCCAGACTTAAGATGTATTCACTAGTCATGATGTTTTGAAGGTACATGAAACCATTGTAAGGTGGCAAAACTTCCGAAAAGTGCTGCAAGCACCTTTTAAAAACACCTTGCGCCAGGACTTACCAGTTCTGAATTCTCAGGAGGTTCAGGACCCCGTGATGAGCACCGTTTCGCGCCACCGAGTTTTTTTTTGCGATGTGCCGCTGGTTTTGGATGGCAGGAGCCTGGAGTCTTCGTGGCAGCAGCTTCTCAGAAGGATGAAAGAAAGTGCAGGGCATTGCTGGCCCACAAGGCCCGATGATGTAAATCACGACACCTGAGAAAAAACTAGAGATGACTTTCTAGATGACAAGAACACGAGAATTCACGACAGTCACAATGGCAAGCCGCAGAGGAGATTGTGGTAAGATATGGTAAGTTCATGTAAGTCCATGTAAGTCACACTTGGCGTTTCTTTTGTGGTGAGCAAATCTGAATGTTCCAGGATTTCAACCGAATGGACGACAAGGAGAGCCTGGGGATGCCTGGGGTGTCTCTACTTTTTGGTTTCGATGTTTCAGCGATCTGCACATTTGCTGCAGGACTCAGAACAACGAACGGCTGTACACATTTGCATCTTGAAAAAGATGCCAGAGGAGTTTCCTGCGTGTGGATTTGACGGTGTTGGTTGATGTATGAGCATTGTAAAATGGATTAAAATATATTAAAATGGTCATGACATGTCATGACCCAGAAAACCGCAGTCCCTGCTTCGCGGGAGTCGAAGCCAGGCAAGCTGTCTGTCTTGAGATTCGGCTGTCGTCTGCCCTTCTGAAGTTTGAGACGCTACGGTGTTTCGACCGGTCCCGTGGCGTGTGTGCAACTCTCAGCCCGCGACCGCGACAGGTCAGTAATGACAATGCTGTCTCCACCATGCTGTCTCGCCTTGCATGTTGTGTCTAATCCGCAGCGCAGGGGTTGAACCGTTGAAGCGTTGAAACCAGCAAAATGAGCTGAACTAGGAGCTGAGATATATTGTTTGAGTCGGTTTACATCTCAGCTGCAGCTACATATGATATTGGTTCATTATTTTTTGATATGGATACATATGATACATATGTTACATATACTATATTACTATATATATACACACATACATATATATATATGCACACACGCATACATATCATATACAATATCTATGAGATACTATGAGATAGGCATGATGTGGCAATTTATGGAAATCGCTTGAACGACTGAACGACTGGAGCAAAGCCAGGGCGGTGGCCGCTTGACTCAGGGCGTCTGGCCGTGCTTCGTTGATCGCTCCCCGTTTTTCACGGCGTAGGGCCTTGAATTAAACATAATGATGAATCATCAATGAAACATAAATATCATAAGTATCGTATCATAAGCATAACCATATCTTTGAGATGGTGACAGATCTTGAAAAAAGATCTGACAGATTCACTTCACTGTGCCGTAAAAATCTGAGAGATTCTGAGTTCCGAACATCAGATTTTGATCAGCTGAGGGGTCAACAGCAGCCTGCGCCAGGATATTTGCCTCAATATTCTGAACAGAGATGACTTCACCGAGGTCAATGCAATCGATCAGGAGGGGCCTGGACAGCCTGGACGGCCTGGACATCTTAAATCATAGCATAGATAGCGGCTCAGTAGCGCACAAGGCGGTGGCGGAAGTTTCAAAAATAGGAAACCTATAGGAAGGGTTTTTTTGGTTGAATATTTATTGATGGTTTCAGTCAGACATGAGTCAGATATGAGTCAGATATGAGTCAGATATGAGTCAGATACAGTCAGATATCCAGATGAATTCTGAAAGGATTTCCTGCAGCTTGGGAAAAACAAACATCGCCAGTTTGGCTACACCATCCTCTCGCTGGCGGCCTCCAATGGCATGGTTGCGGTGTGCAAGGCGATCTTGGGAAAATGCTGATGCCATGTATACACCATGGTTTACACATGGTTTATACATGGTTTGCAATATATGGTTTATACATGGTTTACACCCCAGGGTAAATTTGGGTGAATTTGGGTCAGCCATGCTCCACGCCTTTAGGCGATCTTGGATCACCCGGAGTTCACACAGGTGAATTCCAAGGACCCGGTGGGACCCGGTAACGGTGGAAATCGCGGGGCACAACTCGAATCAACGGTGATGTTTTTGTATCAAATTATTCAATAAATGTTCAACTGTTCAATATTCTTATTTTTTGTAGATGTTTTTTAGTGTTCTGAGATGTTCTGTTGATTTTGTGTTTTTCATTTAATTGCGATGGAAAAAAACACAAGAAGACTTTGCTCTGAGCGGCTTTTTGTCACAGGATAAGTGGGGAGCCACTGCGTTGCACTGGGCAGCAGCTTCAAATTTGGGTCGGGGTCTGAGTTTCTCGCGATTCTCCCAGAAAATCTGTGGGAAATTGCAGCAAAAACTGGCAGGATGTATCACAAGAGAAAGCTCATCAGGCTATTATAATAGGTTATGATGTAGTACGTAGTGACTACTGTAGTTGATGAATAGAGGGCCGTCCAACTGTTTGAGAGCACGCCATGTGGAGACGTATGCTCCAACTGTCTTCACTGGTTTTGTGAACACAGTTCATCGCCCATACATAGTTTTTGCTACTGAGATGCCTTTTTTAGTGGTGAAGAAACTTTGAAGTAGTTCCAGTGATTCTTGAAAGCTATGTGAATTTGGAATGGATACAATTTGATACAAGCGATGTGAGAATCTCGAAACTGTCAATCTCTACGACGAAGACGACGTCAGGCTCTGTTTGTAGCAGCATCCTGGAGCACCCTGCGTTTGTGGAGGCTCTTGGATTGACATCTTGCGACATCTTGTGACATCTTGTGACATCTTATGACATCTTGTGACATCTTGTGACATCTTGTGACGAGTTACACTTGGGAAGACTTTCCGAGGCGCACGTGGTGGCTTTCAGCTTCAAATTTGAGAACCAGACAGCTTTGCAAGTTGCCGAGGAGATTTGATGAGATTTGGACAATGCAATTCGTGGGAGAATGTGTCAATTCGATTCAATTGGCATGGCGTTATCGCAGTTATGGCGGAAAAATGCTTCAAGGGCACGAAGAAAATCCATAAAAATCCCCGATTTTAGGAGAGAGGTTGCTCAGATGCAGAGCAGGTGCGCAGAGCACTGGACTCCCTGCATGATGCGTCGTGAGCCACTTTTTTTGCTGCGTTTTTTGCTGCCACCAAGACCCCCCATGTTGGGAGTTGGACTGGCCCAAGTTTGGGACAGTCAAGTCATTAGTCAAGTCATATTGTTGGCAAAAATTGGTAGATATTGGTAGGTATACGGTACTGTATACGGCAGTTCAGCGTTACGATCTTGGTATTATCTTGGTATTATATGTGATTCTCTTGGTAAGTTTTGGCAGTTCGACATAGTTCGTTCGACCTTTCTCCAGGCCATCAAGAAGGCTTTGAGCGTCTGAGTGCGCCGGAGGAAGTTTCGTTTGGTGTTTCAATCTTCAGACATACCAAAAGAAACATGAAGTTAGCATTCATAAAGTTCTATGTTTCTTAGAGAAAATTCCTCACAAGATTCACTTTACGACAGGTCAAATCAGCATGATCTGCCTTTTGATCAGCAGAACGCCATTGGTGGCACATGGAGAGTGCAGGACAAAAAGCTGCGGCAGAATGCAGACTTTGAGATCCATTTTTTGTCAGTCTTCAACGCTTCTGTTTCTTCACCTTTTAAACGCATCAAAATCTTCAAATTTCAAAAACATATGCTAGCTATAGATATTTATAGTGGATTTTCCCATTGAACATGGTGGATCTTTCCATCGTTTTTTGTATGTTTTCTGCACAGATTTTTCTGTCTCTGTAGGTGCTCACTTCAGCAGATTTGCAGCGTGCAGCGAAGCGTCTGAACGTGGAGCTACGGGAGAATACGGCTGGGCCCTGGTGACCCCGAGAGAAGACCCGGCAGCAGATGCGATGCGATGCAGATGGGCCAGCAATCGACTCATCGAAGACTCATAGATACCCTCCGGTGAACATACAAAAAACTATGGAAAATCACCATGCTATTCATGGGAAAATCCACTATTTCTATGGCCATTTTCAATAGCTATGTTAGTTTACCAATTTGAATATTTGTAGATGTTTATAGATTAAATGTATGATTAAACATGAAAATCATAGATTTAAATCCAATTTATAGATTAATCTTCATAGATACTCCAATTTAGAGATTAATCAACAATCTTCATAGATACTGTAAAATCTGTAAACGATTCAGCAATTATTTCATCAATTAATTTATGAAATACGGCCCGACTGTGCAGTTGCTAAAGGCTCCTGATTCTTGGCCTTTAGCCATCAGTGTGGGGCCACTCATCAAGAGGTTTTTTCCACACAATATCTTATCATTATATGTATCTATTTGTTTATATATGTGTATATATATTATATATACACACTATATACACTATATGTACAGTATATATTATATACATATACAGCTAGGTATTCATATTGAGAAATGATAGCATGAGCTCTCCTAGCAGAATGCGCTCCATGACGTCGTTTGGAATCTTTTGGATCTGCTGAGCTTCGAAAGTCAGGTACCAGATTGAACTCTATAGTGGAGATCGGCAGTTGGGCAAAACCAGCGGCTGGGCGCAACCATGGGTGCGCCTGGGAAGACTGAGAAAGAACCATGGGGCCTTGTCTGAATCTTACATGAAAGGTAATATATATATATATATCAAAATTCTATAATCTTAGGAAATAAGTCAGCATAGTCATCATTGACACGCAGAAAATCGTAGAAATCAATGGCGCCTTAGCTGGCCAGGGCAGCTTGCACTTGGAGACGATTGAGGCGACTTGACGATAGATGCTGTTGGAAATGAAAGGGCAGAAAGTGAACAGAAGAAAGTGGAATGCTTTCAAGATCTCATAAGATAACCATAAGATAACCATAAGATAACCATAGGATAACCATAAGATAACTATAAGATAACCATAAGATAACTATAATACTATAAGATAACCATAAGATAACCATAAGACAACCATAAGATAACCATAAGATAACCATAAGACAACCTAGGTCTTGGGTAAAAGTCTCCCCTTCGCCTTTTTCAGAGTCTCCTGAAGTCGTCGTATCACGAAGCTCATCTGCTTAGGTGCGCAAGTTCACAGGCTATTGGGTAGCCAAACCTGCAAATGCAAGGCCTGTTCCAAACGAGCAAAGTTGAGAAGCTTTGGAATTCCAATTGCAATGCACCTGACAGACTAAAAGTGATTCAAAGCCTTCAAGTCAGTATATAATATATATATACACCACACACACACATATATATATAGATACACATTGCATGCATTTTTTGGGTGATCATTTTGTGTGATCTCAATCCCTCGTTTCGAAGGCCAGGCGAAAGCCCGTCCCAGCCCGAGTCACAAGAGGCAGAAGCCGAGGAAAAGAAGCGCTACGCAGATGTCGCAAAGGCCTGACATCTGTCATCACATTGCAGTCACAAAAATATGTCACCCTTATTGAAGCCACTGATTTTATGTCACAAAAACATCATAAAATTCTGGACCAAGCCGCTTGGATATACGTCGGATATACGTCGAATATCCATGATGATTTCATCATGGAAATTGGACGTTAGACATCCATAGAAATTGATCGACGTCCACAGGTTGCACGATGGTTTGGCTTGCTGCTTTCGTGCGCTATAGCCTGCTGGAACCTTGAGACCTGTTGGCTGAAAAAATCTTGACATAGCTGTGCCATGTGCGCTGAGGTTGGAACAGGGAGAGATCTCCATTCTATTGCAAAGAGGCGAGTCTTGCACTGCCTTGAGCGTCAGGATGTAGAGACCATGAGAATCTGAGAGAATCCGAGACCATGATGAAACATGATAAAACATGATGAACCGATACAACTCATGATACAAAAGCCCACAAACAAATAAACCGCTGTGTGGAAACCGCTGTGGAAACCGCCCTTACAGCATTGACAGCATAGTATGATGGAAATCGTGGAATCCATGCGAGGCCTACCTCTTAGCCATCAAGGATGAAGAGAAGCAGCATGACCGTCTCGTGCGCTACTACAAAGGCAGGTCTAGACTGTCTAAACCTGTTGATACCTGGAATTTTTCCAAGGCAACTCAGAAAGCCAAAGCATAAGACATGCGAACAGAAAAGAAGACCTCGAAGACCAAAAACAGCTGCTCCGCGGAAATGCACCGTAATGGAGGGAATGACAACGGAAAACTAAGGACACACAATCACACATAGAAAATACAAATCAGCACGTGCACTCGCACAGACACAACAATCACGCAGGAAAACGTGAAGTTCAAAATCACGACCCTCGAAATTACAGTGAATGAAAACGATGAAACAAAAGAAGAAACCGAAGGAACAATTACGTACAAAGGAAATAGACATGGAAAAAACATGACGACCAAACTGGCACATGTAAAACAGAAACACCAAAGATTGCCTAGATGTTAAATAATGTCAATGACAGAATTATCAAGACTTTGGGACTATGTGGGACGATGTGGGACTATGTGGGACTATGGTCCCAGGCCTGGGCTTCAAGACCATCAAAGATCCTGAGACTTTGGAGTATCAAGATCAGGTCCATCGGTGGTGAACGGAAACTCAAAGTCCGTTCTCAAAAGATGTGGTGCCATGACAACCGCATTCCGAAGCGTTCAGAAGTTGATTTTCGAAGCTGCTCGGAGGACAGTGCCAAAAAAAGCAAACATTTTATGATCCACGGCTTTCAAAACGAGACTTGCAGAGCGCAACATTAGAAGATTTGCCAACCATTTACCAACCATCAAAGCAGGAAGCGGATGAAGTGGATGAAGTGGATGCAGGTATACGGTACCCTCTGGTAAACATACAAAAAACTATGGAAAATCACCATCTTTAATAGGTAAATCAACTATAAATGGGTCATTTTCAATAGCTATTTTGACATAACCAGAGGGTATACCGAAGAGTCTTGTGAATCGAATGTACCACGGTTGAGCCACGTGCGCCACGCGAGCCACGCAAGCCACGTTGAGCCATGGCGAAAGGTAGGATCAAAGCTTGGAAGGCAAGGGAAACCTTAGAGATTCGCATGTTGTGACTGTGTGCGAATTATGTCACGTTTACGAATCATGTCCTCATACAGCAAATGAGTAAATGCACCATCCTTACATATTATATCATATTATCAAATATTATCCTTTAAGTCTTACATTTAAGTCTTACATCACATAAGCCATCATCACCGTCATCTCCGTTTTAAATCATAACATGGTCATAGCAGTTGAACTCGGCTTCACTAGGCCATGATTTCACTGGGCTTCTGCCTCCTTGTTCCTTGGCGCGAAGCTTGGCTTGGTCAGAGCCCCAAGATGCGCCAGGGCCACGCCTTGTCCCCGTTTGCCCTGGTCGTGAATTTAAGTTGAATCCGTTGAAACATGTCGTGCCATGGCCATGTCGTGTCGTCCATGATGTCCATGTAGACAGGCCCAGTTCAGCTTCGATCGAAGCTTCACAGACGCACTGCGGTGACCTGTCTCAGCTGTCTCAGCTGTCCGGGGGGTGTTCCGTCAGAAAAACATGGGAAAACTCGTCGTCGATTTAGCGAAACTGTTTTTTGAGGCCATGCTGCCATTGATTGCACCTGCGAGTGAACCCGCCTTTGGATCTTGCCTGAGAGCAGAGCTGATGCAGCTTCCATGTTCGATGTTCGATAGATGTTAAATATTAGATAATATTAGATACTCGGAATCTGTAAGGATGTGGAACTTGACATGCGTGAGTAGTTGTGAACATGACACCACAATACACCACAGACTTCAGCATCTTCAGCTTCTGCTTTCTTGCGAGCATGATTTTCATGTTGCTAACATGGCTTTCTGCGAAAAAGGTGAAGATTTATTTCGTGTGGTTCGACCGCAGAATGTCGTGAACCAAGAGTTGCTCGTGGCGGCACAACCACCGCAGCGACATGTTATTCCAGTGATGACATGCAAGACACGCACAGATCCACACAGATCCACACAGATCCACACAGATCCACACAGATCCACACAGATCCACACAGATCCACACAGATCCACACAGATCCACACAGATCCACACAGATCCACACAGATCCACACATGAAACATCATGATTATTCAATTCGTGCCATGATGCCTGCGCTGCCATATCCAATACCAGCGAGTTGTCACCTAGGCCAGCGCAGGAGAGGCCTTCTACTCCTTCGATTTGCCTGAGAAATTTAAGGACCGACTGACAAGTTGAGAAGTGGAAAAGTCTGCCAATTTAGTCGAATTGGGGTTTTACTATTTCGTGATGTATTTCGTTTTACTTGAAACATCACACGAAACCCTTTTGTTACGGTTCAAGCTTGATCGTTGCACCATTGCACCTTCACACGGGAGGCTGTGAATCGTGCAAAGTATCAAAGAGATCGGCGGAGACCAACTCAGTCTCTGAATGCTTTGTGCATCCAGTAGACATTTTAGAATGATTAAGAATTATTCAATAAATTTAAATGGATTTCAATAGATATTCATGAAACATTTGAAGCATTTGAAACATTTGAAGCATCGTAGAGGTTGCTTGGCAAGACCGCCGAGTTCGTGTCAGCAAGTCGGGTGGCCAAGTCACACCACACCGCAGACTCGGCACAGAATTTTTTCGGCAGAAAAACGTTGCGGAAAGTGTTGAGGTGGAGCCAGAGTTTTCACGGGCGAAAGCCCTACTGAGGCCGCGATTGATGAACTTCACATATTGATATAATATAATATAATATGTATATATATATAATGTTGGAAATGTATTGACATATAGAGTACTTAGAACATTCCCATTGATCAGCCTTATCTCTTCACCAACACAGTGAGCAGCTTCACTCCCCTTGGGTCCCACGGGGTCCCCTGCAGGACTTTGTGAAGAGGAGACGGATTACTGTGCCTCGCAGCCAACAAAAGGTGAGCAGCACTGACAAAAGGTTGAGATCTTCAGGAGGTTTCCCAAGTCATGGGACCCCCAGTTGTCATCCATTTGTTGTTGAGTTTGTTCATCAAAAAAAACCATCCAGCTATTGGAGTACCCCCCAGTTTTTTTGGTGCAGGTCTTGAAGTACGAGCTTGGCGAGACGGAGGTGACATGGCAAGACCTGGAGTGTCTGTGTCACGATGGAGTGGAATCATTGTTGATTCTTTTTATATATGGGTATGGATCAATACCTATTAATACCATTTTTAGGGGGATGAACATCCATTTACCAGCTATTTTGATGTTCACCAGGGGTACAAGGTTTTGACACACTGCCATATATATATATATAGGGCGGAAGCTGGGGGTTCCCCGGAAGCCAATTGCAATTTAATTGTGTGGATATGCAAAATGTTGATTTTACACTGTGTTTTACAGTGTTTTTTGCCTTCCCTTGAAAGTGTTCCATCAGTGAAAGTATCAATGTCGGCGCGGATAAACTCGGAGTTTGTCCGCGCAGAAAAATGATAAATTTACATCTTCCATGGATGGCCAAAAATGCGTTCAACATTTTTCCCATTGGAATTGCGGTTTCATACATTTTTCCAGTTTTTGTTGATAAGTACAAAATGTCATAATCCACTGGAGAACCATGGACGAAATGAACATCACATATTTTTCATCTTCGCTTTCCCAAACCTTTTTTTTGGCATGGCGATGGAAAATGTTGTTTTTACACTCTGTTTTACAGTGTGTTATGTTTTTCTCTGAAATGGTTTGGTCAATCGAACTTCCATTTTCATCGCGGAAGAACTTGACGTTTGTCCGTGCTGAAAAAGGAAAAAATTACATCTCCCATGGATGACTAAAGATGTGTGGAACATGCTAACCATTTGAAGTGCGGTTTCTTTTATTTTGGTCGTTCTGTTCAGAAGTAGAACATGTGATAATGCACTGGAGAACCATGGACGAAATGAAGAACGCACCTTTTTCATCTTCATGTCCACAAAGGCTGTTTGAAGCAGTTGGCAGGAGCGAGAGCACCATTGGTTTTCCAACCAAGCAACATCTTCCAGGATTCAACATCATCCAACGCACTTCACATGACGTTATTACACCCCCCCCCACCCCCTTCTGTAAACAACAACGGAACTTGCAACGTAGCAACATCTTCCAACCAAGCAACATCTTCCAGGATTCAACATCATCCAACGCACTTCACATGACGCTATTACACCCCCCCAACCCCCCTTCTGTCAACAACAACGAAACTTGCAACGTAGCAACATCTTCCAACCAAGCAACATCTTCCAGGATTCAACATCATCCAACGCACTTCACATGACGTTATTACAGCCCCCCCCACCCCCCCTTCTGTAAACAACAACGAAACTTGCAACGTAGCAACATCTTCCAACCAAGCAACATCTTCCAGGATTCAACATCATCCAACGCACTTCACATGACGTTATTACACCCCCCACCACCCCCCCACATCTGTATACAAGAACGACCTTTCTGTTATAGCATCAAGACTGAGGGTTCCTCGAAGCTCCGGGGAACCCCCAGCCTTGAGCCTATATATATATATACATTTACGTAATAGTAGTAATAATGACCAGAATAACAGTAAAATAATAACAATAACAATAACAATAATAAGAACAATAAATAATATCAATAAAACAATAAATAATCGTAGTAATAATCATGATACTAATAGTAATAACAATTAAGAATACTAACACGCATTCTAATAACACTAGTTATCATCATTATTAATATATGTATATATATATATATTATACATACATTATGCACATTATAGCTTGTTTTTGCAATGTATCTAAGAGAAGCTATATGTTCTATGCAGCCAATTGCGAGTGTGATTGTCTTTTTGGTGTTACTCGTTCAGATGCTCCAAGGATCTGCTGGAGGCTGTGGTTGGCACCTTAGAAATCGACGGAACAAATCGAAGAAATCAGCAGCTCTGTCGCAGTTGGAGGTGAAAGAGCCTCAGGCTGGTGATGAGATGTGATGAGAGCCGGATGAGCTGATTTTTGGTTTTCCTCAAATTTCCTCAACATTTCTCAACTTCTCAGACTTTCTGCAGGAAGATGGAAGTGAAGTTCTGAAGCACCGTAAAGGGACCCAGAACTGCTGTGTGGTGTTTTTCGGAGATGGCTTGGAGTGTCCCACTGGGGTACAAGTTGTACAAGTACCAAGGTTCCAATGTTGATTCATGTCGTCACTGTGTCCAATGTGTGGATCTTCAAAAATCGTCGTCTTGGAGGCCACAGTACCACTATGTATCACTGCACTGAACTGCATTTTCCAAGGTTGGTGGCGTGTGCTGAAAGAGCCTGGAGGTCGAAATGCGATTATGGATTTGGAATTGAAGGAGGACAGGACGAGAAAAATCGATAAACATCCACAAAAAACCATTGGCAGTGACGCTGTCACCGCTTCCTGTCACCGCAATGTCAAACTCTCCAAACTTCGATATCTGCAAACTCCGATATCTACCTTACGATATATATATATATGTATATATGTATAATATATATATATATATATCTGCCTATATCTACCTATATGTGATATCTTAAGTTGCGCAGCTTTCCCAGCTGGCATAGCTATAGCTTGCCTCAGGAGCTGCTTAAGGATTTGGGGCTTGAAATGGAGGACCGACAGCGGTTGAAGATGAAGGGCCTGATCATGCCTGATCCTTTTGGTATATGTAGTTATGGAATGTGAATATGAATGTTATGGAAGCTCATGATAATTCGCATTCATTCACATTCATTTCACATTCATTCACATTCATTCACTAAGATTCACTAAGATTCACTAAGATTCACTATGACATGCCATAATTCAACCCCATTGAACCCCAAAATTCAGCGCATGGAAGCGATGGAACAGGCCATCCTTCAGAGCTTCCGCCTGAACGTTTGAAGCGACACCGACACCGGCAGTGGACCGGGTCTGCACTGGTCACTGCGAAAAAGGGGCCGCGCATCAATGCTTCAACATATTTCAACATGATCAAGACCTGCGAACACCAAGGGTCGCAATTTAGACGCTTAAAAGGACCACATATTTTTTTTTCATCTTCGTATTACGTACACTTCTGGTATCTTTTGATACTCTTTTGATTCGTATGGTCCCCGTATGGTCCGTGGATATCCAAACGTGGTCCCCCGGCCGTGCTCGTTCCGATGCTTCAGTCCGTTCAGGTGATTTGGGGCGGCCAGGGCACGCTGATGCGCACGGATGAGGAGGACTTCATGCGGAGGTGGACGCCTGTGGTACGAGAACTGGCTGGCCCTACAAGGACTGCCATGTTGCAAAAAGTGTTGATGATTGTTGATGTTTTGCAGATTTTTGAAGACTGTTCTTAGATTGAACACCGTTCTTCTTTCCGGCAGAAGTTTTGTGAACCACATTTTTTTCGGACGGATAAAGATGCAAAATGATGTAAAACAGAAGAGATTGACAGGCATTGAAGGTTTTTTTTATCCAGGCAGCCCGCAAGAGACCCTGAGGATGTCAGGTAGCGAGAAGCTGTGACGGCGCAGCGTTGACGCGACGCGAACTTGACTCCCAAGTCGATCAAATGCCTGGCCCAAACTTAAGAGATGGAAATGGGTTGAAGGAATTTCCTCCAAATGAGCATAGGGTTGAGGAAAATCGACACTATGAAGGGCATTGGGTCAAGGACCGAAGAAGTATTCAAAGTCGATCTGTTTGACAAGAGATCCATGAAATCCATCGATCGTCAGGTTTTCACAATATGTCATCCCTTACGACAGTCATCAGGTAGCGGGTAGCGATGTAGTCTTCACGACCTGTTTGGCCAAGAGATCTGTTGGCCACCGGTTTTCGTCTCAAATTTTCAAGACCTGGATGACCCGGAAAAAGAGTGCTGGCAGAAACCAGAGCAGCACTACCGTGTTGTCAATACTGGCATCCCCAAAACCCCTCAGTTTTCAATGCTTAGATTCTTAGATGGTCGTTTATGACATTTTATGACGATGATTTGGGGCTAACCCCCATGACAAAACGGAAACCATGGGAAACCATGGGAAACCATGGGAAACCATGGGAAACCTGCGCATCTGCCAATGGGTTGTGAAGTTTCTTGGGCTTCTAGCCGACAGATTGGCTCGAGCCAGGGTGGCCCCCTGACGAAAACTGGATCTCGCACACTTCCGCAATATTCACAGACCTTGTTTTTTGTTGGTATTGCCATATTGCCGGATATCATTCATACCCATTTCTGATCGTTTCTGTCAAGAGAATTCCTTTGACATCTCGTTTCAGAGGTGGTTACTGATGTTAGTGACATTTAGTGACCTCTTTCTTTTTGGCGGACAGCGGCAACAGCCATGACCGACATAGCACATGAGATTGGTCCAGAGGCACCACCGGGCCTTGTGGGCATGACGGGCATGACCTATGCCTTAAAATCAGCGCCCAATGACAGGCCAACACCGAGAACGGAACCGTCGGAACCGTCGGAACCGTCGGAACCGTCGGAATGGTGGAAAAGAACGGCAATGAAATGCAGGCCCTGGACCTGAAAGATCTGAAAGTGAAGATGACAAAGGTACTTCCACCTGTGACCCAAGATCACTGAAAGTTGTTCCAATCTTGAATGGCTAAATTAATCCAAACAAGAGTAAATAAATGATATAAATGTAAATCATATCGAAAAGGCCCTGCCAGAAGTCTCAAGCTTGAAGCCTTCTGTCGAAGTGTTGTGATTCAGGTTCAGCCAAAGGAAGACCATCTAGTGCGGCTCCAAGAACGTATGAAGACGAACACGAAGAAGACGACAAAGACTTCACTTTAAAGACTTTGTAGTTTTGGATGTTTTGGTGCAGAAGGCATCTCAAGACTATGTCAAGACTAAGTCAAGCTTGTTGTACTTGGATTTCTAGTCGAATCTCAAAGTCAGACCTGATCCACTGGTAGAGACCTGGTAGAGACTTGGTGTAGACCTGGTAGATGTGGTGATTCTCAACGGTCTCTCAACGGTCTCTCAACGGGACATCACCGCGCCGAGGAGAGTCCCACGGATGCCAGTCCTACAGGTCCTACCAGCCCGCTGAGCCCTGGCAGCCCAGAGCCGGCCTTAGACTTTTGAGATGTCAAATGCCAAATCGTCATGAAAATGTCATGCATATGTCATGCATATTGCACATATTTCATATATATCATATATAAATACAATTATAAACTATGTATATTGAGAAACACGTTCTGCTTTCCATCACATTCCATGATGCCAGGTTGACTCATGTACAGGTTGTGCAAATCCCTCAGACGTCTTGGGCGCAAGTGAAAACCAGTTGGTTGTTTTGACCGTGCCTGCTGCACGGTGCTGCCATGTTTTGTTGATTCCGTTGCCTCCGCATTTCATCCTTTTAGAGCTACAGTGGTAGCAGGAGCCTGTCAAAGTCTGGGCTCCACCCGTGGATCGATGGATCCAATGCAGCTGCCAGGTGGGGATCCATGGATGAGCAGTTCGCAGTCTGGTGGCCACGTGGATGCTTCTGCGCGGACCCCGATAGCCAGACCTTTGTCTTTCTATCCATCCCCTGCCTGGAACAACTACCGGCCTAGCGGTGTGCCAGTGCGCATGGAGGAAACCCACAACAATTTGTGCCTTCAAGCAACTGCGCTGGATGTGCTGGGATGCCTGGTGTGACGAACCCAGTGACTATGCCTTTGATTGGAGCGACGAGCCCCATGCCTTCAATGCCTGTGATGCCACCTGGATCAGGACAAGTGCCTCAAGTTCCTTTGGCGCAGTTTGGCAGCCCTTCTTCCTTAGGAATGTTCGGGAATTTCACCAATGTTTCACATCAGATGGGATCGCAAATGGGATACCCAAATGAAAGTAATGCCCCTCAAAGCCAAACCATGAGCGGCAACCAGCATTTTTGCGGCAGCCGCGAACTCTGGAGGGTGCTCTCAGCAGAACTCATGTCCTGGACCATGCAATGCACCCACAACAGCGACTTCAGCTTTGGTTTTCTGGATCAGACTGCAGGGCCTTCAGCAAGTCCCCAAGTAAGCAGTGCCTTCGAGATGCTTGGAAAGTCTCCTGCGACTGCCACTCAAGTGAACGGTGTTTCAAATGAGGAAACCATGATGGAAAGCATTGATTGCTGCGTTGAGTGGAGATCGCAAACTTATCCCAAGCTGGAATGGCAATGTGGAAACTTTGCGTGCTTGGTTGCAGCTTTCCTTGTGGGAGCTGGACAACAACTTGCCGAAAAGCCGATGGGGTCTGAAGCTTATGCAGTCCTTCGCAGAAGGATCAGCTCCGAGGAAGATAGCTGAGACGATCGACATCCCGACCTTGACATCGGATGCTGGCTACGGCGCGATTCTCTCAGCAATCTTGGCCAAGTACTCTCCCTTCCTAGAAGCTGCCGGTCCTGCTGCTGTGGAAACATTTTTCTATGGATGTGAGCGTGCGAAAAATGAGTCATTCTCCACTTATGTTGCTGCAAAAGAAGTTGAGAGATGGAATCACATCTTGGAGAACGTTTGCCAGCCAAGATAGCAGGTCGAATTTTACTTCGGCATGCGGGTTTGAATGACACTCAGAGAGAGGCTATGGCAGTGAAGTACAGCTCCATGTTGACGTTTGAGCAAGTGGCCAATGCACTTCGACCACTTGATCGCCCTGAAGCTTTGGTGACAAAGGCTTCCAAAACTTATGCAGTTGTGAGATCGGAAGATGAAACTGAAGGTTATGAGGAAGCTGAAGGAGAAGACGATGAAGAAGAGCTTCAACATGATGAGGAGGATTCTGGACCAGAGAGTGATGGCAATGGTAGTCTGGCCTACTTGATGTTCGACACCAACGAGGAGTTCACCGAAGAGGAAGCAGCCTACATCTATGCCTACAACTCGGCATACAAAGATGTGAGACGTGAACTTCAAGCCAGAAAGAAAGGACGACAGTTCTTCAAGCCTCGTGGTGGAGTCATCAAGAAGGGCAAGAACAAAGGTAACAAAGGACAGTCAAACGGAAAGGGAAGTTCAAACTCTTTCCAAAGTGGCCAAGGACGTGGAAAAGGATCACGAGGAACTCCTGAGGAGCCCATGGCGAAAACAAGATGTTTTTCTTGCTTCCAGCTTGGCCACATGTCTCGTGAGTGCCCCAACCGGCGTGAAGAGTCTGCAAGCAACTTCTTTGTCTGCCAAGGTAGTTCAGGTGTCCTCCAAAACAGAACCTATGTCACCATTCTGAACTTTGTCAACATCTCCGAGACTAAGGAGCAGAAAGTTTGCAGTCTACGCTGGGGTTCAAACATGTGGACATGAGGCCGTGGTCGACACTGCGGCTGAAGAAGCTGTCATTGGCTCAACCGCCATGATGCAACTGATTGCGCGTTTTGGACTGCAACCAGCGCAGGCCCCAGGGTCTACAGGGACATGCGCTGGCATTGGTGGAAGCGCAAAGATTGTCGGAGTTATTCGACATTCCTGTTGGTGTTGCCAAAACCAATGGATTGCTGAGGGTGACTGAGATTTCTGACGAGGGTGCGTTCAAGACACCTTTCCTGCTGCCCATCTCATACATTGAATTGGTGGGAGCGGCCATTGACACCAACACTGAGCAGTTCATTTTGCGAAGTGGCCGAAGCACTCCAGTGAAACGAGTTTCATCTGGACACCACCTGAGCAGCTTCGAGAAGAGCTCAACCTCAAAGATGGTAACCCTTTTGCCCTGCCAAAGAAGCACATGCGAAAGAATGTCTCTTTGCGACAGCAACCAGGTGTTGCGGCGTGGCTGAAAACAGATGACCAGCTGCAGTACATGGGAACCTTGAAGGGGCGCCGTACTACACTGGTCGATCCAAAAAGAAACTTTCAGTGCTTCGGCGATTTCCACATTGAAACGTTCAAGGGTGACAGTGGCTTCATTTTCAGATATGCCTTCAGCATCTCCTATGTCCATACATGATTCATGGCAACATGTCCAACAGCGCCAACTTCCTTTTTGGTCGGGTGATGTGTTTTTTGAGCAACTGCCGTTTTCAAGCACTTCGTTCGGCAATTTTTGCAATTTTGGCACTGTTGTGAACCCTGAAAAACCCTGTATTCCCTATGCTGGCGGAGAACGTGCTGCAACATGTATGACTTCTTGCAAGGCCGCCACCACTGCTGCAGCGGCGCCAATGCTCAATGCCGTGTAGGGAAACAGTTTGAGAATGACACCAAGAATGTTGCAGTTCAGCGTGATGTCAAGCATGTTCATTTTGCAGATGTTCCAGCAGATGTCAAAGTTTTCAGTAGGGATGTCAATGTAGATGCCAAAGATCAAGCAGTTCTCTCTTGCAACAGCGCATCGTCCGAATCCAGCAGCACCCAAGGGCCCATCACTCCCAACAAGACCAAGCTGACGGCAGATCAACTACTGGAACAGCAACTCCTGAAAGCCGCAAGGGAGAAGGAAAGCCGCAAGAAGATGTCATCCGGGGTCATTCTTGCATAGCCCGAAGCCGTGCCAGAGCGTCCAAGCCATCAACCGAGACGGGCAATGCAGAGACGCACGTGCTGAACTCCTCGGAGGAGGAGGAAAGTCCCCTGGCCATCGCGGACGGTGAATCAGCCATGAATTCAGATGTCAAGCCACGGACTCCCAAGGGCACCACATGCATGCCGAGAACGACCTTGGGAACTATGTCAAGGGTGGCTTTTTTTTCATATGTCATGATTTGGTCGTGGCTGCCACATGCAGATGCAAGGCTGAATGACTTGCTTGGCAATCAGGTTCATCTTGAAAGCCGAGGTGGCGACAAGACCGAAGATGGCATGTATCGTTTTTCTTACTTTGTGAATGGCAGCTTGAAGCAGTTGCCACGGACTGACTTTGAGGGAACGCCCAAGATTTTGGACAGAAACCAACGGCATTTTGTTGTTGGAGCACTACGAAATTATCTGGATCACGTTGGTGAAGTTTACTCACCACCCAGGGTGACCAAAGAGGCATGTCTTCAAGGGAAAGGCCAGATTGCTTTGGACTTGACAACTGGCTGGGACTTCCGAATTCCTGAGCATCGGAAGAAAGCCCTTGCATTGATAGCAAAGTTACATCCTGCGGTGCTGCTGCTCGCCCCTCCATGCACAACATTCTCTCCTTTGCGACGGCTCACCAACAGCAAGCGAGATAGCCGTCAAGTGCGACAGGAAGAAGTTGAAGGTGAACAACACATGGACTTCAGTGTGTCCCTTGCAGACTTGCAGATGGGGGAGCGCAGGGGTTTCATTTTGGAGCAGCCTGCACCTGCGACATCATGGCAGAGACCCAGAGTGCGTACACTTGTTGAAAATCCTGAGGTCCACTTGGTGCGAGCTGGCATGTGCCAGTTTGGACTTCATCAAGGCGAACCTGTTCAGAAGCCAACCATCCTTGCCACCTACATTGATGAGATTGCTGCCCATGCTCACAACGTATAACGTATGTCAGAAAAATCATCACCATGGTCAGCTGATTGGTGGTGCAGCCAAGTACGCGGCTGTTTACACTCCAACGTTTGTCAAGGATTGTCAAGGCAGGTGTGAGCGGCATCAAAGAAGCTTTGGGAATAAAGGCATACCTACAACATCCCAATCATCTTCAACAAGCATTCGCCTTTGGCAAGAACCTGGGGTCGCAAGCTCATGTCTTTGCTCAGGGTTGCTTGGAATTGGATGCCGATGTCAATGCGGCCTATGGACTTCACCTTGACCTTGGACTTTGCGGTCAAGAGGGCCCAGCATCCGCACCAGCCGTTGGACTTTCGCAGCACGATGGAATTCGAAATGCTGCACGGCTGGAATCCATTGAGCCAGGTACATCTTCCCAACCTGGAACTTCGTCAAAGGCGGTTATGCCTCTCATGGATGTTGAAGCCCCAGAAGAAGGCGAGGAGGTTGAAGATATGGTTGCTGAAGCAAGACGGCAGATGAGACATGTTGGTGAGCAGCCAGGTGTGGCTCGCCCTTTGAGCCGACTTGAGGGTTTTCAAAGAAGCGATGATGGAGAATTTTCGCTCGCTCCAAATCTTCGCCGAGAAGTCCACCGAGTTCATAGAAACCTTGGACATCCTGGCAATGAAGTCTTTGTGCGAGCGTTGCAAAATGCTGGTGTTCGAGATCACATCATTGAATGGACCAAAAAAGCATTTCAGATGCCCCACATGCGATGCTAGACCAAGGCCAAAACCTTCAAGACCTGGTCACTTGTTGCGTGCGCTTGAGTTCAACACGGTGGTTGGCATCGATTTGTGCTTCCTGGATTTCAAGGGTCATCAGGTGATCTTGTTGAACATGCTCTGTTGGGGAACAAACTTCCAGCAGGCCAGCATTTGCAAGGACAAATCCGCAGAAGAAGTCCTTGAAGTCTTCATGAAGGTTTGGTTGCAGCACTATGGTCGTCCTGTTCGTCTCATCACGGATAGAGGTAAGGAGTTCTATAGCGACAAGCTGCAACAGAACATTGGCGGTTTGGGCGTTGGTTTGCACTACATAGATGCACAAAGCCCATGGCAGAACACACGCACTGAGAAAGCTGGTGGAATTCTGAAGGAGAAGATTTTAGCAACAGCTCAAGCGACAGCAGCGTCTCTTGAGGAACTTCCTTTGGTGATTGCAGAAACCGTTGCATGTAGGAACAGATACATGGACCGATATAGTTTCAGTCCCATGCAGCGTGTATTTGGAAAGAATCTGAGACTTCCTGCAAGCCTGATGTCCTCAGATGCGCTGAATCAAGAGTTGGTGGATGCTGCAGCTCCTGACCCAATCCACAGAGCTTGGCAGATCCGTGAAGTTGCTTCGCAGGAATGGCTTCGCCGTCAAGACCAAGGAGCAGTTCGACGAAGCATCAGAGCTCAATCTCGAACGACGGATCAGGTGAACATTCCCATTGGCTCTTGGGTCTATGTCTTTAGAGATTCACCCTCTTACAAAGGTTGGGTTGGTCCTGGTGTGACGATTGCGGAAGATCCTTCTGGAAAATCAACAAGGATCTCCATGCGTGGTCGCTTGTGGAAAGCTTCAAGAGAACAGTTGAGACTTGCAACTGCAGAAGAAGAACTTGGAGCAGAGTTGATAGTTGAAATGTCAAAGGAGATGCTGTCAAAACTTCACAAGCCTGGCCACGTTGTTTTCCAAGACGTATCTGCAGGTGGTCCAACGGGTGAGTACTTTGATGAAGTCATGCGCACCCTGAACATCCGTGAAGACCGTCCTGAATCACAACCACGCCAATGACAAGGACCATCAGATGAAACTATGAGTTCAAGTAGAAGCAGCACCACTGAGCAAACTTCTACAAACCCATCGTCGACAGCAGAGTCTGGCGAAACTGAAGAAGGCTCGAATTCAGCTATTGCGCCTGGTTCTGAGCAAGCCAGTCGCCGTGCTAGCGCAGTATCAGAAGCAGCTGATGGCGCTGCCCCAATGCAGGTGATTCCAGAAGAAGCGCCAATGGATGAGACCTCAGATGGAACCACACCTGCGAATGCAGAATCAATGCCTTCAAGATCTTTTGGCCCCTCGCTCACTGAAAGAATGCGGCGAGGCCCATACACGCCACCACAGATCTTGAGATCTGATGATGTTCTGCTGGACCAGCCAGAAACTCCTACAATGACCAGAACTTCAGTGACCGAGCCCGCTCCACTTTTTGGCAATTGCTCGGTGACTTCGCCAAATCCAAGAACACCATATCCCTTTCATGCGGGCACTCGATCCTTGCCGAGACCTCCAGGCCATTCATTTTTCCTGGAAGTCATTGACTTTGACAATGACTCTGCAGAAGTTGCAGGACAAGCTTCAATGGCATTTGTTGGTGCTACATGGAGGTTTGATCGAGAAGTGCGGCGAACAACGCTACAGCCGTACACAGATGATGGTGTTTCATTTGCGAAGTCAGAAGCTGAAGCGAGCTATATACTGTGCCAGAGATCGATGCATGTATGTTTCCAAGGCCAAGTCTTCTTTTGGTCAGGTGGAAATTTTCAAAGTTGTCTGAAGCTGAGAAGGTTCAGTTCAGAGCCTCACGCAAGAAGGAGCTGGACAGCTTGGTTGCCACAGGTGCGGTTGAGATTTTGTCCGTAGAGGACAGCCTGAAGTTTGCCAACGAGACTCCAGAACAGATCATCGACTCCAAGTACGTTGATCGCTACAAGCGGATCGCAGTTCCAAGCAGAAGTTAGAGGAGCACAAAGCCAAGGCACTGACACAAGGGCATCTGCAAGCCACTGAACTTGAAGCTGATGCCACAAACCCCAAATCCAGACTTTGTGCAGTTGGATGGCAAGATCCCCAGATACTTGAAGTGGAAAGGTCATCGCCGACACCGCTTTCCACATCACTATATCCTTGTCTACAACTAGCTGCAAGCAGACGCTGGAAGACAAGGGTCAAAGATGTGAAGACTGCATTCTTGCAGTCGCTGCCGACAACGAGGACAAGACCTCTTGCCTGCAGACTTCCAAGGGACGAAGCTCCAGAAGGCTTGGATGAACGTCAGTTGCTGCTTTTGAAAACTGAAATATATGGACTGGTTTCCGGGCCAAGCTGGTGGAGACGGACATTGCTGAAAGTGGCGACAGAGCAGTTGGGCTATGTGGTAAACTGCTACGACCGTTGCGTGCCGACGCTGCCGTCCAAAGACCCTCAACCGGGCGCTCCATCAGAAGGTTTCATCGTCATCGAAGTGGACGACATGGCAGAAGCTGGTGGCGCAGAACACGTCAAATGCATGCAGAAGTTGGAAGCTATGTTGAAGTATGGGAAAATTGAAGACCTCCAATCGAAGGAGGGAACCAACTATGCTGGACGATTTCTGCGACAGCTGCCAGATTTCTCATTCGAAAGCAACATGGATGAGTTCATCTACACCAGGCTGGAACCCATAGTGCCTCAACGAAAAGTACTGAAAAAGAACGCTGCCGATGTCAAACTGTCAGAAGGTGAGAAAACGCAACTCCGAGGTCTGATTGCTTCACTGAATTGGGTGTCGAGAGAAGGACGACCCGATGCTTCATCCGCTGCTTCGATCTTGGCTTCAGCATTTCCGAGTCCAACCATGGAGCACATCTTTGCGGCGAATGACGCAGTGAAACATTTGAAGACTTTTCCGGTAGTTCTCAGAATTCATGCTATCCCTGAGAAAGATTTGCGTTTGATTCTGATAGGAGACTCTGCATTTGATACCAGCGGCAAAGAAAAATCACAACATGGTTGGTTGTTAGGGTTCACTTCCCCTGCTTTGAATCGTGGTGAAAGTGCTCCGGTATCATTGATGCAGTGGCGATCAAAGCGTTTGAGACGCAAAGCAGCATCCCCATTGCTTTGCGAGGCGATGTCAATGTCAGCTGCAACAGGTCCAATGGAGCGTTTGGATGCATTTTTCCGAAGCATCGCGATGTCTCACTTTAGCCCACGTCGAAAACAGCTGACAGAAGATCAGTACTTAGAAGCATCAGGGAAGGCAACTGTCATCGCACCCGACTCAAAGAATTTTGTGGATCCCCATAGCATTTGTGTGATGGATGCCAAAAGCTTGTATGATTCTTTGAATTCAGAACAGAGTCAGGGTGACGATGATAGAAGTGCACTGGAAGCAGCGATCACTCGCGAAAGCCTTTAGTTTGCCGCGGCCGGCCTCGATGGGTTCCTCACAATCATAACCCGGCTGACAGCATGACGAAGTTTGCTGGAGGCCACCATGAACAACTTCTGAAACTCCTTCAAAGCGGTTGTTTCATGATAGAAGATGAGGAACAGGTCCTAAGCCGTGAAAAACAAGCTGAAAGCCGTAAGAAAACGAGTCAAGCATCATGGAACAATAACTTTTGGGGGCTGAGAAACACGTTCTGCTTTCCATCACATTCCACGATGCCAGGTTGACTCATGTACAGGTTGTGCGAATCCCTCAGACGTCTTGGGCGCAAGTGAAAACCAGTTGGTTGTTTTGACCGTGCCTGCTGCACGGTGCTGCCATGTTTCGTTGATTCCGTTGCCTCCGCATTTCATCCTTTTAGAGCCACAATATATATATATATCAACATTTTGTCGACATTTGTTTTACCACCCCGTGAGACTCTTGAAATTTTCGAAGTCCCTTCGCTGAAGCTGAGCCACGAGCCATGGCCAGGTACCAGCGACGAACGGTTCTACGAGGCCGTGCAAAAGGCTCCGGGCCCGGAGCCACGCTGTGGATGAATGATATTAGATACAGCTGAATACGACTCTATAAATATGAAGATCTATCTATCTATCTATCTATCTCTATCTCTATCTCTCTCTCTCTCTATCTATCTATCTATCTCTCTCTCTCTATCTATCTCTCTCTATCTATCTCTATGAATTCTCTATCTATCTCTATCTATCTCTATCTATCTCTATCTATCTCTATCTATCTCTATCTATCTCTATCTATCTCTCTACCTACCTATCTATCTGTCTGTCTGTCTGTCTATCTAATCTATCTATCTATCTATCTAATCTATCTATCTATCTATCTATCTATATATATATATACATACACATACATACTCTATGAATCTATGAATCTGTGAACATATCTATCATGGAAATTGATTCTAAACAATTTAGATGGACCATGATTGAAGCAGTTCTGCCAGTTCTTTTGCGCCAGGTACACAAAGCGTGAGCTCATGGACTTGAAGACTACTGAAGGTTCCAATGCTGCATGCTTAGTTTAGTATTAGTTTTCACATGTTTTCACACAACGCAGAGAGCCCTTTGGTTTGAACCTTCCATGAGGGAACATGTCTCTGAGGAGAAGCCTCCGCAATTCGACCCAACCATTGACCAGGCGCCGTGCCAGCAGTGGCGCAATCCGTGCGCAATCGGAAGCCCGGGGTCACCGTGGTCACCGGAGTAACGAAACGTCCCGACAGGAGGTGCCCAACAGCTTCTTGAGCACAAAGCGTGACAAGGACCGAAGTGGGAAAAACGACGATTTTGACACACTTTTCAAAAGAAATAACACATCGCTTTGATGCGCCAGTTCCAATGCACAAAGTGTCGCAACACATGCGAAACACAAGAGCACAGCGTCAACAAAGAAGAGAAAAAGTCACCTGGAACCCTCAGTTACATTGCACCCGCAGTTCGGGACAGATTCCACGGCAAAGCGACGACGCCCGCAACCGTCACGCACGCGAGCCAACTTTTCTCCGCAACGGAACCTCCGTTTACCCGAAAAAACGCAATGTTGCGTGCAAATCCTAACATTCAAATCGCATCCATGATGTAGCAGTTCCAATGGGATCTGCCAACAGCGACTTGCAAACCACAATCAGGATCGTAACTTCTCTGCTCTACCCTACTCTTCTCTACTCTACTCTCCTCTTCTCTACTCTGCTCTACTTCTACCTCTGCCCTTCTTTTCTTATACCTCTCCTCTACCTCTAGTCTGCCTCCACTACCTCTACCCTACCTCTTCTGGACACAATGGTCTCTGGGATCTATGGAGTATGTACGCACATGCCAACTGGACACAATGATCTCTGGGCTAGTGAGAATGTGGCTTCATGATCTCTTAAGGCACATGCCAACTGGACACAATGATCTCTGGGCTCGTGAGAATGTGACATCATGATCTTTTAAGGCACATGCCACTTGGACACAATGATCTTTGGGCTAGTGAGAATGTGAAAGTCCGTGACTCGGAGTTTCCTCCATGAAACGTCCTGTGATGATACCATGACCACATTTTCAAAAGCGATGAAAACATGGCACCAAAAGCAGCACAACAATCAAAGTGGAAAAGGACCCAGTGTACACTGGAGCTGCAGATTTGTAGCAATACCGCAACGAAGGTGGAAGTGTTTCAAGACAGCTGAATCACTGGTGGGTCATGACTTCTCCTTCGTTGTTCTTGCCATGTCTTGCAATGGATCTTGCAATTTGTCACTCTTTGCTCGCACGCAAAATTTTGTTTTTCCATTTAGATCCCCCTTGATACTGTTACGTCCAGACACTTTTCACGAAAACTAGGTTCTGCTAGCTGAAGCCCCTCTTGCTTTAGCAAGGTATTGGGCGAGGGCTGGAATCTTCAATCACATGAAATTTCATAGTTAACTGCCCCCCATTGGCTGGTTTTCAAACAGTTTGGCCGTGGCTCAATCCTTTCCGGGGACACCGTCGGCATGTGGCCACCGGTAGCAACATCCAAAGCTGCCAAGTTTTCGTTCCTTACCCCTGGACCTCAAGTTTGCTTGGAGGACGAAGAAGACAGGCGCCCACGACGTCGCGGGGAACGAGGCGAACGAGGCGAACGAGGTGAACGAGGTGAACGAGGCGAACGAGGTGAACGAGGTGAACGAGGTGAACGAGGAGACCGTGGAGACCGCGGAGACCGCGGTGATCGCGGAGACCGCGGAGACCGCGGTGATCGCGGTGATCGTGAGAGAGCAGACCGTGGTGACAGAGGCTATGTGAGAAAACAAACATATCTGGGTCAACCAGAATCTAGGAACCACTTCGAGTTTTGCTTGTGACATTTTTAAGATTCGTGGTGGCCAAAAAGACTAGACTCAGATTTAGAAGTCTTTCTGTGAGGCCGCAGGTACGACGAATACGAGCAAGAGGACTCCATCTTGAAAGAATTTCATCATTGACAGATCTGTCAGAACGATTCAGATATTGAGAGATAAACTGAAAGAACAACCAGATAAATTCAAACCATAGAGTCATGGGAAACTCTTGTAACTGCTGCTCCCAAAGACTGGTGATTGGACCTATAGTCGATAGGAGTGGCATGAAATCACGTGAATGCACTTCCTGCAAATGTCTCAACTACTCGTAAGACTTGCAAACCTGCTGCATTTTTTCTGCGTTTGCAATGTCCAGGATTTCCCAAGTGATATTCAAAGATGTCAGTCATTGAAAAACACATAAAACACCACTGTGATATTGCATGTTGTTTGGCAAAAAATAGCTCGGCACTTTCTGCCTTCTATCATGAAAACAATGGAACCTACTGAAGACCAGCAAACACCACTTCATGGCTTCATGGGAGGAGTGGCAGTGGCGGGGACGCTACGAGAAAGATGCAAGGCTTTGATCATTTTGAGTCATTTTGATCCGAGATTCTGTGAGGAACATCCAAATCATCATCAAATCATCCAATGTGGCTGTGCTGCACAGGTGGGGCGGCAATAAATGGACCGCCTATGGAGAACAGGAGCGGCGCGGCGCGGGCGCTTGTGAAGTGTCTGTTGTGTCGTTTGGCATCGAGGAGGATCCTGAGAATGATTGGAAAGGGGTGGATGTCCTCAGAGTGGCCATGGCCAGGCTGCTTGATCTTCGTTTTGAAATCTTACCAATCAAGAAGCTTTGCAAATTTGATTTTGCCAATAAGGAAGACGTGGAGTGGGATATGCCAGTGGGAAAATCCGACGGCAGTCAGGGCCTCTGGGCCTCTGGGCCTCTGGGCCTCTGGGCCTCTAGACATGTCGGCTGTTGATCTTGTTGACAATTCAGGACTGCTTTTGCTTCAGCTGGGGCACTCCCATCAGTGTCCCGCCCAGGCTTGGAGGATTGCACTCTTGGTGACATCCGCAAGGCAAAGCCAGCTGAACTCTTTTTGCCATGCACCCCATTGGCTGTATCAAGTTAACAGGCCAAGGTGTTGAGTATGTTTAGATGTGTGGTATCCTTCCATATCCTTCCACATTTCATAATATGGACCTATTTGACATGTAGCTCAATCAATCTATAAGTCTAGCATTAAGGCTTTGAAAGCTGAATCTTCTTGTTCGTGTCGGACCGCGTCGTGTTTTGTCCCGTAAAAACCCATTGCAGTTCGACCAAGCAGCACACATGCTGAATGGACCCTCCGGTGCAGAGCTTGGATGCAATTCTCGGATACTACCGATGCATAGTTCACATAGTAGTTCACCAGTAGTATGTATAGGTGACATAATATGATATATATATAATATGTATCTATGTTATGCCATGTCATGCCATGTCATGTTGTGTCATGGTATGTTATGTCGTGTCACGGGATGTTTTTTGTTGTGTTACGTGGTAATTTTGGCAAAAATCGGAAAGTCCTCAGCAGTGCCAAGGCGAACCCAAGGGTATCACAGAGGAGGCACTGGCTGCTGAGAGCATCACCATCTGTTGAGATGGCAGTGGGTCAAATAGCTGGTACCCCTGGTGAACATCAAAATAGCTGGTAAATGGATGTTCACCCCACTAAAAATGGTATTAATAGGTATTGATCCATACCCAGATGCTTGGTGAGCCCGCGATGAAAGTTGTCAGGCTCACGTCCCTCGCTTCAATTTCAACGAAGGGTTGGCGGAGGACAACTTCAGTAACTTCATGATTTGTGAATTCCATGCATCTGTGCAGTCTCATGATCATGATGATCATGATGATCATGATGATCATGATGATCATGATGATCATCATGATCATCATGATGGCTGATGGCTACAGAAGCAGGAGCACAGAAGCAAAGCCTGGAACAAATGGGTTTCAAAACCAGAGCCACGCGACGAGGCATGGCTCGACTGTGACACAGACCGACACAGACTGCAACGTCCGAGTGAGCCGCGCAGCCTTGTTTCGAGGAAAAGGTGGACGAGGACGAGGTTGAAAAGGCACCCGTAGTTACAGCACCAGCACCTGTTGTTGCGCCTGCGCAGATGCCTCAATGAAATGAAGCTGAAAGAGTTTTCATGAACGTGAATGAAAGACTGGCGATGATGGCATATCGCCATCCAATGCCATACACACACAGACATCTCTATATATATATATATATATTGGCAATATATCTTTTCTCTGAGAATGGCCTGAGGCCTGCTCCAAAGTTGGCAGGGCCAAGCGCCGAAAGGCCGTTCTTTGTGACATTTTTCGTGACTGCAGGCCATGTCTGGCCGTTGAAACATGGCCTGCCTGTCAGGCCACAGCCGGTGGCACCAGGTGTCCTGGGCAATGGCGGCAATGGCAGCCAGGTGAGCCAGGTGGGAATGGATCCTGCCAAGAACGCTCATGCCTTACCGTACCTCCTGGAAAAACAGGTCCCGTTTTCGAGTCGACATATTGCCTGATGTTGATGCTGTTGTAAATAGTGACTGCTGATGTTTGTGCGATTTGAATCGATTTGATACATAAAATACGACCTTTTGGAACGTGCTCAGCATGCTCAGCATGCTCAGCATGCTCAGCATGCTCGTTTGCGCTAAGGCTTCGCACATGTGTGTCCCTCAGGAGAAACTCAGCTCCTAACAGGTCACCTTTTTTGTTCGCAATGAGGAAACCCCAACCGCCACAGCACAATGCAAGGAGCTTAGACGCCTTAGATATGCTTAGACAGCAGAATTTGAAACGGCTGTAGTGTGGCTCCGGGTGTTTTGTGGCGGGCTGAATTCTGAGGTCTACCAATGGGCAGAGCAGGTCTTCTGACGGTCTTGTGGGTCATGTTCGACTCAGCAAACAAGAACAATTATATATATATATAATTATATAACTATATATGTAATTACATATAATTTTATTCACTGTTTCTCGTTATTTCTCTTTGAGGGTTCACCAAGAACATGGCTTCCATAGTTTCCGTTGGAGGTTTGTTCGCGTGGTTAGCTGCTTGTGGACAATGCCCCATTCCGTCCAGCTCCGCTACTAGGCACCTCCAAACCCAGCTCACTCGGCCCATACCACGAACTCCGCGGGCCGATCGATTTTGTCAATGCTGAACAGAGCTCCGTTGCCCTCTCAGCATCAACTGTGGGGGCATTCTTTTTTTGGGATAAGTTGGTTTATAACTCCCATAACTATGGTTTATGGTAGATATAACTACATATAGTTAATGGGGTTTATAAACCAACTTATAACTGGGGGGCACCATCCTGTATTGTATCCAAGAAGATCTTTCAGGCACGATCAGCGTCCACCGGTACAGGTCTAAGTGCACTGTTCGTCGCAAAATGTGCAGCAGAGTTTCGCCTTTTGGATGCCGAATGTAACCCATGGTAAATCATGGTAAGCCAGTTTCTATCAGTTTCTGGGTACAGTTCACAAGTTCACTGAACATGACAACGTCCTGAGGAAGCGCCCCAGCCTGGCCACCAGGGCCACCAACAGGGCCACCAACAGGGCCACCAACAGGGCCACCAACAGGGCCACCAACAGGGCCACCAACAGGGCCGCCAGGGCCATCAGGGTCCACCACAACACGGCCATGGGCACAGCCATGGGCATGGCCAATATGGCCAACATGGCCATAGCCAGGGCCACCAGGGCCATCAGGGCCATCAGGGTCATCAGGGTCATCAGGGCACCCACCAGACCAGCAACCAGCCCCAACCAAAATTGACTGTGACCCACACCGATTCGTTTTGTTCAGCGATTTGTTGATGGATGATATGGATGTGTTCGCTGGAATTGGGTCCCATTGGGTCTTGTGATATCTTGATGATTCAAGGTACATGACTTGTTCCAAATCGCACAGGGGCAGCAACTGTCAGATGCTGAGATGAAAGACAGAACTTGGGAAGAAAACAGGAATCCCTGAGGAATCCCTGAGGAAGCCAAGGAGCAGATAGCAAGCAGATAGGAGCAGGACGCCAAGGAATAATCGGATCAATAAACTAGAGCCCGAGCACGAGAGCCCGAGCTCAGGGTCGGGAATGAAGCTTCAGGTTTCTCCTTGTTTCGGCAGTCCTACCAAGGCCGCAAATGCCTCCGATGTCCAACTCTGGTGCGGCTTCTCAGTGTGTGTTTTTCCGAGTCAAAGAGTCAGTGCACATGGTTTTGCATCCCATGTTTCGGGACCGAAGCAAGGTGGAGCAGGACCCCGAAAAAGTGGGACCTGGGCTGGGACAATGTGGGGCAAATTGGGCACCCAAGACGGCGTGAAAACCATGTTCTACGTAGCACAGACATTGGATCTTCAATGTGATAAAATGATGAAGATTCCAATCAGTGGGCTAACTTGGTGCAGGCAAAATTATTTCAACACAGGAAACAGCTAGTAAATGCATCGCTGGCCTAGATGGACCAAGGATGACTGCGGGACTACTGCAACAAAAACCTATCCACCATCCAGTGCAAGCTGCCATGCCTGCCATGCCCTTGACAAGCGCAGGAGAGGATCAGGACAAGGAGCGCTTCAAACGAAGAGCCAGCTGTGTTTGTCGAGGATTTTTGCTGTAGAAATTCACATAAATGCCACATAATTGCCACATAATTGCCACATATTAAGAAGATGATACAAGATGTAAGTCTCAGTTCACATGAATGAGTTGTTTGTATCATCTTGTATCATCTTGAGATATTTTGAGTCTGTTTCTGGATTCCGATGATTCCGATGATTCCGATTGTTGTCATCTGGTGCTTAACCAGACTTCGCTGGTGACAGGCACGGAAAGCGGCCCGTGCATTGTGGGAATCCTCTCGAGGGGCTGCAGAGAGGTGCCGACAGCCGCCAGCAGAGTCAGCAGAGCACATGTCGACAAAAATGGGCATTTTACGACAGGCACCCATACCGTTGGATCCTTACTCCGAAATCCGGTAGAGAAATGAGCGAAACGTAGAGAAAGGTAGAGAAACGTCGAATCCGGTGACCGAAAATCGCGAAGATGGGAAGCTCTGTGAATCCATGTAATCATATGTAATCCATGTCCAACAAATCACCCAAATCAGACCAGTGGGATGGCTAAGGTCCAGATGAGTGGAACCAAGATCCGTGCGACTCCGAGTCGTTTCACTGGGGATTTGCTCATTTTGCCCTCGCTTGAGATGCTTGAGATGCTTGAGATGTCAAGGAGTCAAGGGAGTCAGGGGCGGGCAGATGTTTCAAAGTGTCTTGGTGTCTTCTGTCCGTCTTGTCCATTGCTGCACTGCTTGATCTTGCAACTTGTGGAGTTTTTCAGGTACGCATCGGCCGCATCGGCATGGTTCCAAGAATTTTCAAGATACCTCGCCTCAGTTGACTGGAAAGATCTGGAAAGATCTGGAAAGTAGGAGAATCGTGGGGTCGCTAAAAGGACCACGGCATACCACAGCATCGCAAGGAGAATCGTATTGAAAAGCCAATCCATTGATCCTTTTGTTGCTATATGTTGCTATATGTTGCTATGAAATACCATGCAATACCTAAAAAGAGGGACTCTGGGCACCATCACAGGGATTTCGTTGGCTTTCATAGCTTTCATAGCTTTCAGAATGCAAGGCCATGAACGCGGGCCGAGTGCCGAATGCCGGGTGCGCTACAGTCCCTACAGTTGACAGAGTTGACTCTGGTTGACAGAGTCAAAGCCGTGAAACACTGCGAAACACAACACGAACACAACAGAAACGGGTTGTGTGCAGAGTCAACGTGCAACGATTTCTTTGTTAAAAGGGAATCACGAGGCATTGGACAAATTCTCAGCTTTGCATTCTGATCATTCTGTCTGGCAACAGTCGCAACTGTTCTGCTTGCAGATATGCCAATCAGCATGCAAACTATCCTGCAAGACCATATGGCCAGCACGGTCCCTACTTTCAACTCATGTTTTGAGATGTCTGGAGTCATGAATCTTTCCGTGACCAACAGTCAAGAACATATGAATCCTGATACTCCTGGGAGTCATCAGCATAGAATATGGCGAATAAACATGACCCCATAAACACGGAACATCATAACATGCCATTATATATAATCATTGAACATCATGAAATGTTGGATGGTGATGATGGTGAGTTGATTTTTCCAATAAAATAACAAGATCAACGTCAACATCCAGCATTAATGGCAGCATTAATGGCAGCCAAGGTACGGAGCGAGCGACAGAACAGATCGATACGACCGGAGCGTCACAGTCTCGATTCCTTCGCTGAACGCTGCGTAGTTCTTGTCATTTTCTGAACGCGAACTTCTTTCCTGGCTTATCAGATTTATCAGATTTACATCACTTATCACTGACGTATTACTTCTGTAGCCTTTTTGCGATAATTTTAATGAATCTTTTTTAAGAATACACATGTTTACATCATTTTACGAATTTTGTGAAGTTTGCTTTGGTCTTATTTCAATGTCTTTCTATGTCTTTCGTCTTTCTGATCACTTTAAGGCAACTCTGACAGCTACACATGCAGCTGCAAAGGCTCAGGCCGATAGAGTGTCACGGATACGTCGTGATAATCCTCTAATTGACACCAACAAATCACCAAAAAACCACAAACATAACATAGATACTGATACAACATGATACAACATGATATAATGATATAAGATGATATAACATGATATAACAGAACATGATATAACATGATATAGCTGATGTACATAATTATATACATATCTCCATCATATCTCCATTGATCTTTTGTGAAACCAGAGCACCTTTCACTTCGCAAATGCCAGGCACCCCTTGGACATATGTACAGCACACAAGGCGTCACGGGGCAGTCACGGGGCACATGTCCACGATGTCCACGTTGTCCACGATGTCCACGAAGTCCACGAAAAGAGACGGCAAGAGTTGCTGCTCTCTCATGCAAATATATGCATATATGATATGATATATATATATTAATGAACACATAAAGTCAACACACGTATACAAGTATCACATATATACATACACACATGCATACATACATACAATACAATCCAATACAAATCAATACAATACAATACAATATAATATAATATAATACAATACAATACAATATAATACAATATAATATAATATAATATAGTCTACGTAAATCTTTTTCTTGGATCTGTGGCTCCATGTTGCTCCAGCTCTAGGTGGTGTTGCGCGACCTGAAGAAGTCGCTTCTGTTGGTCTTCAAAGCTACCAGGCGCAGGCTGGTCACGGTCTACCAGGGTCTACCAGGGTCTACCAGGGTCTACCAGGGCCGGCTTCGACGTGGTTTTGATATGTTTTGATGCAAGGCTCACAGTAAAACAGATGTGGAGAATTGTGGACATAGATGTGGGATGTGAAAGGATTGCTTGTCACTTTATGGCTGTGACATGACATGAACGTCGAGGCTCCCGGGGCCTCTTCCTCAGAGCAGAGCAGAGCTGTTTGCAACCAAGTTGCCTCCGCCTCGTGCTCCACCGACATCCACCGACCTCGCCTCTTCCAAGCTTTCCAAAGTCTCCAAGTTTTCCAGATTTTTCGTCGAGTTTCCCACATTTTCCGATGTAGTTTTCCCACATTTTCCCCAAGGAATTGGAAAGTCGTTTCGACCTCAGCTGTGTTGTGGTGTTCCTCACGGTCGGCGTCACGGTGTTACGGCGCTGAGGACATGGTGCCAGACCTGAGGCATTTCGGCGTGTTTTCACAGTTGGAACATGTTGTTGTTTTCACAGGTTGAACAAAGGAGGGATATGATATATGATATATGATCTATGATCTATGATATATGATCTATGATATATGATATATGATATATGATATGATAGGATCAATATATATATATATATGTTATGTATATGATATCAGATCAACATTTGTCAGAGCATTTAAGGGGAATGCCGGGAATGTGATGATTTTTCAAGTTGAACTTGTGATCCTTCGAAGAGTTTGTTTCAATTTCCTTGAACTTATCTCAGCGCCAAGCTTCTCAGCATTCCTCAGCCAGTCTTTTATCTCAGGGTACGGAGGAAGACGCGGGCTGCTCACAGAGTCGACAGCTCAGAAACGCAGCATCCAGCGGTTATCCAGTGTCTCTCTGACAAAACTGTGCGGAAGGGGATAAAGTCAGTGCATGAGACTTTGTTGGCGTGGATACTGATAAAGACATAGACCAAGAACCATGATGAGAATTTATTCAACGTAGAGAAATACACGAGATGTCTATGATAGTACCAAAGTAACAACAGTAGTAACAGTTTTTCTATGACGTCCTGAGACTGTTACTCTGATTCACCTGACCCCAGGCTGAACTTTTTGCCGGCACTAATCGCCCCCTTGGGCGATTCCAATGACCCGCCACTGACATGGTCAGAATGCGATCAGAATGCTCAGAATGCATTCAATGCCATGCATTCAATGCAAATACCCTCTGGTTATGTCAAAATAGCTATTGAAAATGGCCATTTATAGTGGATTTTCCCATTGAAAATGGTGATTTTCCATAGTTATGTTAAATTACCAGAGGGTAATGCTAATAGGCCCTAATAGGCTATGCATTCAATGCTCGGAATGCTGAGCCGAGCAAGTTTTGTTCGTTTCACTCAAAGTGCTTCAAGAGATGCACTGAAAGCGCTGTGTAGCTCACTGCTGCATTTTGTAGCTCTCTGTAGCTTATCGTAGATCGGCATTTTTCTGGTCACCGCAAGGTATTTTAGATGCGGTGGGTGGCAAGATTGGGCCATGTGTCGCAGTACACGTGGTGCAGTCTGGTTTCGTTTCAAGCATGGTGCCGCATGGTGCCTGGTGTGACCAAACCCACACAGCACTTTGGGACCAGCTCTGCAGCTCTGTAAGCAGTGCTGAGAGGGAACTTTCTGACGCCCCAGCGGCGAAAAAAAAAACATCCGCATTTTGTGGCTTCGTGAAGATCATTGTGGTCCAATATCAAAGTCTTGGAAAATCATCCAAGCACAAGTCTTCGCCGTTTCTTCCCAGCGTTTCTCATTGTGATCTGGAAGGTTATCTTTTTTGGGTTCGGAACATCGTAAAACGGGGTAGTTACGGGTAGTTGTAAGTGTCCCGAAACAGAGCGGGTGGAAAGGCAAAATTGAAAAGTGTTGCTGTAGATAAGTGTTGCTGCTGACGTAGAAAAACGAAAGAGTTCACTGAAGGGTTCGTAGAACGAAAGAATCACAAGCTGAGAGAGAGAGAGAGAGACTAAATGACTAAATCTGGCTTTCGATGCTTTCGTTCCCTGCATTTTTTTGGCACTGCAAAAAGCAGCACAGCACAGCAGCACAGCACGAGCGACAGCAGGAGTTTATATCCGATCTCGGCTCCAGCCTTAGACCGATCCGCATTGGCTCCAGGCGCGAAATCTGCAGCCACTGCAGTGCCACTGCAGTGCCATGCCATGCCACAGGACTCGCTTGAGAAATTGAGGTAATCACCAGGTAATCACCAGGTAATCAGATCGAATCAGATCGAATCAGATCGAATCTGCAAGGGTTTGTGTCATTTAAGGGTAACTTGTAACTCGTGTAACACATGTGTTTTGATTGCATTGATGAACTGGGAGTTCTGCCGTTCTGCCCGTGAGGCCCTTTCCAAACATGGTGAAGAAGGTTGGGAAGAGCGAAGTGGTTGGAACAGATTTGAAGCGACAAAAACCCTCGTGGAAACCTCGATTCATTGCGATTCATCTCGCGACCAGCCGCAGGATGGGAAGCGCAAAGCGGCAGAAGACGATGCCACAGGCCAGAAAGTTCAGAAATGTTAAGATGTTAAGACGATCTAAGATGATTTAAGACGATTTCAGATGATTTAAGATGATTTAAGATGATTTAAGATGTTAAGAAAGTTCAAAAATGGGGCCCTTGTTTCTTTGCCTGGTTTTTTTGGGATCATAGGGATCGCATGGGATCGGTGGAATCCGGTGGACTCCGGACAGGTGGAAAGAAACTGAAGGCAGACGAAATCTCTTCGGCAGAGGCCACGGGCCAAGCGCCAAGCTGAGCCAAGCTGAGCCAAGCTGCGAGGTCGAACACTGTCGGACTGCCGTGCCAGGCTGTGAAGAATGCGAAGGAGAAGCTGAACAAGATGAACAAGGCGAAGGTGCTGCCAGATATTGCCAGATGCTGCAAGTGTGACAGCATTGTGACATTGTGAAGGATAAGTTCAGGAGTACAAAAAGGATATATCTCTCACAGGTTGTCGTTCCTGTAGTTTGCTTGTCGTTCCCTTAGTTTGCTTGTCAACTCCAGAAGAAGAAAATCGAGGAGGAGGAGGACGAAGACGAAGAGCCCGTCATAGCACCCAGAGAAATATAGCATCCAGTGCATCCATCAGCGTCAGGTATCTCTCAGGTGTTTTAAAAGCATCTGTTCGGTGAGCCAAATGTGACTGGATCAATTGAAGAAACTCAGGGTCCCCAGTGCACAAACTTTCAGTCGACCTGGGAATCAGGCACCCCCACCAAAAGCCAAAGCAAAGGCAAAGGCCAAAGCTGCAGCAGATGATGATGATGACAGCGACGATGATGAGCCAGTCTCCCTCCTACTGCTTGTTTCGGTGGACTTGCATCATAATGGTGAAAGATTCATTTGAGTTTGGTTGCAACATTTCTGTTTGGGTACGTTTGTTTGTTTGTTGACTTTCTGAGGCCCCAAAGGCCAAAGCCAAAGCAAAGGCAAAGGCCAAAGCTGCAGCAGATGATGATGACGACAGCGACGATGATGAGCCAGTCTCCCTCCTACTGATTGTTTCGGTGGACTTGCATCAGAATGGTTAAAGATTGACTTGAGTTCGGCCCGAACGTTTCTGTCTGGGTACTTGTTTGTTTGTTGACTTTCTGAGGCCCCAAAGGCCAAAGCCAAAGCAAAGGCAAAGGCCAAAGCTGCGGCAGACGATGACGACAGCGACGATGATGATGAGCCTGTCTCCGTCCTACTACTTGTTTTGTTTGAAATCCCTCAGCATGGTGGCAGATTATTTCGATTTCGTCGGCAACACCTTTTTGTTTGTAGGTGTGTCTGTCCGTCCTTCCGTCCCTATGTACTTACATAAATATGATAAATATGTACGTTTGTTTGTTTGTTGACTTTCTGAGGCGCCAAAGGCCAAAGCCAAAGCAAAGGCAAAGGCCAAAGCTGCAGCAGATGATGATGACGACAGCGACGATGATGAGCCAGTCTCCCTCCTACTGCTTGTTTCGGTGGACTTGCATCAGAATGGCGAAAGGAGTTTGGCCGGAACGTGTTTGTTGACTTTCTGAGGCCCCAAAGGCCAAAGCCAAAGCGAAGGCAAAGGCCAAAGCTGCGGCAGACGATGACGACAGCGACGATGATGATGAGCCTGTCTCCGTCCTACTGCTTGTTTCGGTGGACTTGCATCAGAATGGCGAAAGGAGTTTGGCCCGAACGGGTTTGTTGACTTTCTGAGGCCCCAAAGGCCAAAGCCAAAGCGAAGGCAAAGGCCAAAGCTGCAGCAGATGATGATGACGACAGCGACGATGATGAGCCTGTCTCCGTCCTACTGATTGTTTCTGTGGACTTGCATCAGAATGGCGAAAGGAGTTTCGCCGGAACGTGTTTGTTGACTTTCTGAGGCCCCAAAGGCCAAAGCCAAAGCAAAGGCAAAGGCCAAAGCTGCAGCAGATGATGATGACGACAGCGACGATGATGAGCCAGTCTCCCTCCTACTGATTGTTTCGGTGGACTTGCATCAGAATGGTTAAAGATTGACTTGAGTTCGGCCCGAACGTTTCTGTCTGGGTACTTGTTTGTTTGTTGACTTTCTGAGGCCCCAAAGGCCAAAGCCAAAGCGAAGGCAAAGGCCAAAGCTGCGGCAGACGATGATGATGACAGCGACGATGATGATGAGCCTGTCTCCGTCCTACTGCTTGTTTCGGTGGACTTGCATCAGAATGGCGAAAGGAGTTTGGCCGGAACGTGTTTGTTGACTTTCTGAGGCCCCAAAGGCCAAAGCCAAAGCAAAGGCAAAGGCCAAAGCTGCGGCAGACGATGATGATGACAGCGACGATGATGATGAGCCTGTCTCCGTCCTACTGATTGTTTCTGTGGACTTGCATCAGAATGGCGAAAGGAGTTTGGCCGGAACGTGTTTGTTGACTTTCTGAGGCCCCAAAGGCCAAAGCCAAAGCAAAGGCAAAGGCCAAAGCTGCAGCAGACGATGATGACAGCGACGATGATGAGCCAGTCTCCCTCCTACTGCTTGTTTCGGTGGACTTGCATCATAATGGTGAAAGATTCATTTGAGTTTGGTTGCAACATTTCTGTTTGGGTACGTTTGTTTGTTTGTTGACTTTCTGAGGCCCCAAAGGCCAAAGCCAAAGCAAAGGCAAAGGCCAAAGCTGCGGCAGACGATGATGATGACAGCGACGATGATGATGAGCCTGTCTCCGTCCTACTGATTGTTTCGGTGGACTTGCATCAGAATGGCGAAAGGAGTTTGGCCGGAACGTGTTTGTTGACTTTCTGAGGCCCCAAAGGCCAAAGCCAAAGCAAAGGCAAAGGCCAAAGCTGCAGCAGACGATGATGACAGCGACGATGATGAGCCAGTCTCCCTCCTACTGCTTGTTTCGGTGGACTTGCATCATAATGGTGAAAGATTCATTTGAGTTTGGTTGCAACATTTCTGTTTGGGTACGTTTGTTTGTTTGTTGACTTTCTGAGGCCCCAAAGGCCAAAGCCAAAGCGAAGGCAAAGGCCAAAGCTGCGGCAGACGATGATGATGACAGCGACGATGATGATGAGCCTGTCTCCGTCCTACTGCTTGTTTCGGTGGACTTGCATCAGAATGGCGAAAGGAGTTTGGCCGGAACGTGTTTGTTGACTTTCTGAGGCCCCAAAGGCCAAAGCCAAAGCAAAGGCAAAGGCCAAAGCTGCAGCAGACGATGATGACAGCGACGATGATGAGCCTGTCTCCCTCCTACAGTTTTTTTGGTCGACCCCCATCAGAACGATGAAAGAGGTACTTGAGTCTGGCTGCAACACTTCTGCCTCGGTACGTGTTTGCTTGTTTGTTTGTTTGTTTGTTTGTTTGTTTGTTTGTTGACTTTCTGAGGCCCCAAAGGCCAAAGCCAAAGCGAAGGCGAAGGCCAAAGCTGCGGCAGATGACGATGACGACAGCGATGATGACGAACCAGTCCGCTTCGTAGTGGTCGGGTTGCATAAACTGCATCGCTGCTGCTGGTTTTGTTTTCTGTGCTTTTCCAACTTGCCAAGGCACCGAAGGCCAAAGCGAAGGCGAAGGCCAAAGCTGCAGCAGACGATGATGACGACAGCGATGATGACGATGAGCCCGCCCCCAAAGCCAAAGCAAAGGGGAAAGCAAAAAAGGTGAGCAGACCTCAGTATAAACCTAGACCCTGAAGGCAAGGAACATGCTAGGCCTGCTAGGCAGTTCGGAAATATATGGAAATATGCTGCAACTGTAGCCGAAAAAAGAGGAAATAGATGGAAATCCGCCCGCACCGAAGGTGCTGGGGCGTGATCGTCCGGATGGCACTCGTAAAAGGTTACAGGTTTACCTGGGGGGGGGAGCATTTTTCGGCCAAAACCTCCTGTTTTTGATAGGTCGTGACGCTCGCCTTCAAAAAACACTGTAAAAAACAGTACGGAAGACACCTGTTCGTGAACGCGCCCGTCCAAAATCGGCAAGCGAAAAGTGAAAAAAAACCGTGTTTTTCAACTTTTTGACTTCAATTTTTTGGTTTGCAACATCTTTTTTTGCGGTTCCGCAGGTGGCCTGGCCCGGATGCGGATTTTTGAGTTTTTGGACCCGTTTTCGGACTGATTTTCGTCGTTTTGTGATAGCAGAAACACTGGTTTTTACAGTGTTTTTCTGTTTTCTGCATGCTTGACGGCTAACTTCAAAACTTCCAAAAACCTCGTAAATTACGCTGTTTTATGTTACGGTGTGAATGAAAACATCGTAAATACCCGTGTTTTTTGACGTTGGTTTTAAAAAAACACTGTAAACTACAGTGTTTTTGGCCACCTGACCCTCAAAAACCATGGTATTTGCAGTGGTTTCTGCTTCTCACCGCGCAAAAACACTGTAAATAACAGCAATTTCGCCGTTTTTTTCATGTTTTTCGTTATTTTTTGAACTGCGTTGGTCCGCTATACATGGCTATCAAATTCTTCGCGTTTTTTTTTTCCGACAATCAGTACTTTCGGATGTTTTTGGTCTCAATGGCCGACATCATTGGCAGTTACGAGCGGTCGCGAAGGTGTGAGAACAACATCGTTCAAACCGTGGCGGCCGCACAGGGGTTCTTGTCGCGGAGCGACGGCAATAGAAGAGAACAATGGAGAACAATGGCTGACATCATTAACAGTGTGGACCGTGCACTCGATATACGATGCGGCGGTTGCCGTCGCGAAGCGACGTGAATAGAACGTGTATCCTATATGCGACATATGCGACATATGTGTAATTCTTTGGTAGCACCGCTCTGCCGCGATCATCTCGCAAGGTGGAAGACGAAGAAGACGAAGAGGAAGAGGCTCCAAAGGCACAAACCTTTTCCATCACATTTGTCACATTTCCATTCAATTTCAACCCTCATTTCCATTGAATTTCCAATGAATTTCTGTCTTCAACGAGAGCTGCTTGGTCACTGACCTTCAAGGCCAAGAAACCAAGAACCGAAGGCGCAGCTGCATCGAAGAACTTTCGCAAAGCTTTGGTTTTCTCGGGTGTTCGAATCGATTAAGATCAATTGCTAAAAAAAAGCAACATTGAGCAACTTAAATGTAATAAACTAACAAAAACATAGAACTTAAACGTTAACGGAACATGAATTCGAATTCAAAGTCGGCACAAATTTTACTGTGCGCAGGTGCTGAGAAAACCGGTGTGCCTTGGTGACGGAATTGGTGATTCGATGGCATTCGGAACCAAGAGAGTCGGACCTTTGATGAACTTGGATCACATCGTCATTCAAAGTCATCCATCCAAAGCATCCAAAGCATCCAAAGCATCCAAAGCATCCAATGGATGTGGTTTTTTGATCACACTTCATGTTGATTCTTCGTTTGATCATGTTTGATCTGGTTTGAGGATTTGAATCCGGGATATTTTCAGGGCTTTTTTATCGTCACTCAGGATGAGCTCACCGTCTTCGTTGGAGGCCTTCCATTCAGCACCAGTTGGGAGCCAAGTTTGGGAACTGACTGGAGAAGTGACAGATCTGACAGATTTTTCAGACCCTGTCCAGGTGAAGAGCAAATCAAGAAGGACTTCGAAGAATGTGGTCCGATCGCCAGGTGTGATTTTATGGTGCTCCCATTTTTCCTGCAGAAATGCAGAAAAACCATCTCGAAAATGTGATGCAGTGCTTGAAATATCATCATCTCGAATCTGGAAACATCTTGAAACCTGTGAAAACCAGTCGCTGTGGTCGCCTCCAAGCTTGCAGGTTCGTGCTGCCGAAGAACGACGAAGGAAAGCCAAGAGGTGCCGTAGCGAAATTTGCCTTGGAGGTATTGAGCTGGTTGGTGGTTTGGAACATTGAGAACAATCATCCCATTTGACTACCCTCTGGTAATTTAACATAGCTATGGAAAATCACAATTTTTAATGGGAAAATCCACTATTAATGGCCATTTTCAATAGCTACGTTAAATTACCAGAGGGTAATATTTTTCAGAGGGGTAGGTATACCACCAACCAGTGAGCCTTGCCAATTCGTGAGGCATTGCCTTTGTCACCTACGAGAGTCAAGAAGGTGAGGAACGGTTTGCCGTCGGGTGAGGAACGTTTTGCCGTCGGTTGCTGTGCCCAGGCCTTTGAGTTTCAACACGCCTAGCCACGTGAGGCGTCGATGCAGCTCTGAAATACGACGGCGACGAGTACGGCGGGCGCACTCTGAAGGTTCGATGGTGAAATGGATCGCTTTCGGTCATTTGGGTAAAAAAAATCTGTGGTTTACCATGGTTTACCATGGTTTACCATCTAAAAAGACGCTCAAAACGAGCATCAAACGCTGAAGACTAAGAGCGCCACCTTTCGTGACCCTTCGTGACTCTTCGCGATGGGCGTTGGCGTTCAGGTCCATATGGCCTCCGACAAGCGCGAGAAGGGAAAGGGCCAACGCCTCAGAGTCCGTTGAAAACTTTCGTGGGCCACTGGCCCCCACTTGATGCAACCGAGCACCACACAAGCAGGGCGCATAAAGGTGGGGACATATAAGGGACATTATAATACATTATAAGTTATATAAGTTATATAGATATATGACGATATATGATGATATCCATATAGTATGATGTTATATAATACATATATCATAAATATGATATATTCCATATTATATAGTACATTATAAGTCAATGATGTCCAGTTCCTGTTTTTCACTGGCTTAGCAAGAAGCCGATGACCAGAATTGCTATCACTGCCAGATCAGCACGCCTCGGATGGCATTTGTTTTCCTCGTTTTCACATCTCGTTGAGCTCACGGCTTGAGCCTTGAGGTAAAGACAAGGGCAAGGGCAAGGGCAAAGGAAAAGCCATTGACCCAGTTGACCCAGTTGACCCAGTTGACCCAGAAATTGCCATTTGAAAATGCGAAAACGTGTCGCGTTGCGTTTGGCCATGGCTTGTAGTTACATTGTAAAAGTAGCAACATCACCCCAAATTCTTTCCACACTACATCTTTGAAACATCATCCAACGACCAAGGATGGCAAAGGAAAGGGAGAGAGGAACGATGACCTCACAGCTGTCATCAAGGGTGCGCATCCACAGCTGGGATGATGGGACCCGATGGGATGATGGGATGATGATGGGATGATGGGATGATGGACGCACCGCCAGAGGTCTGTCTTGGGAACTCACCAAAGACAAGATCGAGACGGACGGAACAACTGGGGAATGGACATGGGGAATTCGGCAGTGCCGAAGGGCACTTCACGCTGGATATGTCATGTCGGGATGCAGATGATGCAGGATTTCGCTGAGTGCGGTGACATCGCCCGTTGCAACGTTCCCGTGAACGAGGACCGAAGCATCTTTGTTTGAACACATTTCAACATTTCAACATGTTTCAAGTTTCAATTGCACTTTATCTTGTGAGGACGGAAACTTGAAGGGCATTGCATTCATCGAATTCAAAGATGAAGAGGCCAAGATCAGATTCGCAATGAAGCGAGCATATGCACATACATCACATGATATCACATGTACATACACATTATGTAATGTAGATTAATTTAGTGTAGAGAGACGCATATCACATACATACAATGTACACACACACACATGTATGAATCCACACATGTTTTTATGTTTTTCTTGTTGCCCTTAGGGACCATACCTTTCACTTAGCCAGGCCCTGAAGAAAGCCCTGGAGTTCAATGAAACCGACTACGAGGGTCGCAAGATCTATGTCACCAAAGCCAGCGATGGCCCATTGGCTCAAAGTTGAAAGCCAGGGATTCTGATGGATTTTGATGGATTTTTCTGGCTTTCGAATGATCAGTGCGCGGCTTTCGAAAGGATCGACAGAGAGACCTGATCTGCCTGATTTTTTTTGCGCTTCCGAAACTTCCAAGAACTTGGTTCATCCCATTTGAGTCCGATGTCCAGAGATGTCCAGAGATGTCCAGAGATGTCCAGAGTCAAGGTCCTGGAAAAGGCAAAGACGGAAAAGGCGGAAGCGGCAAGTGATATGTCAGATATGTAGAGTGAAGATCAGTGTGGAACATTTCGGAACAAACTGTAGCATCTGTAGCGCTTGCATGCTCTGGAAATCTCTGCTCCGTAGGAAAAGGAAAGGACGGAAAGTCCAAAGGCAAGGGCAAAGATGGCAAAGGCAAGGGTAAAGGCCAGGGAGGGATGCAGGTTCGAGCACAGGTTCGAGCACAGATTCCAGCATGTTTGGTTCAGCACGTGTTACATGTTACTCTAGGCAAGAAGGGAGGCATGAGTGCCGAAGGAAAGGCGGCCAAGAATGGAACCATGGCCTGAAACTCAGGATGCAAGTCGGCTGTTTCTAAAAAACATCTTAAAAGTGTTACTGATTGTTACTGATATGTTACTGATTGTTACTGTATGGTAATGTGGACTTTATCTTCGACTCGAAGTCGACTCCCTTTATGTGAATCGACTCAAGGTGGAATCAACAGGTGCCATCGGTTACGGAGCTTACGGGGGGCTGCCATCGCCGGTGCCATCGGTGCCGGAAACGCCGCCATGTGCCATCGGTACCAGGAAAGAAGCAGACCTTCGACGACTCGGATGATGAAGAAGCTCCACCACCTAAGAAGAAGGCGAAGGTGGGCTAAGAAGGCAAACTTTTGGCGAAACAAATCAATACAAACCAATAGAAATCAATACAAATCAAACTTAAAAAAACACAAAAAATACTATAGTTATTTGCACACGTTGCAATCTGGAGACGAGAATCACATGGAACTTGCGAGGTTGCAGCGCCTGCAGATGATGACGATGAAGATGACGAGTGAACAGGCTTTTGAGTGGGGAACTTAAATTCTCAAAGCCGTTTCCAGACTCTGTGCCGTGGAGTGCAGTCAAAGGATAGACACCTTGCAATTTCATCGGCTTTATCAGGCCAAAGTAGATCAAAGTAGCAGTGCGGGCGGAAGTAGAGAGCCAGATGTAACCCAAATCTGAGAGACAAGGGGAAGGAAGGGAAGGACGGGCAGGGAAGGAAGGTGGTAGGTACATGGGGACAGCACGGAGAACACTCTGCAAACCGACAACACATCATCTGATCCAAACACGTTAGGCCAGAAGTACACCTGAATGCTTCTAGCCCAGAACAACTCAGAAACCAGAAAAGCAGCCTAGAAAAGCCCAGCGAAAACGAGGCCTGTCAGGGCCCAGCTGTTTCCGCTTTTTCCGATTTTTTTGGGCACAGAAATCAATGGATCCGAGGCCAACTTTCAGGCTGGGCAGCAGCTGTTACTGGAACAGTTGCCAGGTGACTCAGAACTGCTGTGCTTCACTCCGCGCCGCCAAGTGATAGCTGGGTCATAGAGAGATAGAAAATGATAGAGAATGATAGAGATATAGTGTGATATAGTGTGATACATTTGATTCTGAATGATTTTGATACATTCACATCATTCATTCCATGTTGCATCTTGAAACTCGCCGTGAAAGAACGTTACAAATGGATGGCAGACTCGGCCATAGGAATAAAAAGACGCAGAAGAATTCTGACATGTTTTCTCCTTCGAGGTCTTCCAAACCTTCCCAAACCTTTCGGTGCACTTTCAGTCTCTCAGGATCCATGCCGGTCCATTCCATGCCCATGCTCCAATGTTGTCATTATTTGTCATTTGTCACCGGATCTGACTCGTGCCGACTCGTGCTCAGGTGCAAGACCCGGTTGTGACTGGTGAAATTCATCTTGTGCTCACTCGCTTGAGACTCGTCTCGAGTTCATGAAATCTCAGTCCTCAAAGAGGAGTCAAAGTCGGAGGGATCAAAGGATTCAGCACGGGATCCGTTGCGGATCGAACGGATTTCGCTTTTGCAGATTTGAAAAAAGTCGCTACTTGAAATCGAGAGTGCCACATGGCGATCTAAAATATTCTAAAATCATGTAGACATGTGAAATGTGACATGTGGGATCATGTGGGATCATGTGGGTGTGTCCCAAGAGTCTGCAAAATGCACCCATTTTTTCCCAGACATTTTGGACATACCGTATGACATACCCACGTATATCGTATATCTCTTGAGCCATGGATCAGTTTTCATTGATGGATCAGTGGTTTGGTGTCGAACTGTTCACTGCGGATTTCCCGGATGCTGCCGGATGCTTTCTTGCTCAGAGTCCTGGATGTTCATTGCAACCATCATCCAGTAGATCATCATGGGATCCAGAGGCATGAAGCACAACATATCCTGGGTCAACCAATGTCAACCACTTTTTTTCGCGTTTCTGAATGGGACCCCGTGGGTCTTAAATGGTTTTTAAGGATCACGCTTAAACATAAAATAAGATGACATACCCACGAGAAAAAAGAGTCAGAGGCGCTGCACAAACGAAACATGTTTGGTACAAACGAAAGCTAGTTGACTCCGTTGGCTCCCTAAACACTGTGAAGAAAAAGGGGAAATGGAGGCCATTCCTTTGTTCCTTGCCAGCGCGAGCAAGGCGATCTTGCTTGGTGCCGTGGTGCCAGAAATGACCAGCCAGGATGGGGCTCCCAATGTCTTGGACTCTACAGGTGTTGGAGACGGTGCCGCGGCAGCAGTGGCCCCAGCCGAGGCTGCACCAATGGCGGAGCCTCAGGTGGCCCACGTGGACCTCCCTCCTCCCAGTGAGCCAGTTCAACCTCATCCAGTCCAAGCAATTCCAAGTGCCGAGACTGTCACGACGACCGTCACAACGCCTGCCACTGATAGCGCCACAAGCGGAGAAGCTGCTGGAGCTGCCACCGATGCCACCGATGCCACCGATGTCACTGCCGTGGCAGGTGCTGCAGATGCTGCAGGCGCTGGTGCTGAAGGCGGTGCTGCTGGTGCTGATGCCAGTGCTGGAAACAGCCCGGATGCTGCCAGTGCGGCTGTGCAGGCTGTGCATGGTGAGAGCGAATCTGCCGCACCCAGTGCCCTAAAAGCTGACGCTCAACAGATTGTTGAGGCTGTGAATGCCAAAGTTAAAGACTTATCCAAGGCCTCCTTTGCTTCACAGACTGAGCCCACTCATCCCCATGCACCTGTCATGGATGAAACCACTTCGATGATGTATGTGACTCAAAAGATCCATGATTATTTTTCAGGGGGGATCTCCCCATCTGATGTCAGCTCTGTGGTGAAAGAATCTGTCACAGTGCTACGGGAGTTTGACAAGCTGAACGAATGATCGACATCGCGATCGGCATCGCTGGCATCGCTGGCACATCGAGTCATGGGAAAAGGCTATCTGATGGCTGATGGATCTGATGGGGTCGGAACGTGCCAAAGGATGCCCTGCGTTTATGAGGAAAAGGTGACTGGGGATGGGCCATGATGGGCCATGATGGGCCCATTATGCCATGGGCCAAGGCGGCCAAGGCTTGAGCCACCGAGCATTGTTTGCACGTGTCACATTAATATGTTATTTAAAGGCTTACGCCTGACAGCCGGGCGCCGGCCAAGCAATCTTGGCACCATATTGGCCCTATCTTGGCCCTATGTTGGATGTTGGCCCTAGCACCGAAACACCATGCACCGAAACACGGCTGGCAGCTGCCTCTGCCTCACGTTGCTGTCTGAACTAGCTCCGCATTCCAGCTTGCAAGCCTCCAAAACCTCGGCCTCGCAGCACCGAAACACCATGGAACTAAAGGACGGACGGGGCCTTCGGCTGGCAGCTGCCTCTGCCTAAGGTTGCTTTCTGACGCGACTAGAAACTAGCTCTGCATTCCAGCTTGCATGGGACTGAAGGACGGATGGAGCCCGCGGCCAGCAGCCAGTAGTGCCTAACGTTGCTTTCTGAACTGACTAGAAACTAGCTTCAAACCTTCATTTTGCTTGCCCTCCTGCACTGCTAGCTGCCAACTTGCTTGCTTGTTCTTGCAGCTGGCCTTCTTCTTGCACATGCTTTCTGAACTGACTAAGCTCTTTTCGCCTGCCTTCCTGCACTGCTAGCTCACTTCTGGCGTCGTGCTTTCTAGCTTCTTGCAGCTTGGCTCTGGCATCTTGCATCTTGCAGCTTGCCTCTGGCATTTTGCACGCTACCCTCTGGCATCTTGCAAACGAGCCTCTGGCATCTTGCTTTCTACCTTTTTGCTCTTGCCCCTGCTTCTTCCTCATCTTGCATACTCTTGCCTCCTGCTTTCTAGCTTCTTCCTGACTGGTTTCTTCTTCTTGTACCTTGCTTCTTGTCCGCGTGTTCTTGCAGCTGGCCGCGCTCCCTCTGCTGTCGGCAGGGGTCAGCGGAAATGTGTCACACTCACACGCACTACTACAGCGCCAGATGTATCCAGATGTGCCATTGCATTTTTTTCCTTAGTGACTGTTAGTGACTGTTAGTGCTTCTTGAGGGTTTGGCTTGCGACGCCTGCAGCTTGATTTTATCAGATGTAGCAATGCAACCCCCTAGTTGTGCCAGGCCTGACTGATCGCTTCAATCTGCGGGATAGCTTTGAATATGGCATGTATTGACATGTTGTTTCAAGCATTTAAGCTTTTGTGGCTCAAATTGGGAAAGTAACATAAAGTAATCATAGTAATCTCAATCTCAAGCAACAAATATTCTGAAGCGGACTCGAAACAGTGACCCAGTGACCAGTCATGTGTTGCAACCTTTTGGTGCAGTGTTGCTGAAGTCATACCATTCAGCGAAAACCACAGTCAAATCTTGAGAGGCGTGTGCCAAGCGGATGGCAGGGAGGGGCCACGCTGGAGTGCAGTCCTTGTCTACAGAGCCCTGAATACCTGAAGGTAGCTGAAGGTAGTTGAAGGTAGCTGAAAGCAATGAAGGGCTAGTTACGGTATGTCGCAGCTAGTTGAGAAATTTCAGAATTCAAGAGGAAAGTTCTTGAGGAGAATTCGAGGGTTGTGAATGTCCATGCAATTCCTAAGACAAGAACCCACCTTCTTATAATTTCCCATGGCAGTTTTGGTCGGGGTCTCTTAGGTTGGCTATGCCAACGCACCGTCAACGCTCACAGCAGCGACAATGACAGGCTTAGCTGCTTTCATTCCGTTTTTCCATTCAACTTTTTGACAGTTAATCGCTACATGTCTTGTACTGATTCGGTCCGTTCGGTGCGTGGTAAGCCTATGCAAATCTATGATTAATCTATGCAATACTCAAACCATCTCAAACCTACCATTTGGATCCCGTCCGAATTTCCTCTAGCAAATGGAGTAGCCCGGGCGACAAAAAAACGGTTATTTTCTACTTTTTTTTCAAAGTTGCATTTTCTAGAGAGATCAGATTTTGAGGTGTTTTTTGGTCGACTTTTTGGTTCGAGTTTGTTTTCTCTTTCCACTCATTTTTTAATTTTCTAGAGTATACATTTGACACAAAGAGGTTTCTACAAGTTGACATACTACTCATGTACGGCCACATTGTGAAGGGTTATAATTAGTATAATTGGGGTCAGGGTTTATGCTTGGGTTTACGATGATTTATCACAGAATTGTTTGCTGCTCCGTGGGGACTTTTTGAAGCATTTTGTGCAGGCCATCGCTCTCTGGCATCAAGAGCTCCAGCGATGGACAGAGCTGTCAGCTGTCAAAATCTGCTAAGATTTATAAGTGCCTCTCCTAAAATCGAGAAGTGGAATGAAGTGGAATGAAGTAGAAACATCACATCTGACGACTTAGACGAGTTAGACATTTGACATCTGACATCGACCCTGACGCGAGGACGAAAATAAAGCAGCCAGACCAGCCACGGGCACGCCCTTCGCACACTTTCCGGAGTTCCTCAGCTCAGATGACAGTTGCTGTCAGATGTCAGATGGTGCGCCTTGATGCGGTATGCTGCATGCTGTGTCACCGAGGAAAACGGTTCCTGCAATGGATATCTTTGTGACGTGCGCAGACCACCTGAGAATGATTGCAAAGATTTGCAAAGAGAAAGTCGCAATTCGTACATATTCGTACCAGGTACGAAAGGTCGTGGAGCATTCAGGAGCTTTTAACGCACAACATCGAAGACTTTGTGTACATTCCTTGTTTGCTTTTCATTTGTTTCAGATTTTAACCCGTGACAACCACTGAGAACTAGTGAATCTAGTGACACCTGCCATATTTTGGCTAGGACGCATTGGAACAGCATTCTGCCTTAGCAGAGCAACGTGAAGCCCCTCCCTCTGGGCACGGTGTAAGGTTTCAGTCATGGAGGATCTTGATGGATCCTGACGACAGAACTGTGATCTATATCCGGCTGTATATGATATCTTTTCTGTGGTTGGGTCTGTTCTAATCGTTTTCTAGTCTCTATAGATGTTTATTCTTTCTCGTGAAGGTTCTGACCGAAATTGGACGGAACCGTCTCCGGGTGCGTCATACGCAGCTTTCTTTCGCTGAGCTTGAGGCGGGGACCAAAGCCGCGTCCCACTGTGACAACATCTTTGATTTTCAACGCGAGACTACTTGTAGTGTGTAGTGTTTTTGGGCGTTTGACGAAGATCTTCGATCACTCAAGAGATCTTAAGAGAATGGTGTTCTTGTGAACAGGTAACACTCGTAGAAAACATTGGAACACCGGCCTTTCGACGTGGGGATACGTGTTTCGAGATGTTTTGTGTGGGACTTTCGACATCGCAGGTCGAAGAGGCTTTGGAGGCCGCGAAGACGATGAGTGGTTTCGATGCTGGAGATGCTCAGAGAGTCCTGCGGATTGCAGGTCCGCTTTTTTTACACGACGACACGACGGTCACGACGTGTGACACGGTGACATGTCTGCGGTCCAGAGCTGTCCAGATCTGTCCAGATTTGTCCAGGTCGGCTGAAGGCTGCTGTGCGAGATCTGCGGACTGCATCGAGGATGAAGCAGTTGGAGCAGGAGAACACTGTGACAGCTGTGACAGCTGTGACAGGATGACGAGAGATGGTATCCCAAGATTCGTCAAGATCCGGGTAGGGTAGGACTATTAGATTAGTAGACTGCAGCTGTGGCATCTAGGTTTGAGACACATCTAGATTGATACTGCACTGCGCACTGTGATGCCAAGCATACACATATATCATCATATATCATCATATATCATCATATATCATCATCATATAAAATAAAGAAATTTAAATACATAAATAAATACATTAAAAAATACACCGCCGTAGACCCCAAACAGTGGGTGGAAAAGTGCTTTGAGGAACAGGTCCAACACATGAAATAGCAGCGGCAGGAATCGCGATAATGTCTGCAGTAAGTGCCGACCACTTCACATGTATTGTTTTTCGGCTTCGCTAGCTTTGTCGCAACACTGGGTACCGAGAAACAAAGGGAAACAAGAAGATCAAGAAGGAAGACGAGCTGGGAGACAAGCTGGACGACAAGATGGGAAACAAGCTGGGAGACAAGCTCGGAGACAAGCTGGGAGACAAGCTGGAAGACAAGCTGGGAGACAAGGGAGCCAAGGCCTCGGGAAGGCGGACACACCATCCAACAAAGGGAAGCAAGAAGGGAGACAAGGGGAGACAAAGCTTCGGGAAGGCGGACACACCATCCAACAACAGGAAACAAGAAGGCAGACAGTGGGAGACAAGGGGAGACAAGACCTCGGGAAGGAAGGCGGACACACCATCCAACAAAGGGAAGCAAGAAGGAAGACAAGCTGGGAGACAAGAGCGGAGACAAGCTGGGAAACAAGATGGGAGACAGGGACAAGGGTGAAAAAGCCTCCTGAAGGCGGGCACGCCATCCAACAAAGGGAAACAAGAAGGGAGACAAGCTGGGAGACGAGCAAAGCTGGCAGACAAGCTGGGAGACAAGCTGGGGAAACAGGGAGACAAGGCCTCGGGAAGGCGGACACACCATCCAACAAAGGGAAACAAGAAGGGAGACAAGGGGAGACAAAGCTTCGGGAAGGCGGACGCACCATCCAACAGCAGGAAACAAGAAGGCAGACAATGGGAGACAAGGGGAGACAAGACCTCGGGAAGGAAGGCGGACACACCATCCAACAAAGGGAAGCAAGAAGGAAGACAAGCTGGGAGACAAGAGGGGAGACAAGCTGGGAAACAAGATGGGAGACAGGGACAAGGGTAAAAAAGCCTCCTGAAGGCGGGCACGCCATCCAACAAAGGGAAGCAAGAAGGGAGACAAGCTGGGAGACGAGCAAAGCTGGCAGACAAGCTGGGAGACAAGCTGGGGAAACAGGGAGACAAGGCCTCGGGAAGGCGGACACACCATCCAACAAAGGGAAGCAAGAAGGGAGACAAGGGGAGACAAAGCTTCGGGAAGGCGGACACACCATCCAACAACAGGAAACAAGAAGGCAGACAATGGGAGACAAGGGGAGACAAGACCTCGGGAAGGAAGGCGGACACACCATCCAACAAAGGGAAGCAAGAAGGAAGACAAGCTGGGAGACAAGAGGGGAGACAAGCTGGGAAACAAGATGGGAGACAGGGACAAGGGTGAAAAAGCCTCCTGAAGGCGGGCACGCCATCCAACAAAGGGAAACAAGAAGGGAGACAAGGGGAGACAAGGCCTCGGGAAGGCAGACACACCATCCAACAAAGGGAAACAGGAAGGGGTATACAATGGGAGACAAAGGGAGACAAGACCCTGGGGAAGGCGGACACGCCATCCAACAAAGGGAAACAAGAAGGCAGACAATGGGAGACAAGGGGAGACAAGACCTCGGGAAGGAAGGCGGACACACCATCCAACAAAGGGAAGCAAGAAGGAAGACAAGCTGGGAGACAAGAGGGGAGACAAGCTGGGAAACAAGATGGGAGACAGGGACAAGGGTGAAAAAGCCTCCTGAAGGCGGGCATGCCATCCAACAAAGGGAAACAAGAAGGGAGACAAGGGAGACAAAACCTCGGGAAGGCAGACACACCATCCAACAAAGGGAAACAAGAAGGGGTATACAATGGGAGACAAAGGGAGACAAGACCCTGGGGAAGGCGGACACGCCATCCAACAAAGGGAAACAAGAAGGCAGACAATGGGAGACAAGGGGAGACAAGACCTCGGGAAGGCGGATGCACCATCCAACAACGGTCGGTCGTCTCGTAAACGCGCGCCGGGAGGCGTCACCATATATGATAAACATTGATAAACATAATTCTAATGTTCACTGATTTGCTTCGATTCTGGATTGAATGTACACAACATCTATTCAACATCTATTCGACATATAATCCACAAAAAACCGACATATAATCCACATTAATTCAACACATACCCAACATCTATTCAACGAATCTAATCAACATAAATCCGACATATAATCCACATAAATTCAACACATACTCAGCATCTTTTCAGCATATATTCAACAAAAACTCAGCATACAACCAACATCTGTTCAACACGCCAACAGATGCCATTTGGTATACAAGTAAGAAAAACTATAAGAATATGTATCTGCAAATGTGGGCACATCTTCTATCAGCGTAACATCAGACCCATGTTCGTGTAGCTTAACCACATGTGCAAGCGTAGCAACATGTTAAATGCCTAGAAACGTTATTAGCCCCACCCTACCCCACCCCACCCCACCCGTGTAGCTTAACCACATGTGCAAGCGTAGCAACATTTTCTATCAGCGTAACATCAGACCCATGTTCGTGTAGCATAATCACATGTGCAAGCGTAGCAACATGTTAAATACCAAGGAACGTTATTAGCCGCACCCCGCCCCACCCCACCCCACCCCACCCGCGTAGCTTAACCACATTTGCAAGCGTAGCAACATGTTAAATGCCAAGGAACGTTATTAGCCCCACCCCACCCCACCCGACCCCACCCCAACCCCACGAAACACGTACGTACGTGGTAAAAGATGCGCAAAAACGCGCTGTGCCTATAAGAAGTTCTTCCAAAAAAGTGCGCGTTTTCAGGCCGACCGAGCTTCCAACAAAGGGAAACAAGAAGGGGTATACAATGGGAGACAAAGGGAGACAAGACCCTGGGGAAGGCGGACACGCCATCCAACAAAGGGAAACAACAAGGGAGACAGTGGGAGACAACGGGAGATAAGACCCTCGGGAAGGCGGACGCACCATGTAACAAAGGGAAACAAGAAGGGAGACAATGGGAGACAAGCGGAGGCAAGACCCTCGGGAAGGCGGACACACCATCCAACAAAGGGAAACAAGAAGGGAGACAGTGGGAGACAACGGGAGATCAGACCCTCGGGAAGGCGGACACACCATGCAACAAAGGGAAACAAGAAGGGAGACAATGGGAGACAAGGGGAGACAAGACCCTCGGGAAGGCGGGCGCACCATCCAACAAAGGGAAACAAGAAGGGAGACAATGGGAGACAAGGGGAGACAAGACCTCGGGAAGGAAGGCGGACACACCATCCAACAAAGGGAAGCAAGAAGGAAGACAATCTGGGAGACAAGCCAGACAAGGCCTTGGGAAGGCGGACGCGCCATCCAACAAAGGGAAGCAACACCATCCAACAAAGGGAAACAAGAAGGGGTACAATGGGAGACAAGGGGAGACAAGACCCTCGGGAAGGCGGGCACACCATCCAAGACCAAGGCGGACACCTTAAGAAAACATTAAGAACCCCTAACTGTACACTGCTTGGGGAATAAATAGAACAGTAAATGAATAGGCCAATAAATAAATAATTCACACACATACATAAAATGATTTAGTATATATATATACATACATACATACATACAGACAGACAGACAGACAGACATACATACATACATACATACATACATACATACACACACATACATACATACATACATACATACATACATACATACATACATATGTATACGTATACGTATACATGTCACATACATACAGACAACGATATTTGTGTATATTTGTGTATACGTACATGTCATTGAGATACATATCATATATGTATACACAACATCCATGTGCTATGTCGTCCTGTACGGCAGCCTGCTGATCGACAGGGCATGGTGAACAAGCACTTGGCCCAAGCCGATGCAGAGAACGAGAAAGCCCGTCTTGAAATGTGCTCCATCAAAGAGGCCGAAAACGAGACAAAATGACAAAAAACACGTTTTCGTTGCGTTTTTTGTAATCGGTTTGTTTTCAGCTGTGTGTTTTCAGTGTGTTGTCATCTCCATGGTTTCACAATGTTTGACAGGAAAACTGTACTCATTTTGACGCCTGAGAGGTCATCGACGACAAGTCTTTAGTTGTGGCTCTCGATGACCCCCCACCACCAACCCCCGTTGATGCCAATGGGAAACCTTTGAAGCAAAGGCACATCCGTTGCACATCGCCACATCGCAGATTTTGGCAGATCACATAGATTTCATGGCAGATCACATCAGGAGAAAAACTCATGAAAAGCTGGCGAGAACGTTGTTGTTGAAGGGTGTTTTTGCTCACTGTTGCAATGTCATGTTCCCCTATCCCTTCATGTTCTGATGCCAGATGTCAGGTATAGGTACTGCACAAACTGCAAGGTCGGGGGACACGGCCAGAGGCCGGGGACATCCGGGGACGCTTTGAGGAACTGGAGGCCGAAACAATTCACACATCGAAACACCTTGAAAGGTCGGAGTTTGGTAAGAATGACATAGAATGACAGCAAAACTGTGGAGGTTTTGCGAGTACTTCCTCGAGAGACCTGATTGGCGCATCTATCCCAATCAGGAATGGTTTAAGGCACAGATTTGCAGGAACTGTGATTCATTGGCAGAGAATCGGAATGATTCAACATCCACATGCATTAACATGCATTAACATGCATTAACATGCATTGACAATACTAAAATCATACTAACATCCATTCAGATTCCATGTTTTTTTTCATTCGATCTGCCAGGATGAAAAGGGCAATGAATATCATTGCCCTTTGGGGAAGAAGTTGGTGGATTTTGCAGACGAGACTCACTTTAGCCGCATTGCAATGTTTGAGACTCACCCAGCCTGCATCAACGTTTTATCAACGTTTTTTGTCAGTGATACACATCAATGATTGTCAATGATCAATGAGACATACATAGACATACCATGTCATCAACTGTCATGAACTGTCATCAATTGTCGTCAAGTGTCCTCAAGTGTCATCAAGTGTCATCAACTGTCAGATAGCTTGGACATGCTTGGACTCTGAGGTATTTGAAAGGGAGAGCTTGGCTTGAAGAGAAGACAAAGGCGCAAAACCGTTGGCCTTTATTCTCCCATTATTGGATACGAGTGATGAATATCCTAAAGATGATTGGTTGGTGGTTTGGAACATGTTTTATGACTTTCCATATATTGGGAATGTCATCATCCCAACTGACGAACTCATATTTTTCAGAGGGATAGGTCAACCACCGACCAGATGATCTTTAATGATCTTTAATGATCGCTTTCCACTTTTCGACGAGTCACAAGAGTTTACCTTGGTAAAAACCATGGTTTACCCATTCATTGCAATACCAAGCGTGCATTTTTTCGAACATGGCCAAAACAGCACGAATGATGGGATTCGACATTTTTGTGACTGGAAGGTCTTAGACTTGGCTCCGGGAAAGATGCCGGACACGTGCTCCTGCGCCGCCTGCACTGTGAATTGCTTTGATGTTACCAGTGGTTACCAGTGGTTACCAGTGGTTACCAGTGGTTTACCAGTGGTTACCAGGTACATTATCGAAAATGGGCAGTGGAGAGGCGCTGTTCCCCCTTCCGACGATCAGGTGGGACGTATTTGTCGGCAGTTGTCACTTTGAATTGGTGGAAGGGACAATTTACACAGGAAAGCCAGATGGAAACCCATTGTGGAACAACCACAGCATGATTTCCGGTACATTTCCCAATGTTTTCCCATTGAAGTTGTCTGATTAACTGCACAGTTGTTCTTAGCTGTGACTTGGCAATCTGGCTGGAATTCGAGGTCACTGATCTTCCTTGGTTCGTCAAGGAAGCAGATCGGAATTGGGGCCTTTGCCTTACGTTCTCAGAACGAGCTTGTTTACGTAAGAAAACAAAGAAAATCACAGCAGATTATTCAAGAACAATATGTTGTTTCCCAACACGGTCAGCAGCTTCACATTCTACAACCTTGAACAGATTCAAGATGATTCATAGATGATTCAAGCAGTTTTCAATAGTTTTCAGGTACTTCTATCCATGTGTGTGCCAAACCGTCAGCTTGCCTCAATCTCGTCAAGTCTGAGCCTTAGTGGCCACTAAAGTGGCCCCTTGTGGCCTTGCTTTCTGGTGGAACTCTGCAGCAGTTTCACCGAGCGTTTCACCCTGCCGAGCTCCTGCTGGGCTCCTGCCGGGCTCCGCCCGGAATTCAGGCCTACGGGAGTCTATGTGGTGCAACCACACATCAAGGACAAAGATAGAGATAGAATGAGATAGAGGTATAAGTGATATAAGAATATAATATAATATTATATACATTGAGGGTTCAAGCAGCTGTAGACCCAAATCTCCCCCGCAGGCGGTTTCACAAACCTAACCCAAGCCATGCCTTTCTCTACCCCATGCAGGCTGTTACTCCAAATGATAACACGGGCCGGTAAGCTGCACCAAATGCTGATTCTCGCGAATCCATGGTTCGTCATCATCCCAGTCAGTTGATTCATCTATGGTGATCACAATGGGGACCCTGAATAAATAAACCTGATATGAGAATATGTTCGTCTGTGACTGGCCTAAGCGATGAAAGTCTGGGTTTGCCTGAAATAAGGCCCGCTGAGATAGCACAAAGGACATAGAATTGCAATTGTCGAACAGGATAAAGCCGTGAGAATCTCTGTCGTAATGTTGTAACTCAGCGGCCGTGGCACCCTGGACAGTTTGAATGAAAGGAGGCTTCTGGATATACGTAGGCAAAACGAAATGGAGGCATTTTGCCAAGGTGCTTTTGCCAGCGCGCGAAGGCGCCCGGAGCACAAGAAATTTGTACCGAGAATCTAAAATGGAATACTGTTTGGCCCAGTCTTCGACTCGGGCAACCACTTCTGGCAAAAATGGCTTTTGCAATGGCTGGAGCTGAGCCACCACTTCGGCCTGCTCACGTCGGAGGCGACTTTCGCTCTCCTGCTGCATGACTGCTTCCACAGCGCGTTTGCGGGTGATATAGCCCAAGCGCACCTGCAACCTGCTGCACACGGTGTTGACACTTTTATAGTGATAATTCTGGAGACATTGGCCCTCTTTCTGAAAATGCATCTATAGAATCAGAGACCCCAAGGTATTTTCAAGTTGACAATCTCTTTAGAATCGCTGCCCCCAAGTCACTCTCGTAGAGCCGTTTTTTGGTTGGGGGGGTTAGTTGGCCTTCTATAAAATCAGGCTCCCCAAGTGTCATTCATTGACAGCTGACCTGAATGCTCCAGTTGCTCTTGCCTACCTTACCTTATGCATTCCCAATTTTATAGAGCTCAAAGGCTCCAAGTGTTCACTGTCAACCTCTTCGATTATATACAAGGATGATCAATGATGATGAACGAATTGTTGTGGGAAATTTGTTCTGCCAATACTTCTCTATAGAATTGAAGAACATGACATACACCCAAAGAGAACAGATCCAACTATAGAATCGCAGTGGCTAAGGCTTTCTGCTGACTAGGACTCAGTGCTGTATTCAACATGAAATCTCTATAGAATCAGAGGCCCCAAGGTCCTCTATACAATTGAAAGCGTTGACACTGGGTAGGTACCCCTAAACAAAGCAGGGGGTTAAAACGCACCATTTTCCAGGACCCAACGTTCTTGATTCTGTAGAGGAAATTCCAAGGGGGATATTTGAAGGTATCTGAAGATATGTTACGGCCAAATTATTGCTTATGTTCGGACACTTTATCAGACTCGAAGCAGCACTTTTATAAACAACATAGGTGTTTGTGACGTTCCCTATTCTATGAAATGGACCTGCTATGAAGTGGTCCCACTGAAATTCACATTGGGTTTATGTTATGTTCCATTTCATACAAATCTTTTCGGAGTTGGTCAATATTCTGGTACCCGAAAACTGCCCGCACGCCACCCTTTCGCGAACCGTTCGCGCCCCAGCAGAATCGGGACAAGGAATTCTGATCATGTTTTCGTGCGCATATGTGTTTATACATAGTGGTATGCAGACCTCGTTGAATTTTAAGGTTTCTCCATCCCACTTTATTACTTGTATATTATGGTACCCATATTCCAGACCACATAAAATATGATAAAGAAACATTTATAGTATGGGTTTAATCATTTCATCCGGACATGGGTTCTTCCCTTCCATATAGAGCTTCAATCAAGGGGGATCGATAAACAGCTATTGACAAGTCAACTGCAATGACACCGCCTAAAGTGAGTCTTTGGCATCCGCACCCCTGGGTCCATGTATATATATATATATAGATATATATATATATATCCATAGATAGATATAGATAGATATAGAAAGACATATCTTTGTATAGATCTGTCTCGAAGAGATATATATATATGTGTGTGTGTGTGCGTGTGTATCTAAATCTCTCGAAAAATGTCTCTATATATCTACATATGCTGATCGCCATGCAGCCATGGAGCGTCCAATAAATGTGGACCCTGATGTATCTCCGGAATGAAAACAATGCTGCTTAACCCAGGCACGCGTACTGCAGGTACTGCTGATGAGAAAGCTTGTGCCCACTCCACAGCGCATCCAGCCATCTGCCCTGCACTGTGTAGTCCTTGAACGCCTCGTAGGAGCTGGTGGCAACGAAATGGGGTCCTACCTGCACAGATCGCCCGGGTGAATTCCACCCAGCACTCAAGGCATGTCAGCCGAGGAAATGATCTGGTGGTGGGTCCAGACAATTAGATTAGATGTGATGCTGGCGACGAAACAATCTACATATGCCGCTTGCTGTCAATTCCTGTCTCTGCAAACGGCCATTTATCGCGAAGCAAAAAGTTTCTTTCGCGCATCCTTCGCGAACTGCATGTGTATCTTTCGCGCAACCCATGTTGAGCAATAACTCCGCTTATGAAGATTCAATCGGCACAGGCCAAATCACACCAAATTAGCACGGAAAAGTGCTTCATAGCCTTGCAAACATTGTGCTAGCATCACGGAATCCCCTTCGCGAACAGGTTCTTGCTGCTGAGGAACTTTTTTAGCAAGGCTTACTGGGCCACGCCCTTCAAAATGCCCTTTAACTTTACCTAGTCTTTTGCAGCACTTGCGTGCAACTGTCGTGCAAAGACTTGTCTCCGCAGACCACAGCCAGGAGCACGGGGGGGCGGCAAAGGAAAAGCAAACACCAGGTGCCTTGGTGTTTGGCTCTTGCAAAGTGTCCCTGTTCGAAGCTTGGCTGCTGCATTTCGCGGTTGTTTCTTGAGACTTCAGAAAGCAACGTTAGGCAGGACCAGCGGCAGGTGCAAGGATGTGCTTGGCCACCATGGTATTTGGCTCTGGCGAAGCGTGACCTTCGGAAGCTGGCTGCTACCTATGAAGGGAAAAGCCAATGTGCGGTCCCAGTCTCCTGCCGGACCCCCGACAGCAGGGAGGCGGTGGTAGCCCTTAACAAGCGGTACTGTAGACAATGAGGATGATGCATTCTAGCCACCGTTCGCGACACTTTCGCGAAGCAAACAGTTTCTGTTTCGCAAACAAACTTTCGCGCGGGGTCCCAGCACAAATGAACTGTGTTTGCAATTGAAACTCGTTATCAGGACCTTCAGATGGATCACCACATATATATGTTTATATGCAGAGATATATTTCGATATATCGATAGTGATAAATCTTGAATCAATGCGTACAAAGAAGAAGGATTGCCTATGCAAGACCAACCACGTAGATAGCGGTCCAATGAGTTCAGTTCATCCAAATCAGGCTCGTGGGTGCCCAGACCAAGGTGGCCTACAAAATGTTTGACTGCAAACACGATCTGCTGCAAAGCTGCCAGGTCTACTGATGATCAACTAGAAGCTACGTCATGCTGCTGCCACACGATCGGATTAGTGACAAAGGTGGCCTACATGAACTGCAACTTTCAACATGAGATAGAATGTCGTTACAAGGTAACCCAACGGAGATGCACCTTTGCAGCCCAAACGTAAAAATGTCCTTGGTCTGCCGCATCTCGCCAGCGTGCGCCCCGTGCCCGACATGGGGAAAGATTGGGCTGAATGCCCTTGAAACGGAGCGCCGTGCATGATTGCCAGTCGACGGGCGGGCGAATTCCAGGAAGCAATGAATATGTAGACGGCCAGCATCCTCCGAACGCAAACTTGATTCCATCGTGGCACTCCATTTGCCGACCCACTCACACGTTGCAAGCCAAGTAAGGAACTCATCGAAATCCGCCAGCTGCAGCTGCAAGGAATTGTAGGTTACCAACACTGCTCGTGCTCGAAGACGAAAAGGGCAGGCATCACCTGTGAAAAATGTGCAACAATGAAGTGGCTGCGACTAGGACTCATGACTATACCCCTTCTAGTTCAGTCTCTCCCATCTGCATGCAAGGCTGAGGCTTGCCTACTGTCACTGATGCATGTCATGTCCATCCACTGCTCTAGGTCTCTTACCCTCCGGAAAGCACCGTCCCGGATGCAGGGACAGAATGGCAACTACTTGCGGTCTGACCTGGTCCTGGGGCTGCTGCCATATCCACATCCTCTTGGGTCGATGCTGCTGCACCAGCTTCGTCTGCTGCTGCAACGCCCTGCAAAGCTGATTAGAAACAGTGTGAACCAGAAGGCCGTGCAAACCCAGCGAATGGTAGCACCAACCAGGACGGCTGAGCAAGTCGCAGCAGGGTGAGAAATGTGAAAAGTGACCGAACAACGGGTCGCAGTCTTTAGCACCCGACAAACAGGTGAGGCACCTCATAGAGGTCAATGATGTCTCGCAGCTTCTGAGTGTCACTCGGAGACAAGGTGCAGTTCTCCAGGCGCTGTCGTTGCGCTGCAAAGTCGGCGCGAGACAATTAACCCCGAAATTTCGGCACCTCGAGCTGGTTGGCTTGCAGCAGTTCCCGCAACGACCCGCACGCAGCACGCTTCCGTGTCGTGGAGGATCTCATGGCTCGGCCCAAGTGCAATGCGGAAACATCCTGTTTGCATGGCAGGTCTTGGGTGCAAGGCTCCAATGCGATGTGCTACGTCAGTTGCTTGCGACACCCCGCTTTGCTGTCAGGTGGCCCATTTCCTTTGGAGAGGGCTTGACACTAGAAACAGCAAGGAACTCACCACCACGTCCTTAAAGCAGAATGCAGGTCACAGGGTTGAGCATGAAAAAAGCACATGGAGCAGATAGTCTGCTAGGATTCCATTGTCACAAACAGCTGGACGTGCATATGGCCCACAGGTCTGGAAAAAGCGTGTCGACCGTTGACACCCAGGAATGCTGCTGATGATTTCCGCTAGAGA